GGTGGTGTTATGTCAACTCAGGCAGGGATTTAAGGTCCGAACTTCTAGTTTTAAAAGAGAGGAACAAAAAAAAAGTTTTCGGTGGATTTCTAAGATAAAAGGTGGCACATCGAATAGATTTTATGCATTTGTATACTACTCAAAACTATCAGGACGAAAACCGTTGGTCCCGCCAGCTGGAGATCACTTGCATGCCTGACCGTTTTCATCTGGGACGCTTTCAGAATGGCCTCTTTTATACTAAATTTTAGATGGGTGATTTTAAACAGTATTTTCGAGACAAAAAGAGTCGAGATGTGAGAAATAAAAAACAGCGCAAAAATGAACACAAGGAGGAGTTGATGAAGAGCTTAAATTTAGAAACTGTGTCGCTACCAGAGTCGAACCGAAATTTTTAAAAGGTTTGGTTTGGATTCGGTTGCATCGCTTTCGGTTCAATTCCGGTTCAGTGACGGGGAGCAAAAATAACGGTTCAAACCGGGTAAAAAACAAACATCGAAAGTTCAGACGGGTTCGAACCGCCAAATTAAAAGTATATTTCTCGCGTTGCTTTAGGCACTATTCCTGTTATTTCATTTCGATGCAACAGGAAATGAAAATCTAAATTAACATACAAAACTTCGTATTTATAGGACTCAACATTCATTTGTTTGCCTCAGTCACATATATTTTACCTATTTTGAAAGGTTCCCATGAGTGTTTTAAGTCGATTAAAATACCTTTGATTGGTACAACTTTGCTTCGCAGTATAAAAAGTTGAACCGTAGTTGTGCTCTTGAACAATTAATTGCCGTGCACAAAGTCATAAAATAGGCACCTCGTCCCCACTTATATTGCGAAATATAGTTTACAAACTACTTTTCACGATATATCTCTGATGACGACGCAACTGAGCTAAAAGGTATAATATTTTCAAAATCACAAACGTTTTAGGACAAGCTCTTTCAACCTACCTTTGCTACACGCTGAGCCGCAATCACAACGTCTGTTTTCCTAACCAACATTGTTTACACTTATAATTATAATGCAATTAAATGCAAAGGTGCAAGCGAGCTGGACAAGAATTATGGCGAAACAAAATCTTGGCTACGTGCCTGGAATCAGGCCTAAACTATACGCGCGCATACCCAGAAAACTTCCAATGCTTTGAACAATCTTTGCGTAGAATGTGGTTGCGATGCAAGGTATCGTGGGTTGGACCGTTTGTTCTCTTGTGAATGTTTATGTCCTTCGTATGTGAAAGCGCTTTCAACAAAGAAGATCTTCACGTTGAAGGTGGTTGAGAGTGGTTGTGTGGGTATATATAGGGATGCCTGAGAAATAAACGAGTTAGTTCAGTTTTAGATGTTCCGTTCTGTGTCTGTTCCTTCGACTAAAAGTTTTTTTTTTTTTTTTCCCTTTCCGCACCACAATGTCAGGTGTTAAACGACGTGGTTCAGCTTTAGCAATTGCAGAGCCGTATATGGGGAGAGTTTGGTCAGTCTATGATCTCGCCGCCGTAACGCCCTCCTCCCGACTGAGCCAGTCAGCACGCGGCGCAGAGCGAGAGGCATGAGCGCATGCGCGTGAACTCCCGGCTGCTCCCAGCTGAGCGGGGAAGGCCGCCATCTTCGATCATTCTCCCGGCAGGATGCGTGGGATCGGCATCTAAATCTCGATTATTGCCTTTTATATCGCTGGCTCTGGCAAGAAAATTACATTCTGTTATTCCTCGGTGGGTTAAAAAGCTAATATATGAAAATTTTTCGCTGTATGGCCACAAACTTTTATTCAGGCGAAAAAGAAGTCGGCCCGTAGCAGACGACGCGTAGCCTCAGCAGTGCTCTTCTCCGACTAGTCTCCGACAGCGTTGCTCAAAAATGGCGGTCGTCTCCTCTCTGCTCCCTTCTTTCTCTCTCGCTCCTTCGGCGCTCTCCTCCCTTTCATTTACTTTTCTCCTCTCCGGCGCCTTCGCCGCCACACCCACTGGCCAAACTCTCCCAGCAATTGTATTTTCGGTTGTTCTTTTGTTACACTATGCTGCTGATTTGAATGCTCATATTGCTCCAGCAATTCTGTATTATGTTCCTATTAAAAAAAGTAACAAGTAATTAAAGTAATCCGCTACAAATATTTGTGACGAACTTACATTACAAATTACTGCCTCGTTACTTGTAACGGATTCCTTCCCAAGTCTGTTTTTAGCAAGCCGCTACCGCGTGTTGTATCGCATTACCGGAGCATGCTTTTAAGCGCGCACTCCGCGGCCATGGTATTACCCGGGCGCTCGCTTAAAGGGACCATAAAGGCAATTTAATTTTGTTTCAAAAAGAAGGTGTTTTCGGAAGCATTGGGGTCCTGGCATGCCACACAATTTTTAGAGCGCAGCTCTTAGGGGCCCGTTTCCGGCTTGAGCGGCGTCGGCGTCGCCGTCGCCGTCGGCGTCACCGTCGCCGTCGCCGTCAACGTAACCGCGCGGTGCATTATGGGAAATGTCCCATAATGCACCGCGCGAGCCCCCCACCGGGGTCACGTGACTCCCCTGAGGTCACGTGACCTCGAGGGGGGTCACGTGACCCCCCGCCGATGTCGCGTGACCCCCGATGACGTCATCGTCACTGATGACGTCACCGGCATCCACATCGTCATCGTCATCATCACTGATGACGTCATTAGTGACGTCACTGATGACGTCACCGGCATCCACATCGTCATCATCACTGATGACGTCATTAGTGACGTCACTGATGACGTCACCGGCATCCACATCGTCATCATCACTGATGACGTCACCGGCATCCGCATCGTCATCGCCATCATCACTGATGACGTTACCGACATCCGCATCGTCATCGTCATCATCACTGATGACGTCATCAGTGACGTCACTGATGACGTCATCAGTGATGATGACGATGCCGATGCGGATGCCGGATCATATTCAACCTAGTTTTGAACACGACGGGAATATTTCAAATTTCGTTAAAGTATTCCTTTAAATGGTAAAACAAAATGGCTAGGTGGCGTAAGCTGCCGCCCGATCCAAAGAGCTCAGCCGGTTTTATCTATCCATCCAACCACCTTCTGAGTTTGGGAAAAAGTTGTTCGAGCTCTCGCTCTTTCTGTGTGACTCCCGTTGCTGTCACGTGATCAAAATAAATCCGCAGTCTGTCCGCCTGCCAACGAGAGTATTTCGATATTACCAATATGGACGCCTCTGCGTCCGATGGTTCTGGACGATTCTCAAAAAGGACTTCGGTGGCGTCAAGTCGAGTGCCCGAGACCGACTTGGTTCCTCTAAACTTCAGCCACACTTCGAGAGGTTCGTTTGACCGCAGCTATTTTATTTCCGAAGAATTTCGGTAGTTGCGTTCGGGGATGCTTGGTTTCGGGCTTGTCATTTCGCCAAGTCTTACGATGAAGTCATGTTTTGCCAAGTCTTTGATAAAGGCACCAATGCTTTTTACATATTATTAATATCCATCTCATTGGCGTGATGACTCGCTCATTATAAATAGGGTACGGTACGAAGCTTGAATCGCGGATGAGGGAAGCACTTCAGTGGTCTCTTCATGCTTTCGTGTTTGCTACACTTGTTGATGCCGCGATGGGTTTTCGGTTTCAAAACTAATTTTTTTGCTTTTTATCTGCGGGAAAACGTGAGATTTTACTGCAGTGTGACTGCCGTAAAGCGTCAAATAAGATTGAGAGAAAAATACTATATTCGCAAGTTGGGTGTGATACTTCTAAGCTTTTAAAATTTTTGATCTTACATTTCTGTTTGTTGGATAAGCTGTGATAAACGTTATATTTTGTAGCTTGCCTAGTATTACGCGGATTGTGCAGATATTTTGGGGTTTGTTTGTATTTTATTTTATTTTCAGGGACGTTAAAAAACAACAACATAGATACTAGATTTTCCCAAAGCTTCAAGTTCTGAAGTCTCGTTAAAACTTAAATATTTACAGTATTGTTTAATGCATATGGTATTGTAATATTCTCAGCTACGACTAATTCCTTGTTTCAGAAAATAGCACAGTGAGTTGAATGTGAGAAAAAAAAAAATTGTTCCTCGGTTACTTTAACAGGCATCAAGAATGAGTTGCTACTTCACGAAGCAGCCATCAAGAACGATGTTGCAACGCTCAAGCACCTCATTGACTCGAAAGTTGACGTCAACGCTAGGACCCACGTGAGCAGTCACCTCTTGCCAATTACCGTTGACAGAAAATATCTGCATTCCGTTCACCCGCTCTTAGTAAGCCAGCTGCTTAAAGTTGAGCTAATATAATTTTCGCCGAATCCGATGCAAGGTTAAAAGGTCCTTCTGCAAAACATGCTTTTGAAGCCAAAACAGACAAGTAGATAAGCTGGGGATAATTGGTCTCTGAGCTGCTTATAACAAAGTATGTTTGTTATAAGAATCCCTAAAGAAAAAAAAAATGGGTAATTTCCTGTAGTACCTACCCAGATAACACAGAGCCATCCTTAGGATGTCCTTTCAGGATGTATGGGATGTCCTTTAGGCATCCCAAACATGCTCCTGTTTGCTCCCAAATACATCCTCCTTGAAACACCCAAGTATGCTCCGAGAAGCTCCCAGGGATATCTCACGGGAGCTTTTGAGGGTTTCTATAGGACGTTCTCGGACGTCATATTTTGTGCAGGGACCTGCTTTAATGCTGCTAGAATAGGCAAAAGCATGCACGTTTTATATCTCCTCCTTTGCTCTTCATGGTTCTACGGTCACACTAGCAATTGTTGCAATGGTTTGGTAGTTCCATGAAATGGATCGAAGGTATGCTGCATAAGTAAGGTCATTCAAATAAGATCCAGATTTATTAAATCTGATCACTTTATAAATTACGGTGGACAATATCATTCACAGGGCTTCCAGAAATATTGTAAATGCGACAATGTTGGTTAACATTGCAACACTAGAACATGACTTCAGTTAAAAATTAGCGAGAATAAACATGGCCGTGATACTGTAGGAACATGGGGTTCTGCGTGCTTTAATATTTCTAAGCACTAAAATTCTTCATTGAGAAAAAAAGAAAAGGAAGAAAATACCACGAAAAATAAGTATACAGTGCCTTAGTGGCTCAACAACAGTATGGTAAAGTAAACAAATCAAGAGTGTCCCAATAAAATTTAGAAAATACCTTGAAAAAGGATCAACACTAAAATAATTAACCCAAGGAAGGCAACATACAGGAGAACATTTATAGCGTGTGACTGAATGGTTCCAAGCATAAAACAATGCTTTGAAAAAATATTTCAAGTGTTTAAAAGGCTGTGTGCAATTTTGTTTACTTAAAAGTTACAGAATGTATCCAAGTGTCCATAAAAAAAAAATTTTTTTTTTTTGTTTTTTTTTAATGTTGAGGCAACACAATTTTAGATGTCACGGCTCCTGAAAATTACATCCCGAGTGGACCAATTTAAAAAGCGCCTAACACAGTATTTGAGCTTACCGTAAAGTACCGGGGGAGCGCCCACTCCGATTTCACTGAAAACTGGGTTAACCTCGGCATGGGCGCTTGTCCGGTCACATTGGGCACTTAATGTATGATTTGCAAAATTCCTAAGTTTGGGAAAATGTTAATAGCTGGCGCTTGAACGAAGATGGTGCTCCTGCAGTATTTTACGCTACTGATGTTTTTTTTTCTATCATTCCGAAGTATGTACTAAATGCCGGCGAACATGGAAGTAAACCCCTTTCTGTGCAAAAAATCCGTGAACATATCGAAATTGGCTCTCTAACTCGCTCCGGTATTCACCTCCCGTCCTTCATTTGGTCATGTGCGGTGACATACACAGTCTTTGAATATTCGAAGGGAGTTAAAACGGTGGTGGGGGTGACACGTACCAGTGGACGTGTTAAATCTGATCAGAGAACAGCATACTTTCAAGGGAAAAAGTGCTGAGTTGGCTCGAATCAAACCTCCTGCGTGCTGCAGTGTGACATACACTGGTTTTTGTTAATTCCCTTGTGCCTTGGCCCCTTCAGACATTGCAAGACCAGTGAATGTCACCGCAGATGACCAAATGAAGGAAGAGAGCAGTTCCAGTATGGGCTAGCTGCAACAATTTCAAAATGCAATTCTTTTTTTTTTTTTTTCAGAAAGAAAATTGATTTTGAGTGGCAAATGTTTTTGCCGACATTTGGAACACATTACAGATTGATAGAGAACGAAATCTTGCGAAGCTTAGACACCATGTTAGTGTCCCTTCAGGCTACTTATGTATAACATTCCAAGTCCACCAATTCGAATTGAGCAAATAAACGGACAACATACAACACAGCTCGTCACAACCACTTTTTAATGACTAGATAGCACAGTATAGTAAACATTTTTAGGATAAAAGCTTTCCATTGTGAAAACTAACAGCATTAAAGGGGCACTGACACCCCAAAGGTCGTATTTATTTTTATTGTCTAAAACGATGCAAGTTGCAGTCATAGACACGCAAAAAAAACCGCATCGCGAAAAAAAATTTTCCCGCGCGCGCGCGCGCCTTTTTATTTTGGGCGTTTGATTTTCCCGCCTCTCGCCTCCTCGCTTCTTTTGATCGGTGACGTCAAAAATCAGGAAATTTAGAAGCTTTGTAGGCGACATCTCTAGAACATTTAATTACGGCAATCCTAAAACATGTTTTTTAACGCAATTGCGAACGCACTACGGCCCTTCTTTTTGAAATACCAAAAATCGGGAGTTCGTTGTGGTGTCGCCTCCTGGATTTGTATCCTCCAACGGAAAACAGGCGACACCGCTCAAAACCGGTCCGCGCCGCCGCTCACTCCTTTCCTCCTCGCTTTGGGTCGCCATGGCAACAGCAGGGAGTGGTGAAAGGTAGTCGACTCTCAGGTCTCCTCAATTTTTGACGTCAAGGCACCGGCGCCGATCGCGCGGGAACTTCGAATTCGGCATTTGGAAATTGTTTTTTTACTTCACGAATACTGAATTCCCAAATCTCAAATTTTGAGGGTAATGTCCCGGCATCGTTTTCAATCGTTTCGGATAATAAAAAAAAATATGATTTTGATGTGTCAGTGCCCCTTTAAAATACATTTAAAACTAGATCACTTAGGTGTTCTTCTTTTCCGGTGATGCCAGTTCTTCTGCCACATGCTGAAGCCAGGACATCATTGTCTTCTCCACATCTTTCAGGGTTGTTTTATCTTCAGTTTTCTTTGGTGTGAGACATTCTGAAAGGCAGCCAATGTTTGGATTTAAGGAATCATGAAATTGAATGATGCGTAGACAACTTCAGAGGTCAGTTAACACTTTCTACAAAAGTTATATATTTTCATCTTGCTGACCTACTGCTAATACTACTAAATGAAGAAAATGCAGCTGTCAAAATAAAGTGAGGACGACAAGAGTAAAACAGGTTTGCAAAGTATTATGATGACAGGTAAACACTCTTTTTTGGAGTCCAAAGCTGGAAAGCACGTCCTCACTAAGAACCTGATTTATATCATTGACAAAGGGTTGTATAAACATTTTGACACGGACCAGCTTCGCCTTTCCAAAGTACAGGCCAAATGGAAAAGGAGCCGACTAGCCACAGTTGATGACTTGGCAGAGAACTGGCCAGAATTGGTTCTTTGTGCTCCTTGAGAACGGAAGGCCATCAATATTGATGTTGATCAAGACATTGTCTGGTGTTTCATAGGGATGGGCTAAAGCATGTTGGAGTCTTACTCCGAGACCAAAGTGGCAATATTTGCCTGCACCCAGAACTTGGACTGCAGCAGCCACCCTGGGTGTCTCGAGCACAGTTCGAGCGCACGCAGGAATATCTGAGAAGCGGGGGTGTGCCTGCAAAATCCTTTGATGCCCCAAAACTTACTTGAAATACTGGAGACCTAGAAATCCTGACGACACAGAGGAACAGAAATCTGGTATAAAAAAGATTACTTTCTTCATAATGATGTCTTTGAAATGTTGATTGTGAGTAACATTTGGCATTTGCAGCATTATTTTACGTCCAGTGACTGAATGCAGTTAGGACCTGCTAGTAGGCACAGTTGCACTTCACATTTCGCATGGTAGAGACACTTGCAACTGGATTGGCAATATTTGTGCCTGTTTTCCTTTTCAGAGTTTCAACGAAAGTGATGCATGCCATTATACTGCTTTAAAAAACAAGTGAACTGTTTTGAAGATGCAATTCGATTTTGCACTGCTAAGTCCGCGTATCCTCGCCCCTGCAGCAGAAGGCACTAAATTTATTGAGGCGTACATGGCACTGGAGAAATTACATCATTCTCGAGTTGTTGCTGCTGAGCAATACTGGGCATCAAAGGGTTAAAAAAATCCCTGTAACACCAAATTGGAGCGCAGCTCTTGAGGAGGAGTAGGGAAGGGTACTGAGGGGTGTCACGTCACCTGCGGGTAGTCACGTGACCCCGAGGGGGTCACGTGATCTCGGGGGGATCATGTGACCTGGGGGGGGGGTCACGTGACCTCGGGGGATCATGTGACCTGGGGGGGGGGGGTCACGTGACCTCGGGGGGATCATGTGACCTGGGGGGGGGGTCACGTGACCCCCCCCTCCCTGGTTACGCCGACGCCGACGCCGCTCAGGCTGGAAACGGGCCCCTAAGAGCTGCGCTCTAAAAGCTTATCAAGTGCAACGCGCGAGACCCCGGACTCGATTGGCCACGATCTCAGTGGATCGATGAATGCGTTGCCGTTGGCTTCGCAGTGAAGATCCCATTCGAGCACACGGGCAAGCGCGAAACTTTCTTCTACTATCTCCCCCAAAGAGGTCATTGACTCTTCATGATGGCCACGCATCAGTGGCGTAGCCAGGGTGAAGGCTTATGGGGCTTTAACACCCCCCCGAAATCCAGCCGACCCTATATTATACACCTGCATTTTGAATTTCCCTCCCCCCTCCACACCCCAAGTCATGGCCATCTTAGTCACCTCAGCCCCCCCCTCCCCCCAGGACATCCCAGACATTCAGCCGCCTAGACATTCCTTAGCAGGACATCCCAGGGATGTCACTTAACATACGCGTTAGGATGTCCAAATAAAGGTAATTCCTCAGAAGTCTTGCGGATGACCCATACGGGATAAGGGACAGTGGGATCTTTTTGGGATGTCCCTGGGATGGCTATGTGTTACTCAGGTAGAGTCACTGACTCACTGACAAAGTGGAAACATCGGGACATCTCTTTAGGCTTGACTTTCGCATGCGCTCGTTGACTTTCACCATGCTTTGGTTGTGCGTACTTGCTCGGGACGGCGAAGCATTATTGAAGGTTGCGCTGGAGGTGGGGACAACTGGAACTCCTGCTGTCAATCTCATCCTGTCAGTGACTGTCGGCTGAATCATAATAATGCATGAACTTGGTTTGATGGTGAAAGTGAGTGTTACAAGAAAGAACAACTATAAAGGACAGAGATTCCTGTTTCATTGCAGTCGCCATTAAATACATTGGGTGATATGTAGGCATTATTTGTCAGGCTTGTGGGCATCTGTAATGCCGCTTGGAGCTACAGCAGAAACCTGCACAATCGCAGCCTATGTTGTATCATGTTCAGAAGATTTACCTGACAGAAATGGTGCTCCAGCTCCTGGGACTCCTGAAACATGCAAAACATATTGACTATCAAAATAGTTACAAATTAGCACTGTATAGTAATTTCTTTCTTTCTTTCTTTCTGCTGTTTATAAAGATGGAGAGGGTTCCACTTCATTGGGCAGCGGCGCACGGCCATCTTGAATCCATGGCTGCCCTCATCCAGGCGAAGTGTGATGTTGAGGTGACGGACAAGGTAAATGAGTCAGCAATTTTTGCTCACCAAGGTAACCCTGGGACAGTTTAATAAATTGCAATGCACTTCTATGTAAGTCACCAATATAAATTGCAAATTAAGGACAGAGGGAGTGCGTTATTTGCTCTTGTAACAGGTTATCATATGTACATTAATATGTTTTATGTAAGTAGTTGCATCTTGTTGCATCCTTCTCGTGTGTTCCTCTTCAGTATGTAATAAATCTCAATATTGCCTCGTTTTTGTTTTCTACAAAACCCATACCTTGTTTGGAAATGTTGATTAGAAATTTTTCTTTTTTTTTACTTGTAGATTTTAAATTAATTTTGTCATTCTTTGGCTACAGAACATTCAAAATATACCACCTGCGGGCGCAGCAAACATGGTTTTTGATTTTGCACTAAATACGTTCGACCACATTTTTTTTTTTTTTCATCTCTGTTCAGTGGAGCAAGGTTGCATACGTTTGACAAAGTGAGTGTGGTGATGCATACAGCAATACAGTATGACCGGAAGAGAAGACGACAAACGTTTCTTCAATACTACAGATGTGATAATCGGCATTTGGATACTTGAAACTTAGGGCACGAGGTAACACCTGTTTGAAGCTTCCGGATTTACCCTCAGGACTGCCGAAGGTTGAGAACCGCATCTTAAATTTGTTTTATATGTGTCCACCAAACTCAAACTGCAAAAGTATCGTTTAACCAGAAATGCTTGTTCTGTCGTAAAATGTGCCCTCTGTGTAATTCCTGGCTCGCTTTGCTTCTTTGACAGTACGGCATGCGGCCGCTGCTAATGGCCGCCTGGTTTGGTCATCGGGGCGCCGTTCAACTTCTAGTCGAGAGCGGGGCGAGTTGTCGAGCCGTCAATCGCGTACGTTCAGTTTTTGTCACTTTTCCGTTGCGACAAATGTGCGTTGCCTGCAATTCAGTGCAAGCAGGCGGAGAAAGCATTTTGTGTCCGAGATTATTTTGCCCTTCAAAAGAACCCAGGTGGTTCAAACTAATTCTAAGCCTTTTGATGGAGCTCGCCAGATATACTTTGTTGGTTTATTTACATGTTTATATATTTATTTACGGATATACTGAAATACTTAAAGGTCCATGAGGAAAGGACATCAGTAGAGAGGTAGAAGAAATGCAACATTTGGAGGAAACAAAAATATCTAAAAAAAAAAAAGGCTAAATTAGTAAAGAACACTCTGAAGAAAACAAGTGAACACACAATAACATCGTATAATACCTACATAGTTACTAAAACGAGCATCTAGACGTTCGAGGATTAGTCTCGGTGTGATTGTTTTAAAAAGTAACTGCAAAGAAAAAGAAGTGTTTTTTTAAACAGCCTAATTGGGACAAGCATGTCACAAAACAAATCTTCTGCGAAAAAAAAATTTTTCTAGCAATATTTACGCCATAGGACGTAATTTAGTTGGAGTCACAACTTCTCCACATTTGAAACTCCCGCTCTTTCGACGCGCGCGGAGTGGCTGTTATATGTCACTCCGCGACGTATAGCAGCCACTCCATGACATAGAATACCAACTTTGTGGCGCGCGATTTAAAACGGACGAAATAGCCGCTAACTAAAATCGGCCTAGCACAATAAATATTGCTATAAAAAATTTTGTTTTTGGAGGAAAAATTGTTTTGTGACATGCTTGTCCCAATTAGGTTGTTTAAAAATACACTTTTTTTCTTTGCAGTTACCCTTTAAGACCATCGCTTTAGGAACCCTACGAGCTTCACTTTTTTCTGTGATCTTCAGCTAGTTAGCACTTACACATATACTCACACAAGCAGAATTCTACTTACACATGCAGAATGCAGACTGTGCTTGTGTAAATAGGGTGAAGGTGCGGGTTGAGGGTGGAGGCTGATGCGTTTTGGTTGTCTGCTTTCAGCAAGGGCAGACGACACTCCACTGCGCCGCTCAGAACAACCACCACGAAGTACTGGCCTTCATGCTTGACTCGACCGAGACCGTCAAAGTGAACGCCGTCGACAAGGTAGGCGTCGCCCCCGAAGCTTTCTGGGCTATCATCTCTCGCCCATACTAGATGGCGCCAGCCATCAACTAACCTTTGTCCGAAAGCTGTGAAAGCGGCACAATGGAAAATACTGCAATGGAGAGCAGTCGCAGGAAAGGGGCATAATGTGGGAAATCGTAAAAGAAATACCTTGCCCACTACTCGGCAAATGTTTCTCATCATTTGAGCCGAGAGATGTAGGCCTAATTTGTGGGAACACGTTAGATAAATGAAGGAACGAATTAACATTTTGGGTTTCTTTGTTTTGTTGGCTTTTCTTTGGAATTTGGAAATACGCCATCTGGAATGATAGGTTCTGAAGATGACAGAGCGTATGAAATACCAGGAGATTTTGCTCGAGTGCTTTTGTTCTGGCTGCCTGAAGTAAATATTTTTCATTTGATTTTTTTAGCTTTCTGTTTTGCCATATTCCTGTTGGAAATGTTCCGATAGTAGTCAAAGTTTGGTTCAGGTAATACTTGTAACTTTCGTAAGTTGCCCACTGATTAGTGCTCAGAATCTGCGTGGACCCGCCACACCACACATTTTTTCTGTAACATTCTGAAGTCGTAGATCGACTTTTCTATGTCAAAATACTACTGCTCAACACTACTGAAATGAAAAAGGCCGATCTCTCTCTCTTTTTTTTTTTATCTGCGTCTTTCACTCCTCATTTTCTTGTGCACGATGGGCAGAACGGGCAGACGGCACTGCATCTGGCAGCCATCAACAATTGCATGGAGATTGTGGAGAAGCTGTTGCAGCACAGGGCAGACCCAAACATCAAGGACAAGGTAGGCTCCTTTTCTGTGACTGCAGTTTTGGTTAATCCAAAATATTTTTTCTGCACCTTTTGAACTGCGTGTGCACAGTTTGCTTTTAGGGGCAAAGCTCCTTGTCCGTCTGGCGTCCATGCTCACATGGATTGCCATCCCATCTGTCTTCTTAAAAAAAGAAAAAAATGTTTGCGCAGTCACCAGGATTCGAACCTGTGTGGGGAGACCCCAATGGATTTCTAGTCCATCGCCTTAACCACTCGGCCACGACTGCGGGACGAGTAGGGGGCTCTGAGGTGGGGTAGTAACTCAAGAGCTGGGGATGTCATGGATGAAACGTTGCATGTAGCCGCTCAACTTCTATACAGGAGAGGGCGCTGCGGTCAAATGCGTATATAATCGCGTTAAACTTTGCATGCGTTGGCTCAACGTTTATAGACGAGAGGGCGCTGCGGTCAAATGCTCAAATGCGTATATAACCACGATCCATACCACACATTCTCTTTCTGACATGGACCGTTGACTTAAGCGATAGAGATGCGTTCCCACGGCTCCTAGCGGATCGAAGCTGATCCGTTAGAAGAACCACTGGCTCTGCATTTCACCGACCATAAAGCAGTAATGAAGTCGAAACGCAACCCCGAACGCAGCACTACCTATGAGCAATAAAAAAAAAATCAGCACCATCAGCACTACCTATGAACAAAATCAGTATCATCAGCACCACCAGAGCTTCGCCCCAATCAACATCATTCACCACGTGTAAATGCGGTCATTTTTTCATCGAGGCTTTCCCTTCGGGACTATAATTTGGAGGAAAAACATTACTAGTAGAGGAGGCCTTGAACTGACGGTGGGGTTTATAGTCAATGACGGGACAAGAACGACGGGGCAACTCTTTCCGATGTCTGACTTCCAGCATACGCTTGTTGCCTTCCATCATACATTGACTGTGTTATTGATGGGAGATGTTATCGAGGAAGCTCATGCTGAAGGCTGGACAAATGAGAGACCTCTGTGGCTTTGTCATCCTTTCAGTTACTGTGCGGAGTGCAAGTTCTTCTGCTTCTTTTGCAGGGGTTGTGGCGATGTCAGAACACCGAGCTCTGATTAGCTCTCATTGAAGGATAGTGGGTAGACCTCAAGGCAGCTTGCTTTGAGATCTACCCACTATCCTCCAATCAAAGCCAATCAGAACTTGGCATTGTTCTGATGTCACTGCAACCCCTGTGCAAGAAGCAGACGACTTGCTCTCCAGATGGGCTCACGGTGGTGACAAAATAACCTGATTATAGTTGCGTCTCTTCCATATTCGTTTTCTGTTCAGATACAAACAATGCAAACATTTATTTGTCTGTTTTGTCAACACATTGTGGGCTTTGATTCAGCTTGACACTTAGAGGGGCACTTCAGCATTTTCTTCGTGGTCTCTGATTTGCCTGAAAATTTGCTAAACACACCAACAAACACGACTGAGGTACAGTGTAAGCCATTTATATTAACAATGAGAAAATCTGAAATTCCAGTCGTTATAACTGATTATTGTTGTACCTGGACTAGAAACTGATCGTTTCTAGTCTAGAGACTCTAAAGACATATCATTATAAGCATTACATCTTTATATGTGATATCGTTATAATTGGATTGCACTGTAGTATCCCAAATATTAGGCCAAAGTAATATTTTTTATTTTTTTTTTTGCAAATTTAGTTAATTTACAATTTTCGTCCTGATCGTATTTTTCAAAGTGGAAGTCCCTATGGCAACAAATAAACGATGATGCCAGAGGCAAGCAGGGGTTCAATCTTTGAACTGTAGGATTAGTTCCCAACTGATCGCAACCAGTTTCACGATATTAGATGAATGCTTTGGAAGCTCACTTTAGCACTTGCGCAGCAATACGAAACAGACACCTGGTCTAGTTCTTTTTTTTACTGCCTGCTCGACTGGCAAGCCTGCCTGCCATTGACATCTCGGCACTGAAAAGCGCGGGTATATTTGAATATTAGTTTTGGCACCATTTTCATTTGCCAATTTTACAATAACTATTAAATAGAATACCGAAAAGGGTAAAGGGTGGGGATTTAGAAAATGTAGTTATTTGGGTAGTTCAAGAAATAGCTGGAGTGTACCCCTTAAGACTATACTTCATGTATGCTGTAGCTTTTGCATCAACATTGGGCATACTTCTGTGCAAAAGTTTTGTTTTGTACAGAATATTGGTGTCTTCTGTCGTGCTTCCTACCTGCTTTCAATTGAAGTTTTTGGAACAGGTTCATTATTCTGCTACTGTTTTACTTGTTTTACCCCCTTCTTTTTTGTTTTGTTTTAGATGACAGCGTTTGCACGACCACTGAGTTTGCACGAAGGTAATTGCTTGCTTTTTGTTTCTGTTTTCCCGCTTCAATTCTGGCTGTGTAGGCCATGCCCATGTTTGGAATGAATTCTTGTTATCTGGAAATGCTAAAACATTGTTATTATATGGGGATGTCCTCTTGTGGTCTTTGACCCTGCTGACCAGACATCTGAAATGCTTGTGGCCTTAATGTGATGGGAAAGTGAAATATAATTTTCCTAAAGATATCAACTGTGCCTCAGCTCAATTTATTTATTTATTTATTTATTTACCCTCAAGGCCTGAGGCATTATAGAGGGGAGTGGATTAAATTTCATAAGATAGTACAACATTGTGCAGTTATTAATAAAGACAAATAAGAGGCTCCTAATCATACAATGATAGCTAAGGCGTTCTTTTGAAAAGATTGTGGTCTTCAATGGCTGCCGTAGGTGCGGGAAGGCGATTCCACTCATCTGATGTGTGTGGGAAAATTGATAGCATCTCCTTGAAAACTAATAGTTTCTATTTGAGGGCATGTCTGTTCAACTACAACAGATATGGTAATTACTCAGGTGACTCATTGCAGATATTGTAGAGTCACTCTATCCGTGTCACACTTCTCTACAAGAACACACATGCAGTAATATTCGGATGAAACTTGGTGAACTTCTGTAGTGCTTTCTGCATTTTATATTTAATGAATATCAGTGTATTTGATTAGTATTTTGAATTAAAGAGTGGTGTTGATGAATGTCCCATGTTTTTAAATAATTTCGAGAATTGCGTAAAATTTTTAGGATGTACTTGTTTAGCTTTCTGGGGTATGCTTCTCCCGTACTACTGGTGCACTGTGGCAAGGTGATGCCCGTGTTAGTGGTGCAACGGAAGCCACATTCCTGCAGTACACATCTACAAAAGTTTGGCGAAAATTGCAGTCGTTACTAGAATTCTGTTTTGCTCCGAAATGTGAAAGTTTTACCATAGTTTTGCAAAAGAGCATTAGAGGACAGCGAGTGATTCGTTGCAACTTTGAAATGGCTGACCAACTACGCGCTGTCTAAATATCCACACAACCCCAAATTTTTAAAATTTTTTTTTCATTAGGGGTTTTGATGCGTTGTTAATGTTAAGAGTGGCAGTTTTTGTTTTGATGTTCAAAATTATATAGTGCTACTCTAATTACCTATTTATTTTGTAATTATTTATTTATTTTTATGCCAAATGCTCAGTTTATTTTCCATGGGGTTCTGGGAGTAATGCCTCTTTTAACTAAAATGTGTCGTACTTGTAATTTCATTTTCCGACTTTACAGATTCATGTGCGCTTGGGGCGAGAATTTGCACGTGCAACAGCGATATGTAGGCGTCGTCTATGACAGACATTGTGGTCAAATTGGTATTCATAATATAATTCGATTTAAGCCTAACTGCATTTGTGCTCTTTGTATAGCAAAAGGTCTGTTTGAGTTGTTAGGTTTTTACGGAGGTAAATTTATGATTCACTGGGTATCCCTGCTCTTCTTGCTCCTCTTCTCTTTCACATCTCAGTGATATCCAGACCTCAATCACAATCTCTCACTGTTTTTGCGAATTCAATGTAATTTTAAGCCTGCAGTTCACTCAATGTAATTTTAAGCCTGCAGTTCACTAGCATGGGTTTTCTTTTCACAAATCAGTCCTTAAAGGAACGAGAATGATGATACGCTTTCGTGTTTGTAATGTATTCATGTGTAAATGTTGGTGTCCTTTTACCGCCAAGGCTCTCGAGCTGTACAGAAAAAGACACTGAATATTCAGTATATGTTCAGAAATGAAAATTTCCTGAACTGTTGGACCTTAAGTGTAAATAACATGCGTTTTGTTATTCAAACCGTTAATTTCATAGTTACATTTGGCTTTCGTGACTTTATCCATCTCTTACGTTTAGGGAAGATCCAAAAACAAATAGCAGATTTCATGTTGCAACGAGGTTCATCTGAAGAATACCATTAAAGAGCATCAATCAGTAAAGACAACTTGTCTCTGATCCTAATTACGAGTCAAGCATTTTCTGATAGTCTTTACATAATACTGTAATAGTCTGTACATAATACCAGTACAACTATTTGATTGATGTTATGTTCAGTCCCTAAAGTTGAAGGTTGTGAAAGGTGTTTCCAAAAGCTTCCACAGCCTTCATTTATTTTCTCTCTCTCATTCATTCTTTATTCCTTTGGTTTATGTTGATATTGCAGTTTATAAGGGGTTGCTGCTCTGCTTTGAAGGGACAGATGTCTTGGGGGTTTGTGAAGTCTCATAATGTAACGTGCAGTTGCTGTGTATGTGACTAAGGTTTCTTGCTTTTCCTGCCGACTTTCAGTGCGGCTGCACGGCGCTGCATCACGCTTCCCAGCGGGGTCATCACCTAGTTCTGGTGCGGCTACTACGAAGCAACATGGACACGGACGAGCCAAACTATGTACGCAACTCCTTCTCTTGCGTCTAGGCTGGAATGTGTCTTCCGTGTGACGAGCACATGGCTCGTTCATATCGATGACGTCCCGCAGCGTTCGGAGCGGTAGCTTCGTTGTGCACGTCTGTGCGTGAAAGAAAAACTTGTTAGGAGTAAACGTCCATGAAATAAGGACAAACGGGTTTGTGGTTTGTGCGGGACCTTTCCGTACATCTTTTACACTTCTTTTATTTTAATAGATGAAGCATAACAGTTTTGGATCAAAACACCTATGTACAAATAATATGACATGTCTGCTTTCGCTCTTACATACGCAGCAGGGGTTTCGCTGGCTTCCTCCAGTTTTTGTGTGCTGTGCTTAGCAAAAAAAAAGATGCACAAAATATGTAGACAAAAAATTGGACTGCATGTTAGCCTCCAAGAAAGTGGGAATGCACTGTACAAAAGCGTCTGAATTGTGTTCAGCGTTCTCTTAATGTGCTTCTTATCTACGTTGACAGGAGCGGAGTACACCATTGCATCTGGCAGCGCAGAATGGACATCAATCGGCTGTTGAGATCCTTCTCGAACACCGGTGCAACGCTTCAATCATCGACGCTGTGAGTGCGGACCTTTTAAGGCAGAACGTGTGTTACGAGTCACCTTTCCTGAGAAAATCGTGACAAACAAGTGTCAAAAATGAACATCTGGAACAAACTTTGGGAACGAGCGTTGTGAAGCACCGACACGCTGGGAGTGTTACACAGTGTTAAGGTTACATATAAACCTTGCAAAGGCCCACCTAAAATCAATGTAAAAAAGATGCCCCTGTGGGGCTCGAACCTGGGTGACAGTCAAATACTATAATAAGTTGAATACTAAAAAGTAGAATTAAATGAAAAAAAAAAAAAAAAAAAATCTAGCACAAACGACGCACGGAGTGTGGTTTGTGTGGGACAGATTGTGTGCTCCCTGGGGCCCTAAGGTACATGGTTGGACCAAGGGTCTGGGAAGCGCCACCCGCTGCGATTGGTCGACACAGCACAGACCAATCGCAGCATGCGGCACTGTCCTGGTCCCGCCTGGTGACGACGTGTATCCTAGGGCCCATGGTTTCTGTTAGCAAAAATGAGTCTGCATAATTTAGTTTATCAGGCTTTGGGTTGGGAGTTTCATGCTGATGTAGTAGAACTTCTCTATAAAAAAGTCAGTCTTTTGTTCAGTAATCTTTTGTATAATATCAGTACCACTAATGTATGTACTATTATTATGAGTGTAGTAGTTAAAGTATGGTTCACTATACTTATCTATATTTTTGCTATAAGGAATCCTACTGTACTTCGACGTTTGGGTGTTAGCTTTACTGATATCGAGGATGGAAAGTGTCGGCTCTATCGCTTCAACTTAGATGCTGTGCATAGAGCACACGTGAGAATCGCTGAACCTTGCAGCATGGTACAGCTTTGTTTTTGCGAGTCTTGACTCCTATTCAGAGGCGGGTGAGCAGAACATCTGTGTTTTCGCTGTTGTTGCTAAACTGGGAAAAGGCAATTGCTACATGTCTTGCCTCGTTTTTACTGTGGAGTGTAGTCTGGTTATTGTCAGCGAGTGTCTCACCTATTGATTCCACCTCATGTTATTTTATTTCCTTGGGAACGCCATTCTAGGTATGTTTCATGAGAGGAGTCTCGATCGAATACAGAAGAAACTTGGTTTTAAGATGATTGAACGTCTAGTCTGGGTGTGAAACGCACTAGTTGAAACATAAAGTAAAAATTCCGAGTGCGATAACAAGTGACGCTATTAAGAGGTTCCCATTAAAAATATGCGGCGAGCAGGAAAGTGTGAAAGCATCCCAAAAGGTTTCCCATCGAAGTTACGCTTTTAACAAAGACGTGTGGGTGGCCGTAGCCTTACCCCATTCGACGTTTGCAGAAAGCGAGGACGGCTCTCCACATTGCAGCGTCCCTGGGTCACCTCGAAGTGGTGGAGACGCTTCTGCGGTTCGGGGCTTCACTCACGGTCAAGGACAAGGTACGTCGCCAGTGTTTCATCCTTTGTCCTTGCACCGAGGCGTCAGCTCTAATTTCCTGACAGCTAGTTTCGGCATATGGTCAAAACAGCGGGGCTTTCGACGTCCAATTTTTTTCGGTCGCTTGTTAGGGTTTGGAAGGGGGGGGGGGGGGGTGTCCTTGCTTTCTTTGATAGTGAAGGAGAAGCCTTTATGGTTTTTTAAATGCATGACATTCATAGAGCCAACTCCTAGCGCCTTTGTGTCTGAGCCTGGGATGCAGCCTCGATAGAGCGCGCAGTTGCTGATTGCTCTCGGAGTGGGGACTTTCCTCAGTGTGCGCTCGGGAGCAAAGCGGACTACGTGTACTACATATGGCAAATAGACAGCCAAATCTTTCTTTCTTTTCTAATGCAGCATGGAAATACGCCTCTCCATCTGGCTGTGCTTGGCTGCCACTCTAGCATGACGGATCTCCTGGTCAAGAAAGGGGCGTCTGTCAACTCGACCAACAGCGTAGGTTCTGTGCTTCCTAGTTTGTGGGGGTCTGTTTGAATTTTTCTCACGTGTACTATTGGCTTCTGTAAAAAAACGAGAATCTGGGTTTTAAAATGCGTCTTCTTATTTATGGTACAATTCCAGTGCAATTAGCCGTGCAAACTTTTCTTTTGATACTGGTTTTGAACCTATTAGTTGCTAGGTATGCTAGGTAGCTATGTTAGATTCAGAGCAGATGCTACAAATATAAAGCATTTAATCTGGGTCTTTGGGACATTTTTTTCTCAATAAGAACTAGAAATACAGATTTTTTTTTTTTTAAGTTTGTGACACTAGTTAAATTTTATATTCCTTTCTCTGAAGTTCTTGTTAGTTGCATGGCAAGAAATAATGATGGAGCAAAACAAATAGCCCCTCTGCATAGGTTGATTAAATGCAGTTATAACAACAATAGGTTTACGGTAGTTACACATAGTTGACAATACGAAAAGCCCTTGTGTGATCTCGCTTCCTAAAGCAAAATTGCGAAAAAAAAGTACTTGAGAAGTTTCAGCCCATCATTTCTTCCACTTTGGCAGAGCATCCATAAAACGGGCATTTTATGTATTTTCCGATTGAATTGGATGCTGACAATTGTGGATAGGTACTTGAGAGGCCACACATCACAAGAATATGAATTTGACAAAATTTATGCATTCTTGGCAATTGTTTTTCCTAGGGATTTTTTAGGCTCTGCCTTATCTGATTAACCAGGTCAAGCACATCTTGGCCAGAATCAGTCTTGAAGTGTCTCGGTTCATCGACGGATGTTAAAGGACACATGCAAAGGAAAAAAACATTTTTTTTAGACAGCTTAGATGGAAAAAGGATGTCATAAAACGATTTTACAACGAAGAAAAAAAATTTTTAGAGCTATATTTACGGCTCTATATGAATTTGTAGTTGGCGCTCGTGGGAGCCGCCGCTGGTCACGTAGTAGGCCCGCGCGCCGCCGCGCTGCGTCGCCGCGCTGCGTCACCGCCGCACGCTGAGCGTTGTGCGAACGCCGCTTCAACGCGTTTCTCCACGCTGGCGTCGCCGCCGCCGCACAAGTTCGTCTGCTTCGGGGCGCCGCCGCCGTCGTCTGACCGGCGCACAGGTCTATCACGTCTGCTTACGCTTTTTCAGGAGTTTCCTTTGGGCTCTAAAAGTTACTTATTCATCTTGGTTTTTGTTATACTTCAAACAAAGATGAATAAGTTACCTTTAGAGGCCATAGGAAGCTTCCGAAAGAACGCAAGCACCACGTGATAAATAAAGACCAGTCACGTGATAAATACGGACCACTTTTCCGCGGTGCCCGCGGGCGCCAACTACAAATTCGTTTTGCGCCATAAATATAGCTCTAAAAATTTTTTTTCTTCGTTGTAAAATAGTTTTATGGCGTCTTTTTTCCATCTAAGCCGTTTAAAAAGAATGTTTTTTTCCTTTGCATGTGTCCTTTAAAATAGTGCGGCATGTCTGTTTCTTCCAGAGGCTTCAGACACCACTGCACATGGCAGCTGAACTCGGCTTTACGGAAGTAGTCCAGGTTTTGGTCAGCCACGGGGCTGATCTCTTCCTTCCAGAGAAGGTGAGGCTATTAACATCCTCATCCTCATTATTATTATTATTACTGCTTGCTCACCTTGGTTTGCAAAGGCTCATGGCAAACCTGTCATGGTGTTTTCTCCATCATGCGTGTGAAACGTCAAAGGTAAGACTTAGAAATATAGAAGGAAGTACGGAAGAGAACATTCCCCTTGGAGGTTTGCTGAGGTTTATATTCATTTAATCTTTAGCCAGCATATCTGCATCTGCTTTTTGCTGTTATATTGAATAGTTTACTCACTTTCCCTCGAAGGTCCTCATCTTAAGGCACTACACTCTTTTATGGGTGTACGTGCAGTCGATGCGCACAGAAGTAACCAGATAATGATCAATTAGGCAGCATGAGGTGTTAAAAAAGAAAAAAAGAAAAAGTGTATTTGACCATTGTTTCATGAAATGAACAATTAGAACACTGAAAAATAACGCAATGAGTCCAAATATAGGAACAGTTTTGACCAAAGGGGGTAGCAGTTTCTTGGATGTGACAGTACGGTCCGCCTCGTGTGTTCAAGGCCAAGCTCTTGGGCGATTCCTGTTCGATGTACGAGCAGACCGAGGGAGGTTAATGTGGCTTGCAGGGTGGCCGAACCGCACTGTACATAGCGGCACGGGGCAGCTACACGGCAATCGTGGACATGCTCATCACGGCCGAGCGCGAGATAAAGCACAAGACGCGATCCAAAGAATCCTCCGTGACAACGCTTCAGGTAAGCTCGCTGGTTTGTCTCATATTCCCGATGAGGTTCATGTGAACATTATTGCTTTTTTCATCCTTTGCAAGTGTCTCATTTCACTCTAATTTCTCGTGTAGACATGTAGTTTTAGACCTCCTTTTGAATTTGTAGTGAGTTAGCTGCATTAAGTACACAGTTGCTTACAACATTTTAAATATATTCAGTGTTTTGGCAGTACCTTAGAGCATACTTCCTCGACCCCTTGCCTACTAATGACGAGTGTAACTCATGGCACTTTTTACGGACTACAAAGTCCAACCACAGGTGCGACTTGTATTTTGGCTTCGGCACTTGTTTAGCGGGCTCTCTGGCAGACGGCGGAAGCACCCCTGTTGCTCCACCTACCTTGGGTTGTTTACTCGTTTGTTTTCCTGTTTGACAGAAGAAAAAAAAAAGCGCCATTCATCTAGAAAAAAACATGTTCATAAAGGCCCGTTCACACTCTTGCGACCGAGTAAGACCGAGAGAGACCAGACCGGTTTTTAAGCCTCTTGCAACTTCTTAGGACCAGCTCCGCTGCAACGCATCCGGTCCTAAGACGTCGCAAGAGGCTTCAAAACCAATCTGGTCTCTCTTGGTCATACTCGGTTGCAAGAGTGAATGGACCTTAAGAGTTTGTGCTAAAACAACATGGATTCGGCACGGATATCTGCTTTAGCCGATGGAGAGATACAAAATCTTTTTTTGGGAAGTGTCGGTGGCTTAGGTATATCTCGCATCGCACCCACTGAGAGGAAGAGCCCGATGCAGGCATGCAAAGTGTGCACAGCCAACAAGAAACGACGTACAACAGCATGGGAATGTGGACAGTGCTCTCCACCTTCCTGAATCTTTTTGGTGCTATCACACTGTAAATAACTAGTACTGAAGACGACCTGAAGTCCTGATTTATAGTAAAATACCACACCTGGAAGTGAATGTTCACAACAAAGATTTGCTCTACGTTCCTTGAAACAAAAAATGAGTAGGCAAGGGGTTAACAGCGATAAACAAAAGATACATGTCTCTAACGCTGATGAAGCTTGTTTTACTTTTCTCAAGGCATCTTGTGAAATCTCGAGTCATGTCAAAGTGTAAAAACTTATGGGGGTCTGTAAAATTTCAAATTTAATATTTCTTTCCTTGAAATTATAATTAAGTTTGCATTCCAGTGAGTAATGATAAAGCAAAACAAATGGCACCACCTGGTACATTTATCACTACAGATCCAGCTCCTAGTTTGTGGTTGTCACTTTAAAGTAACATCCCAAGATCCCTTTGTATGGCCTCGTGCCTCAAAACATCAAACTGAGAAAAAAATAACACTATAGAAATTTAACTTGATCCTTACTATTACTTACACAGAGACTCTATAAGACGGATATTTATATGATTTTCCAGTTGAAGTTGGCATCGACACTTTACATGGAAAGGTGCATGACAGAATAAACATACCAAAGGTTTTACAAATATTTTGTCATGACTTGGCAATTCTTTGTGATTTTTCACGAGTTTACTGAATCTGTGATTTTTGTAATTCTTCGAAATTTTTAATGATTCTTCGGGATTTTCTGCGAGTTCTGTGACTCTTCTGGTCCTTTGTGATTTTTAGCGATCCTTCATAATTTTTCGTGAGTTTAGTGATCCTTCGTAATCTTTTTTTTTTTTTTTTTAGTTTAGTGACCCTTCGTGCTTCTAAATTATTATTTTTGATTATTAATTATTTTGCTTGTGATTCTTCGTGATTTTGCTTGGATTTTGCAATTCTTTGTGACTCTTCGGGAGTTCTGGGATTCTTTGTGAGTCTTTTGATTCTTCGAGATTTCTGGCATTTCTTCAGAATATTTTGTGAGTTCATTAATTCTCCATGATTTTTCTTGGATTTAGTATTTCTTCGAGATTATTGCAATTCTTCAGAATATTTTGTGAGATTAGTGATTCTTCATGATTTTTCTTGAGTTTGGTGATTCTTCATGATACTTGTGATTCTTTTCGATTGTTTGTGATTATTAATGATTTTGCCTAAATATTGTGACTCTTCACAATTCAAAGATGAAAGAGCGTGTTGGTGAAAATACAGGAGTCAAAGAAAGAATAAAAACACTTAGGGACAAGGACAGACAGCACAGTTCTTTCAACTAACTTTTTTCCGGGTGTATATAAATATATTAATTTCCGCATCTTCCTCTTTAGTCTCAAACGTTAGGAGGGAGATAGAACTATTGAAGGAGACAGCAGTAAATTTGTGTTGCTAGTTGAAAGAACTGTGCTGTCTGTCCTTGTCCCTAAGTGTTTTTATTCTTTCTTTGACTCCTGTGTCTTCACAATTCTTCTCAATTTTTCTAAATTTTTGGCGACGCCTTCATTATAGATCCTGAATGGAGACCTTACAAGTATATCTTTTTGTCCCAGCCCGGCTCGCGGCAGTTCTGCAACAGCCTGGTGGACATCAAGGAGGAGAGCGTGGGCAGCGACCAGCCCCAGCAGGGCGCCGAAGCCGAAGAGACGGAGAAGCAGCGCCAGCAGAAGCAGCAGCAGATGCAGAGGCTGGCCTGGACCCTGGCCAAGGAGCTGCTCACGCCCAACGACTGGAAGCACCTGGCACGCCACTGGGGCTTCACCGCTGAGCACATCAAGGCCATCGAGCACCAGTACACAGGTGGGTGGCCCCGCTCGTTCGACGCCAGTTGGACGCGTCTCCGACTGGCGTGCTTACCGCGTCCAAAAGGGCGGTCCCTCGGTTTCCACCCAGTGACGTCTGCAAAAGTGCCATGCCGTCGCCGGCCATGGTCTCGGCGGTGTTGCAACAGCAGATCCCGAGCACTGACATGGGTGGTTCCGAAAGAAAGGACGAGACAAAGATAGACATAAAAACGGAACAAGAAAGCAGACGAAAGGTTAGGCACGTTCAGTTTACCACGACGAGTCAAGGGTGTTTGAGCGCTAGTCAACTTTAGTTTTATGTATGGCGTGATGCCCATGTTTTCTTGCAAAGTGAGCTAGATGCAGACCTTGCAGGTGATGATACGCTCCTTCTTCGAATATGTTAAGGCATCGCCAGCGATATAGGCCTGTCAGGACCATTTGCCGGGACCATCGACGTCCACGTCTATCGGCGCCACCATTCTGAAGCGGCCCGAACGCGTCTTCCTCTAGATCATTATATTAATTCTAAGACCACAACCATGGTGCCTGGAACGTGTCTTCGACCGGCATGTTGAGCGTTCCAACCCACCCGTGTTATGAGAGTGGTCCCCAGGTGGCAACAACGGGTGTCGCTGGAACCCCCGTGTCGTGCTGTCGGATGTCGCGATATGGGCGGTTGGTCGTAGGAATGCCGCCGCAAAAGGCGAGTGGACGCGAGGGTCGCCGTTGTCGCAGCGTCCCGCCTATCATCTGCTTTGGTTTCCGTCGACCGTCCGCACGGCGACATGCAGCAGAACAGGCGTCTGCTGCATCCGCCTTTGCTGCTGTGCCACGTCCAGGATCGCGACAGGCAGCAGCACGGTATGTCTACGACGTCATTAGGCTGAAATTGAGGAACCGCTTTTAAAGAGGCATCCCCCAAAATATATATATATATATTTTTTTGTTAGCCGATTTAATGTGGTGTCGAAAGGCTATCAAATTACTATTTTCCTACAGCATCGCATATATATTTTTAATAAAGTAATAAAAATTGCGTTGGCTTAGCTCGGCTATGCCAGGATATACGTAGCTTGAGCTTATGCGCACAAAATGAGAGGCGCTATCAAGCGGCTCCGGTGCACTGCACAACGGAGGCACACAGCTGGGCACGCGGCGGCACCAGTACGTCTGCCTCGGCTATGATGCCACTCCTCTGGAATGCGCAGACCAGCAAGGCGGGTGCGGCGGCGGCGGAGCGCGCGGTGGCAGCTTCACGTGGCTCTCAGAATGAGCCGTGCTCATTATGCGAGCTGTGCTCATTATGCAAAGCGCGCGGCGGAGTTGCCGCCGCTGCGCGCTCATTATGAGAGCTTTGCGAAACTGCTCAACCTCGGCCAGTGTAGCTAACGCTACAAAACGCAACTGCTTGAAACCGGACCGGGGAGGAAGAAGAAATGAAGAGGAAAAGAGAGTATCCGGAAGTTGCACAGCTACACCCAACTGCATTTTATTTTTATTTATTTTTTCCTTCGTTTTTTTCGGTTGTGCAAAGCGGGCAAACAATATGCGTGTCGCACGGAAAGTACAAAAGCCAAGCACTTCGTGCTTGACCTTTGCGCATTTTTCAAGCTCTTGCCAATTCCTGTTCGTAAGACGAGTGATGTCTTCGGGCCAAGAGAAGGGGCAACGACTTTGCAACATCATTATGCGAATCAACTTGGTGGTCGGGCGTGTCGTACGGAATACCTGAATCCTAATTGTTTTGATCAGTAAGCGATTTTTCTTTCGAAGCTAGACAGATACGCCGGTACCGCGAACAACAGTTCTGAAATAGAGGTCCGACGCCCGTCGTCCGCCACTATTGCATAGTCTGCTTCGTTCAGCCGCGATGCGATGCCATGTTGAGAATTAGGCAGAGAATGCCGCTTTTAGGAGCCACAAAAAATGGATATTATATTTTTTTCTTTTTTTAATATTGAGTGTGTGCCTCCGATGACCCACGACTTTGATCATATTGGGTGTGCGTGTCTAAACCATAGAAAACGACAAGCGACCACTGACAAGAGAGTGAGCGCGACTCAAACCGGCCACTTCTCGATCTGCGGTTTTTGGGCAGAAAGAACACGAATTTTGAGCCGCAAATCGCGTTCTGGGTAGTGGGGCTCTAATATGTCATGTACAAATAAAAACTGTGGTGAGCATAAATACCCTGTCAGTGTCCTTAAGGATGCAGTATGCGCAGCAGTAGAAGACGCGCTTAAGGCACCATACCGTGACTGGGGGGGCTACGGAACCAAGTCGTCGACCTGTGTGGTTGGCCTCATGCTGCTTGGCTTCTCTCGGCCGACGCAGGCAAGTCGAGCTATAAGGAGCACGGCTACAGGATGCTGCTGATCTGGCTACATGGGCTGCCTGCCACATCGAATCCCCTGAAAGACCTCTTTGAAGCCCTGGTCGCCATCGACAAGAGGGACGTAGCAGGTATGAACATTTGCGCTTTGTGTCTGAAGTTGCGTGCATCTCGAATTGCCAGCATATTGAGTTGCGTGTGTTGGAAGTTGCGTAAGCTGCAAGTTGCGTGCATCACTAGTTAGGTACAAGCATTGCTTTGCAACATGCTCTGTTTACTCACTGGCGTTGGTGCAGAATGGTTGAAACAGGGTTGAACTGGTTTTTGGGATATGTTTTTGACAAATTCACCGTTTGGTCAATCAGTGAAACAATTGAATGATATGTCAATAAACTATTCTATGATTACACCAGATCAATTAACTGTCCAATAAACCCATTCACTAATAATTAATATATAAATAAACCAATTGATTAGTCAAAACCTAATTGGTCAATAAATTGGCTGATGAACTAACTGAGGCAGGATTACCTATATTGTTTTTGTCATCATGCTACACTTAAAAGGACCACATGCATAGAAGATTCCCAAAACTGATTGGTTGGTCGCCACCTAGTCAACCATTTGGCCAATAAATCAATTGGTTGATGAAGTAATTGAGTGACAAGTACCTATGTTATTTACATCATCATGTAAGTCTTTTTGTGACCGCATGCAGAGATCCACAAAACTGATTGATTGGTCGCCACCTAGTCAACCAATCGGCCAATAAATCAATAGGTCGATGGACCGATCGAGGCAGGATTACCTACATTGTTTACACCATCATGCGACCCTTTTGTGACCGCATGCAGAGAAGATCCTTAGATCTGATTGATTGGTCACCACCTAGTCAACCAGTCAACCAGTCAACCAGTTGGTTGGTGAATTGATGAGGGGCTTGATTGCGTGTATCATTCACATTGTGTGACTTGTGACCACATGCAGAGAAGATCCGCAAGAAGGCGGAGGAGAACGCGTACGGCCCCCGGCGCTTCAACCCGGGCAAGCTGTGCCACATGTGCCGCCTCTTGTGACCGACGGAGCTGTGGCGCCTGTGGTTCGGTCGCCACTAAGGGCCCCACTCTCTCCTCCGGGCGCAAGCACCAAGTGCCTGTGCCACCGCCGCCGCCCTCTCTTTAGGGGCGGCTGAGTTCACATTATTCTCTCTGTTCGCTTTTACGTTGCTCGGCGAAGACTCGAGACGCCATTCTAAGACAGACTGATTTTCCGCCGCCCGGACCTCCGCACCATCACTTTCCTTTTGTCTTGACTCGGGGAAAAACAACGATGTGCCATTCTGTTTTGCCGTGCAAAACGCATCAGCAAGTGGCAATGAAGATGGCATACTCGCTGACAGAATGAAAACAGCAGGGCATCTCTTTCCGATGCCCGGCCTTCAGCACACGCTTGGTTTCTTCCGTCGTGCTTTGGCTGCATGTGCACGCTCGAGGCTTGCGAGGAGCCGATGCATTCTCGAGGTTAGGAAGCACATGCTGGAGGCTGGACAGCTCAAGGACCTTTATGCCATTTTAGCCCTGTCGATGCGCATGCAGGGAGCAAGCTGTCTGCTTCTTGCGTGGGAGTTGTGGTGACGTCAGAATGACGCCGAATTCTGACTAGCTTTGATTGAAAGGATGGTGGGTGGGCCTCAATGCTAGTTGCCTTGTGGTCTACCCACCATCTTTCTCAATCAGCCAATAAGAGCTCGGCATTCTGACATCATCGCAAACCCTGCGTAAGAAGCGGACAAGCTTGTGCTCCGCATAGTTTTTAAAGCCTATTGAACCCAGATGCTTTTACGAGAAAGCTGCTGAACGTTTTCTTTTGTTCCGCATTATTTGGCCCATATTTCGTTGAAAAGATTACAAGGTAAAGTAGGTAGGTACCTTCAGATTTAGAAAAGACACGGGCTCTTCAGAGTGGAAGGTACCTTCAGAAAAGACAGTCGGGCTTGCCAATAAGATGAAAACAAGAATATCTAAAATAGAAAGTATATTAGATAATGGATGCAATGGAACTCATCTGCCTAAAATTTGGTCAAAGATGTTCCTTCATTGTTTTGTACCCCACTGTAATTTTGATGGATATATTTTGATCCTGTCTTATACTAATGAAGCTTTTTTTTTTTTTTTCTTTCAGCACCTTTTAGAGTGCCTTGCATGTGCAATAGCATTTTGGTTCTGAGATGTCGTTCGGACATCCAACGTTTTGTGACAATGCCAACATTGAGTTTGTTCGAGTTATGTGGGAAAGAATGTGTGGCTGGTGATTAGAGGGATTATAGAGGTTTGGTATTGGACTTTAAAAGTATGACAGGATGGGCGGGAGGAGCGCTACATTTTTGCCGACATAACTTGGCGGATGCGTCATGCCTTGGGAACGTCTGGTACCCCAGTGATCTTTTGTGTACCTTTGACCTGTTTCTGCTTCCTGGCTTACGAGTCTTCGAGCTTTCAGAACGGAGAGAGTTTGGGACAAAACGAAATGCCAGAAATAAATACAGAAATAGTTTGTGCAGGGTAAATTTTATGAGCATAAAATCATCCCCTTGCTGTGGCATTGTTAGAAATGTACTGTTCATGGTATTACAAAATCCTGAGTGGGAACCTGTTGAGTCTCGAAGAATACATTTCACAGATTTCTGAAGAAGGGAAATAGCATTTCGCCTTTGATTGTAACATGGTTTTTTTAGGAGTGACAGTTTTGACAGGATCACGACATGCTTTACTGGAGGCACACGTCAAATGCTCTTTTTGCTCTGACAATTTAAGTGTCAAAGTTGAACTAACAAAACTTCAGTTTCGTTAGTTTAACTAACTCCGACACATAAATTGTGTTATGTACCAATCGCTCGATGACGGACTCACCAGTTAAATCTTTGAGAGGATGCGGTTTATTGAAACTTTATACTTGTATTTTGTGCATGGCACACTAGAGGCATTTGGGATGATGTTGCAACACTGTCTTGGGGCTGTACGATCAGAATGAATGCAGGTGGAGACATTTCAACAGGAGATGTATGCTTGAGTTCATGGAGCAGATTCAGCCATAAGAAATGCAGCAAACAGAGAAAGGGCAACCTGAGTAAACAAGGGTCAGTAGCATATCATGAATTGCATATTATTATCATTTTAAAAGTTGAGTCAATGTGAGCATGGAATAACAGAAAACAAGGGAAAGGTGTGAACTTTGGAACCCGGGCTTGTTTTTGTCTAGACCGGCCATTTTGTATTGAGTGTGGCATGATTACTGGCTTCCATATTTTTGCATATCGACCAAGAGCTCCAGGGGTTGGAAATATGCATATTTTAGTGTATGTGTTTGGTGACAGCAGACGACACTGCGAGAAAGGAGCAACTTCTGGCGCGATTCTTATAGCTTACCTACAATTTGGCGATTGGAAGAGAAAAGATGCGAGAGTCACTGTAGGTGGAGTCAATAAAGTCGCCCTAGCATTGGCCTTCCAGAGACCACCAGACCGCTAATTTCATCATCTGGAATTACAGTAGTGCTTGTTTAACGGACTGCTCTTTTGCAGGTCTATACCATACCCTACTCGATGCCAGGTCACGTAATATAGTGTTCAATCTGGTGGTAACTTGCGACATCTGTTGGGAATTTGGGTGTCACGCTAAGGGGGCACGATTTTAGGCTTTTCAAACAAATAACTCTTGCAGAGTTGAGTCAAGCAAGTGGAACATAGGAAAGATTATTTCCCAAAAGTTATAGATTTGTTGTTTTACAGTTCTTTCAACCTTTGTGGCATAGCTATTTTTTAATTTTTAGTTTTATTTCTGCGCTTGTTACGGTTTGGTTTCGTTCATATTAAAAAGAGTATTCTTTCCTTTTAAAATAAAACACTGTAAAACAAACTTTTTTTATTTTTTTTTTTGGTGCAGGGAATTGTAGCTTGTTTTAGCATGAGACTACTAACTGGATTGCTGAAACAGGACTGATAGCAACCCTTGTATGATGACCATGTTTGCAAATCTCTCTGTGATTTATCCAATGCACTTGATTGTCACTGTCTTCCTTTTGAGTGCAAAAAGCAAAGGTGTATATGAGTACGACAATCAAGAGCCCACTGAAGGCAGTAGTACGCTAGAACATCGGCGTTTGTTAGACGTCATAAGATGTATTTACGATCCGCCATACTGTGTGCCTTGTCAACACTCTTCACAAGTATGGCAGGTTAGTTTTCACGACGGGGAATACTTCCTTACATGCAGAGCTGCGACCACGTTGATCGTGTAAGGAAATTAACTTCCTACAATCAGGTCTGGTCTCTGTTACTTTTTTCTTTTCCTACGGATGTTCGCATTAGTTTTATGCACCATAATAATTTGCATTTTTCGCAATCTCCCAATGTGTTCAAAAGAAATATATATATATATATATTATATCTATATGTGTATTGTGTGTGCGAGTGTGAAAGGGTATTGTCATTTTATCGAACTCGTACAGCGAGCAAATATTGTTACCGTGTTTTGTTTCTTTGGCAACCTTGACTAAGCCTGCTGTGTATGAAAAAAAAAAAAGGATGTGTTCGGTTGCCACATTCTAAATGTTTTGCGTGTTTCCGAGCATTGTTGTTGCCAGCTTGTTGTTCATGGATCTTCAGGCCGGTGTTGGCTGTCGTGTAAATTATTGTTTGTTTGTCATTAGACACGTTGATGTGGTTTATACATGTTCGGAATTTCTGAATGATGGTTTTGTACAGTGTTGAGATAATGGAATCTCTGTGTGCGACATTGTTTGGATTTAAAAGTCGGAAGGGGAGCATAGGAGGCTCCATGTACATACTAGGCAAACTGTCATTTACAACTTTCTCACGTAAGTTTTATTAAAAAAAATGTGATATAAAGGAAATGTAATCGATTTCTGCATGAATCAATTTTTGTGTATTTTCTACAGTATCAAGCTGCTTCGAGTGTTTTTACTGCAGCATTCACTTTTTGGTAAAAAGTTTGATTGCATGTTAAAAAAAAAATATTTTCGGTTTTTTATTGCACAGAGATTATGAATACTTAAAATACTCTCAATGATCACTATCAATCACCATCTTTTCGGTGATAATCTGAGTAAATACTTATTTTACTTTATATAGGTATGCTTCTTCGCCAAACTTCTTCACTTTTGGATTTCCCTTTCTCACTCGAACACACACACAACAAAACGGTGACAAATTAGCGGTTAAATTTCACTTTTTCACTCAAACACACACACAAAAAAAAAAAAAAAATGGTGACAAATTAGCGGATGTTTTTAAATGTTTTAGCTCGCTATCGTCAAGTTCAGGCGCTGTAAATCGTGATCCCAGATCTTGGAGCACTTCACATTAATGCCACAGCGCCACATTAATTATTACAGAAACATGATCAATTATAATTGTTCTTAATTACTCGCCCGTTTAAGTTGAGAGGCTGGCACCGCAAAAGCATGGAGCTGGAGGCCTTCGATCTAACGGCGTTTTTCGCATCTGATATTGAGGGTAGGCCTGCTGATGCTTTGCTAGGCAAAACCTGTTTACGGCTCGTTTTACTTCTTTATCTTCGTACTTTTGCGGGTTGTTTGACCTTGATCAAGTTCCACAAGTGACTGCTACTTTTTTGTTTTTACCTTCCTCTTATTTTTTTTATTCGTTTCGAGTTTGCAAACAAAGGTTCGTCTCGAACTCTTCCGATTGGCCATCTGCCAGGGACAGTTCTAGGAACTCCCCACTTTGACGCACTGTCGGCCGGAGACCGGATCTTAAGCAGTTGGGCATAAATCGTTTTTTGATGTCGACGGCACTAATATTCGTGGAAGCTAACAACAAGAACAAAAAAATGTCCAAGGTGATTTATCTGTAGGTTTCTGACTGGTATGTGCAAGGTGCGCTGATGAGCACTCTACCTTTTAGCCGATAAGGTTAAAAGGGCAAGATAACATTGCCCTTGAAGAAACAACGTTACCTTGTTCGTCAACCTCCAGCATGTTAATAAAGCTCTAATTATTTCATTAATTAAAAAAAAATTGAGAAATTTAGCTTTTTTACTTTGTCCTTAAAGCACAACTCGGTGGTCCCTGTTATTTAGTCATCTTGCCGTTATGAGATTTAGCCTACATTTCACAACTGATCATAACCTCAAGGACTGTCACGGATGATACGTCACGACATAAGAACGCGGATGTTGTGATGTTGAAACCGAAACTGAAAGACGCCCCCAGGCCCTAGGGTGGTTGATGTCGGTGAGGCTTGAAATGGACGTTGTCTGCTTTCGTCTTGCGCACGGCCCAGGTTTCGTTAAGGAGCATCTGTGTGGGTTAATTATAAATTGTAATTATGCGACTGTCTTTCCGTATCACGCCTTCTCGGATGAGAGCTCACGGTTAAAAGACATACACATTTCAAATGGCAATTATCTTCCACGTCAACCGCGCTGGGACGGTGAAAGTCACGTGAGAACTCGGAACCTATGCTCGGAACAAAGCGCTTGCTGGTGCTTCTCTATCGCTATCGTGCCATATATATTCGGTCATTTAATTAAATAAATATTTAACTGAAAATAACGTGTGCCAAGACGATAAGTCGACTCATGTATCCGAATCCGAAACGAAAAAAAAAAACCGGAGAAACCACCTCCAGAAAGGTTTTTTATGGCTGACAATTAAAATATTACGCCATTTAAATTTAGATACCGTCTTATGTCGGTGTGTTTAAACGAAACAAAGAGTTTCATTGGGTCACAAACGAACTACGCGAACGAAGATGCCAACGCCGTCGCGATGGATATCGAAACCAACCGCAAGGTGCCGCGGCGGTCGCACTAATGAGCTCGCCACAAAATTCTATCGGCGATGCTACAAACGTGCAGCGACTGTTTTTACTTGGACTCGGGAGGCTTTGCCGTCGTCGAGATAGTGTGGGGCAGCGCGCACGATGGCTGCTTATTCGGGTTAAAAAGAGAAATCCATGTCTCAGCACAGGCGGTGCAAAATCTTCAGTGAGCTGAACGAACGTGCGACGAGGAGGTCAACTCATCGCGGTAGCCACGGGATACCGACCACGTAACATAGCAGCAGTTTCTCGGGCGCTGTTATGGCCCTTCGGAGATCCACGCTTCACCACCGCTTCAGGACAGGAATTTGGTGTCCGACGGTGTTCCTGTGCATCGGACTCGCCTGTTTAGTTCATCGGACCCAGTCTTCCAAGGGCGGGCAAGTCTACACGAACCAATTCGCGGTCGAAATTCACGGTGGTGAGGCAGCCGCTGCCGAAGTCGCTCGTCGGCACGGATTTATTTACCAAGGACAGGTATGTTCCAAAGTGTTGCATGATTTTTGTGGCGCTTTTTCTCGCTCTTTCACAGCCGTCGCCTTCGGAACTTAGCCTTCGGTCGTGCCTTTCGCGCTTTCCGTGCGCATACACGCAGCACTGTCGGCGTTTTAACTTGTTTTTCTTTTCTTCGAATTTTCCCTCGTTTGTTTTTTGGGCTTTCCTCCGCGTTGATTGAGAAGTGTGCGTGTTTTAGTTTCTGTTTTGTTTTCAGCGGATATCGTCTGCTCTTCCCACCTATCTGTCCTGTGTAAACACTTGCGCATATGGTTGGCTCGTTTGACAAGTTTAGTCATCGGTCCTTTTCCTCGTCCATACCAGGGTTCCTCCGTGTTTAAACAATTAATCTCTGGTAGTACGCTGACGAGGAGAGCAAATAGAGGAAGCTAAGCGCGCTGCGTAATCTCCCGCAACTCCCTGGAAACCGAAAATCAGCACGGCTGTATGCACGCTCGGCGATTTCGCCGTTGTCAAAAGTCAAGTGTTTTGTCGATAAAGCGAACGACGAGGTTGGTTATCGTCGCCCCGAGTCAGCTCCGGGGCTGTGTCTTTCGATCTCGAGAACGTGGTTTTCCCGATGAGAAAACGATAAGATACGCTCTGTCTCTTGGCGTGACTCTCTACCTGTATCTTGCAGGCCGACGAGACAAGAAACTAACTCCCCGTACCAAAAAAAGAGGCCGAAAAACACCCTCGGGTTCGACACGATTAGTCAAAGCATACGTCACTTCATTTGCTCCACTTTGGAAATAAAGCACACACGCCAGCGGTCGTACGCACCTCAGTTTTCGTCCCTTCAAATGTGAAGGGAAAAATGTCGAAATTAACGGCGCTAGATCGAGTTCGTTGTATCGAAGACATGCCCGAAAGAGCGGTACATTTTGAAAAGAAAAAAAAAAAAGTGAAAAAAAAAACAACAAACAAAAAAGAAAGTGTAACGGAGAAAATAAAGGGAGCGCGCGTTGCGGCGTTTCGTAGTTATTTTGTTGCGACCTGAAACGGTATGATGTTGGTTATTACGTACTCTTTTGAGCTGGGGCGTCATGAAACGGCGGGGCGCCCATTCAGCCCGCCAGACACATGACACACCTCCTTTTATGCATCGCTCAAAGGGAAGTTCTGATCCACACCCACGCTTTTCACGGCAGCCTGCATAGCATTCGTGAATGTGGCTTTTCTAGTCCGCAAGGCCGCGCAGCTTTGAGGCCTCTTCGTCGCGTTTTTTATTTCATTTTATTATCATACGTGGGATCATACAGTTCCATTCATTAACTGACCCAATGGGTGACACCGTCTGCCACAGCTATCTCTTATTGAGGACACATTTTTAATGGAACTGAGCTCAAGTGTAATTGCAGCCAAAGGCGTGTTTTGTACGAATGGCATCAGCAACAATTAGACTCGTGTTTCATCTCGCAGCACCAATTATAAAGAACTGCTACTTGAGCAAGTGTTGAGAACGATGCATCCAAAGTTATGGCAGCACTCCAATTAATACTGCTTGTTAGCTAGGATGGCAGTCACTTGGGGGGGCCCGCTATCTTCGTGTGGGGTTCTTGACAGCTCTGACATTAGTAGGCTCTTGTGCGTGTTCTGCTAAGTGCATCCTCGGATAATTATGTTTGCGGTAAACACATGTTATACGGATGGGGCCCAGTGGCACGTCAGCCCTTTAAAGGGGCTGCATAAACTGTTTGCAATGCAAAGCAGTGCAGAGGTGTAATAAGATGGTGCAAATTGTCTTAATAAATATATGGAAGAGTGTGTTCACATATATGTAAAAAAAATGTCAGTGACAAAACTTCTTTTTCCTATAGGTTTAGTTGTGCAGAACCATCAAGTGATATGATATAATGGGCCACTGTGGCATTTGCTTTGGAAAAATAAAGAGGATATAAAACGGAAGCCAATATATTTTTTCTTTCATTGGCTTGTCTGCTGTAATAAAATCATAATCTTATTATTCTTTTGACAATGGTGAGCTCATATTTTCATACTTTCAAATAATGATCATGCACCACCTCTCCTCTGTGGCACTTCGCAGTGTGATACGTTTATTTGTAACTTCTCAAACCTGCTCCCTGGTGTCCATTTGGTATATTAACATGCACCCCTATAAAAGATAACATGCTTCTGTAATTGATTTTAGGACTAAAACTCAGTATTTAAAGCAATATATGGATTACAGATTTGGTGACGTTATTACTAAACCTATTTTAAATATGCAATTATTTAAGAATTTCGAAAGTGCATGTAGAAGATCAAATGATTGGAATGATGCTAAAAAAATTCCAACCAGTTGTGAAGTTTTTTTTTCCCCCCTCATAACTTAAAATTTGCAAATGAAGTTCTCATGCTGTTTTTACTGCATGTGACATTGACAATCGTCTCTTCTTTCGGTTTTACTTTCAGATCGGCACCCTAGAAAACCACTACTTATTCGAGCACCACTCCATTCACAAACGCTCGACAGAGGCAAGTCACAGCCATCACACCAAATTGGAACAAGACGAGCAAGTAAGCCAACACACGTTGCGTTGCTTCCTTCTTTTCTTCTTTGCTGTCACGGACGTGAGAATCCAGAGAACTGGCTAGGTGGCACAAGCCACCACCCAATTGAAAGAGTTCAGACAAATTCATTCATTCATTCATTCATTCATTCATCCAATGTATTAAAGTAATACAATATTCTTGCTAAACAGTGTTAGTGCACACGTAGACAGAAGATACAGGATAGAGCGTACTGGACCTCGGGTTAACACTACTCTATCCTGTGAGCTATCTAGGATTGAAGCAGTTAAATAGTTTTCAGAACCCGGCGGGAAATGTACTGGACCTTGCTGTAGTGAACTTTCACGCTCATACCGTCGCACCAGTGTCTAAGCCCCTTGTCAAGCCCGATGAGTGGCACATTCCCTTCTCTGCTTCTTTCTGTGCTTCCTACAGGAGAGCAAAGCATACAAGCTATGAATCGTTTGCTTTTAATAGGGGTAATTATCTTGGACTTTTCACATTTTAGATAACGTTGATTGGGCACCAGTGTATAAAACTAGTAATGTAAATTTTGCTGTTGAGTTACTTACTAATTGTGTTAAGAACGCCATCAAAATGTTTGTTCCAAAAAAGTGTCGTAGTTTGTCCCGCTATTCTCATCGGTTTTTGCACAAGCTTAGGTCCGAGCTTAAAAGAAAAAAAAGTGCACTGCTATATTTACTCGAGTAATAGCCACACTATTTATGAACAAGGCCCTTGCATCTACTTTCCCACAGAACACATATACAGTCGCAGTTGCGCAGAAATAGCATAGCGAAGAACCAGATCGAGAACACGATTCTCCATACAAATGCAATCTTCACAGGTGGTATCTTTCCACGAAGACATTATCTTTGTCCTGTAAACAGCTGAAATCATGCTGTCCATCGCGGTGATTGGCACTTTGCGTGCTCCGCGGAAAAGCAAACCCTCAGGCTTTCTTCATAAACAGTGTGGCTATTACTTGAGTGAATACGGGATCATAGGAAATATAAGGTAAACCAAACACAGTTTTGGTATAATAAGTTTTCGAAATCATGAGCGCTAGCTAAGGTATTAATCAAGCGGGACGAAGAATCTTTTCGAGAGTCAGTTGAACGCAGCTTAAACCACGACCCCAAGTATTTATAGCGGTACATCAGTGATCGCATGACCTCGTCCTCTTCTGCGATAAGCCTATGTGATACATCTGGTAAAGTGCTGAATGAACCTGCATCTGTGTCAAACGCATTTTCTGATTATATTTAGAATCTGTTTACTCTTCAAACAAAGTGGCGTCATGCATGCCAGGGGATAGTAATAAGTATAATGATAACCTCTCGATTACGTCTTTTCAACACGCTGAAATCGAGATTGCGATAAAAAGACTAAAACCCAAGTTATCAATGGCTTTTGATAGCATCCCAAGCTTTATTGTTAAAGGTTGTTCCTCAATTTTTACACCAATATTAACTCATATTTTCATCTTAATTTGTCTCTATCAAGTTTTACTTTTCCCAAGCTTTGGAAAAATTCTGTCATTGTGCCTGTTCACAAAGGTGGCAAGACCGATGACGTAAAGAATTACAGACCCTTGCTCTGTGCTTTTTCGAAAGTTTCACAATTTTTTAAATGTAAAATTAGCATTTCACAACATGGTTTCTTCTCTGGCAGGTCTGTAGAGACCAATCTAGTGTCATTTTTAGACCTTGTTTTGCCAATTGCCGATCAGCGTTGGCAGGTGGATGCTGTATACTTTGATCTGCCGGAGGCGTTTGACTTGGTGAATCGTTCAATTCTTGTACATAAATTGGGGGCATATAGAGGAAATAACCAGCTTTGCAATTTTTTTTTTCAACTATCTGATATGAAAAGAAAAAAACTGTTTGAATATTAGGACGTCATTCTAGACCTTATGTGTCTTTTACTGGTGTACCACAGGGGTCCATACTGGGGCCAATTTTATTTAATGTTTTTATAAATGATCTGGGTTCATCTGTCTGTCATTCACATATCTTGCAATATGCTGACGACATCAAATTGTTTAGGCAGGTGTCATCCATTTATGACTGTGAAATGCTACTCAATGATGTTAATGCTGTGCACCATTGGTGTTGCTGTAGTTTGTTAACTTTAAATCCTAAAAAAACTGTAGTTATGTTCTTTTCTAAGAAATTGGAAATCATACGTTTTTGTTACCATCTTGAGAACCTACCTCTGCGTAGGGTGGGATGCACAAGAGATGCAGGAGTATATATTGATTCATCATTGTCATTCAATGAACGTGTTTCCAACATCACAAATGCTGCCTATCGGACGCTAGGTGTTATTTTGAGAATAACGCGTGAATTCCCTTCATCAGGTTATATAGTATTCATTTTGTATTTTTCATTAGTACGTACCAAGCTTGAGTTTAGTTCTGTTGTTTGGAATTGTTCAGGTAGTGCAAACCAGGCAAGAATCAAAAACGTACAGAGACGTTTCTTTCATATTATTTATGATCGCTACATTGGCCACAGTGTTTACTATGAGTATAACAGGCTTTTACGACGCTCTGGTTGTACTACACTAAGCTCGAGAAAACTTGAGCACAATCAAATGTTTATGTTTAAATGCCTTCATGGCATTTATTCGTGGCATCAGCTATTAATATATATGTACCGCGAGTGCTTTTGAGGGTAAATCCCACTTTTTTAGTTAAAAAAATCATCCTTTCCAGTCCCATGAACCGCATCCAACATTTTTATAACACGTTCATTACAACCAGCATTGACATTTTTAACTGAAGTATTCAATCGTTTAGGCATTCATTGGCTGATATTTAACTGTTATCTATTTCCTGTTCTTCCATAATAGATATTAGGTGTTGCACGTGCCATAGATTTCTTGCGTGTTCTCCTTTTGGCTCTGTGCATCATTACTGAAGGCCCGTTCACACTCTTGCAACCGAGTACGACCGAAAGAAACCGAAACTTATTAAAATGTCTTTAAATTTCTTAGGACGAGAGAACACACTGGCACACTGGCACCATCTATGCAGTGACCCTGGAACTGCATTTCACAAAAGCGAAGGTTTTGTGCGAAGGTCAAATGTGCGTAATACCTATAAGCGAAGGTCAAATGTGCGTAATACCTATAAGAAAGGCTCATTTATAATGTTGACAAAAGTTTTTCGAGCCAAGAGAGAAAGGATAATGTGCAAGAGAAATAGAAATATTCCGGACCGCCAAGTGTGTCCTCTCGTAAGAGGTTTCAAGTAACCCAGCTTCAAGAGGTCGCAAGAGTGTGAACGTGCCTTTAAACTTCTCACCGTTTATGAGCTAGGAAAATAAACAACTAAAACAAAATCCTGTATCTTCTCTCTTCTCTCCACGTGTGCGCTAATACCGTTTAAATGTTTAATTACCAATTAGCCCAATTATCTACCCTTTTACAGTATTCTTGCCTTGCTTGAATAAGTGAAACAATGTGTTCAGGCTGTGTTAAGGCTAAGGTGCCCTCGCTTTTAGTTACTCATCGTCTGTAACTTTCACATGTATAACTGGGAACTTCTTTATCACTTTGTGATTACATTTTTGTTCTTAAGTGTTAAAAATATGTTTTACTTGCTTTTGTTTTCCCTAATTATTACAGCAGTTTGTCTGACCTCTGATCGCTGTTTTTCTTAATGATGCCCGTATGGCACAGAGACAGAGAGAGAACGACGGCTAATGATTGTGATCCGTAAATACCCCATAGCCCGGAAATGGATAATGGGGCATAGAACACTTTGCAAACTCCGACATTCCAGCCATTTCCTTGGTGAGCAGTTGAAAGACAAGCAAGCTTCTTTCCTCCTTGAAAAAGAAAACAAACTATAAGAAGAAATTAGTGCCTTCTTGAAAGACAAGCAAGCTTCTTTTCTCCTTGAAAAAGAAAACAAAAAGGAGAATGGACATATGCAAAAGCAAACGCTTAATTGCTTGTTGCATCATTCATGCGACGACTTGCTTCCTTATTCAGCCTAAGACTAAACAAAGAGTAAAAATGAATGAAATTGAGGCGCCATTGAATAGAAAAAGATGCTAATCATTGAGAAGTAATAATCTGTACTAAAATCTTTCGTACGGTTGGTTGCCTAAAAAGATCTCTCTGTTGTAAATATAATATAAAGTATGATATGCTATCTTGGTTTTATTGCAAACGAATATGAAGGATTCAGAAAACAAGATGTAACAGCTGCATGTTGCTTTTCTAGAGGAGCTAAAACCAGTTTTTGATTGCAGCTAATCTTTCCCGTGGCAATAGTGTAAGAATATATTGTGTTGCGAGCGAAGCGGAACGATTGTCGTCACCTTTTGCGTATCCACAGGGAGCGTTACTCTGTTCTCTGGAATTTCTTTATTGTGCAATGGAATATGCTACAGGAAATTAAGTAGTTTCCAGAAGGCTGTATAGCGCTGTTGTAGGAAAAAGATCTTGAAACCGGAATTTTGTGTAGAGAATATTAATGACTCATTGAGGAATTTCATAAATGCACGGTATCTAGGGTCAGCGTGCTGGGATGAGTATTAACCTTTGGTACCCTCTTTCTGGTTTTGCTATTAGAGTCATTGGCCAAAACTTTCCTAGTGGAAATATATTTTTTTTTGCAATGAATAAATTAGCAATACTAACTGGTGTCCATACTGACTCTATTTTGTAGTCTTCTCACCTTTATGAAGAGTCACAGACACCATACCTGTAACATTTGTGTTTGTGCATTTTTTTGTTGTTGTTTTATAGCGAGTAACAGCTGTTTTTTATTTAATAATTTGTCTATGCATAGGGTGTCAGATGTGTCAGTTATTAGGATAGAGAACCAAATATTTATTTTTGTAGACTCTTATTTTCACAAACTGCTCAGTTAATGCATGCAACAAGTAACTGAGATTTTGGTTTACCCTGAAAAATCTCTTGGTTGTCCAAATTAATCTTCAGCGCTAAACTAGAGCATAACATCTGCCCTTTGTCAGTTTGTCACATAAATCTATAAACACTCTTCTTGCACATGACACTAGAGAAAGTTTCTGCAGGTATAGCGAAGTTACGTAAGAAGCAGAAAAGGAGCACTTAAAGAAATACAAGTTCGCTAACAAAAGAGACCTTTAGATTAGCTGTTCAGTCATAGGTGGTTAAGGCCCCATGAAAAGGATACAGTAAAAAATGGGACACTGGGGTGGGAGTATTGTCTTCTCTTGCTTTGTGTCTTTTTGCAAAGATTTAGGTCTTCTGATGGCCCCAGTTTTGAGTTGGGCAACTGCTTGTCGTGCAGGTACGGTGGTGCGAGCAACAGGTGGTGAAGCGACGGGTGAAACGAGACTTCAACCTGGATGACGTCCGATACCAGGAACAGTTTCATCGGTCCTACCGCATCTTCTCTGACCCCTTGTACCAGAAGCAATGGTATCTGGTAGGTGGTACTCTGTTTCTTAATTTATACGCATTCACACAACATGCCTGTACTGGAATAAAAAGAATAAATTATGTATTGGCTAAATTGATAGGCTTAATGGATTAAATTATTATTATAATATTATTATTAAATGTGTCTTGGATTCTCCAGATTTTGAAAATTAGCTAGATTTTTCGGTTAAAGAATAGAGCTTCGTATAGAGTAGTGCTTCCTAAAACAGTATACACATGGCTAGAAGAATGGCTGTGGTCATGGGTATAGCTGATTAACTTAGTAGCATCGGAGCTATTGTTTTGTTTTAGATTTCTAACCTCTCATCATGGTGAGGCTGCAAGAGCTCGCGACTTGTTTTCTTTTATTTTAATTATCCTCGGAAATGAACCAGCTCATGTTAGTTAAGTCGTTCCTTATCAAAGGAAGATCGCAGTTATGAAGAAGTCTCAGTAAAAAAATTGTTTAGCCCAAAATATACGCTACTATGTGTACCAAAGCATATCAAAATGTAACTAAAGAAATTTCCTTTTCAACAATGTAGATGACAAACAAGATATTTATTACATAGCACAAGAAAAAAGGAAAGGTCATGTCATAGTTTGTGTAACCAACACATAAGCTTTTATTTTAATTCAATGTGCCTTGCAAGCAATTAAAAGTAAAGACTCGCCGAAGGGACACTACCTGGGAATGTCAACTTTCGAACTGTTCACTCAATCGACGTGATATTTGCAGGTAGCGTTTGTAGGCATATAGAAGGAGGCCATGCAAAGTGTCAGCGCTCTGAACCCATTTTATATGGTACTGTACCCCCAGAACGAAGTAAAGCATAGCTTTGCTTAGAATCTGCTCGATGAATCTGTCATTGAGAAATGGTGTTGATAATCACATATGTTTCTGGTGGAATGCATACTGGAATACCAGTTGCCAGTTACTATGAAAATAAATTTCAAACATTACGCATTTCTCAAACAAAAAACAATTTATGAAAAATGTTTTTTTTTTTTTTTTTTTTTTTTCAGGTTTACCAAGTTTTGAAAATTATATTTTTTGTAATAAAGGAACATGAAAATGCAAAATCTAAGTTCATAGTAACCGGCTCCATAAAATTTCAGCATATAAGCCGCAAATATTAAGTCTCTCGGTAGTTTCATACTGAAACAATAGTTTTATTAAGGTGCAATTCTTTGCCAAAAAGCTGAACTGAGAAAAACACGTTCAATGTGCTCCAACCTCTACTTTTCTTTAGCATCAGTGGACCGAAAATAATTATAAAAAATTAACTATCTAGTGTAAACTAATAAAACTTTCTGGGAATACTCTCTAGATGTTGGTGGATGTAAAGGTGGCATTTTTCAAAATCAACATTTTTTGCTGAAATTGTTTTTTCTGGGTAGTGTCCCCCCTTAAAACTGCTTATGTGTAGGAATGCTAAAGCATTCCTACATGGAGCGTATTCTTACAAGCAGCATGCCACATCTTCGTTTCACGCATGGTGCTCCGGCGGTGACATCACGCTCCCTCACTACGCAGGTGCAATGAACCCCGCCGGCCTCACGACGGCTTTCGTGACAAAGCATTTGCGTTGCTGTGCTTTTCTTTGTGTTTTAGTTCTGAGGCGTGTCTGCTTTGACCTTGAGCACCCTGTCGGCTACCATGAAGCATCTGCGCTGCTCTGCTTTTCTTTGTGTTTTATTTCTGAGGCGCATGCTTGATGACAAAGCTTTATGACCATTTTTCGGGGACAACGCCAATGGCTTTTCGTGTTATAAAACAAATAAGGCTTTTGCCTTAAAAAAGAATTAAAAATATACATTTTGTATTTTACTTTTTTAGAAACAAATCTTGCAAGTTTGAAAAACTCCCGTGTAAAACTTCTTGTTCTGCGGAAAAAGGGGTTAGCCCCCGTGATTACTACCATTCCCCGAAGCCCCGGTTGAAGCGTTTCGTGCTACTTCATAGCGTTATGCTGAGATCGGGAAAGGCCGCCTTTTCAAAGAAAACTCCACTCATTTTGCTGCTGATAACATGAAATCATGCCCAGTATCTCCACAGGAGCTCACGGAGGCAAACAATGTGCTCGGTGTACTATGCGAAACATACCGACTGGCACCTGTGGATGGTCCAGGCTTATTCCACCCACTGCCGCTATCGAAACTAAAATCCAATGAATGAACGTCACGCTCGACTCATCTGACAAAATTGAGTGCATATGCCCCAGAATCGCGAGTCAGATGATGTTTTCGAGGAGTGTCAGAGCCAGGGCCGTAACCAGGGGGGGGGGTTAGGGGGTTCCGACCCCCCCCCCCCCCCCCGAAATTTTTTTCTGGGTATGGCCCTGGTCGGTGCACTGTCATCCAGCCAATTTTAATCTCCACCTCAGGGCACGCGCAGTGGCGCTGGTCGGCTACCGGGTACCAAACCGGGACCGGTCCTCCGGTTTGCTGTAACTCTCCATTATATGCCACCGATGCACATGATTCATAGGCGAAAATAAGACAATAAACACTTTCCAAATGGCCGCCGTTGTCCCCGAAAACCCCCCCCCCCCGAAATTTTTTTCTGGGTACGGCCCTGGAGAGCGTGACGACGACGCCACGCTTGGTTCAGTCGCTTGGGATCCTGGAACTTTAAAGTCGCGTGAAAAATTGCCCCTTGGTGGAAAATCCAAAAGTGAAACTCGAAGTGGAGTTCCTTTGTAACACCCTAGATGGTGCCACATGTCTGAAAAAAAACTCTGAAATGGGGGTTGAATTCCATCAATCAAATTTATAGATTTGAATAGGTGCGGTAAGGAAAGAGTAAAATATTTAGGTAAAATTAGAAGTCAATGATTACAACATTCTTCCCCGCATGAAACATTCACAATAGTTTTCAAGTGATGCGAGAGAGCTTTAGTCAAATGGCAGCAGGTAAAAATCAGTTAATGAGTCAACTGCTACTACTAATACACAATCTCCAGTCTCGCCTTGCTTGTACTCTGCCTTATTTATTACACGTAGAGAAAAGGCCTGCATCACAATATTGCCAGGGAAGCTCTGGAAAAAAAAATGCTCTGCTGCTCTTTCGTTGACAAAACACCGATATGCGTCATTTGTGCGGTCCATCGTTGAAGAAAGACGTCAGTCGAGCTTCTTATTTATAGACATGATCAACGACGAGATTGAGACAAGGGCACAGCTGGGCATGCTGACGTTGGAGTGAGGATTCTAGTTTTGTTTTTGTGTACGAATGCGAGCATTGTTCTTCTTTGTCTACAGAATGGAGGGGCACTTGGAGGCCACGACATGAACGTGGCACCTGCCTGGGAGAGGGGGTACACCGGGAAAGGGGTGGTGGTCACCATCCTCGACGACGGCATTCAAACAAACCATCCCGACCTCCTCCAGAACTATGTGAGTGGCGGAGTGTGGGACTGTAGTCTAACTCTGCGGTGGCCGTTTGTGAAGACAGTTTGCAAATTGCTTTGAAGCAAACTTTAAAAAAAAAGAACAAGAAAGGGCAAGCACACACATGATTAGTTGATCTTGAAAGTTTAATGTAGGAAGTTGCATGCAGCCCTGATCTCGCAAGTTGTAGGTAGCTCGAGATTTTAGGCATGCAAGTGTGGCTGTGACATGCACATATTACCAGAGAAATGCATGAAAAGTTGTTCTGCTTGTGTGCTGCACTGTCGAAAGCCGAGTTTAAAAGTGGGAAAATTATAAACTATCATACTCAAATGCCCGCGTGAGGTTAACCTCAAGGGCATAAACTGAATTAGCATACAAATTCTTAGAAATGTTTCTTCTCTTTTTTTTGACAAGGACGCCTTTGCCAGCACTGACATCAATGATAATGATGACGATCCCATGCCCCAAGACAACAACGACAACAAGTATGTACTTCATCGGGGTGCCTCAGTGAGAAGGCAACCTACTCTTCACTGCGCTTACATCTATACTGCAGTCTCCCAGAGCTGAGGCAGCTTATGTGACGGTGCTATGCGCGCTTTGGCTGGAGGTCAGTTGACTGTTAGGGGGAGAAGGGAACAAAAGTTCCTCCAGGTAGTTCCTCACCTCAAGCAATGTGGGATTTGCCCAAGGGAATCCAGCACAGCCACCTGAAACTGACTCGTCTAATGGGTCTTCCGAATTGTTGGAGACTGTACACGTCTACAAACCCTAAGTGTCATGAAGGAAGACATAGCAGGAAAGGGAGCAGGAGGAAGTTACTGGTAAGGAAGGGGGGGGGGGGGTGGGGGGGTTGTCATGTTGCCATCACATAAAAAGATGTTGGAACTCTAAATGTTAATGGTTTACACAAGCCTGTTTGGTTAGGTTAGAGTACACAGAATTGAAAATATAATTGCTAGTATTAATCCTTAATTTTAGGTACTGTTCAAGATATTGGTGTGGTATTGAACCCATAACTAAGACACCAGATTGGTGTTGAATCAATAACCTGCAGAGCAAAGTTAGAATCACATTAATGACCGAGATATCAACTGCATATGAAGTACTATGCGGGCATCAAAATTATTCGGGAGTTGGGAGCTGGCAGGTGAGCAAAATTTTCCTTTTCAACCCCGCCCCCCCCCCCCCTCCCCCTTCCCCCCTCCTTCCCGTATTGTTCACACAAAATTTCTAAAATGTCTTGGGGGGGAGGGGAGGCTGGGCAATCAAACATAGGTAGTACCACCAGCATCAGTAAAAGGGAGCTAGGGGAGGGGGGGGTACCCTTTACTGATGTCAATGCTACTATTGCTGGGATACAATGTCCATCAAGCCCATCGCCTGAATACTGCATTGGTATAGAACTTATAACTAAAGGCCCGTTCACACTTTTGCGACCTCTTAAACCTGGGTTCCTTAGAACTTCTTAAACCGGAGAACACACTGGCGCCATCTATTGGGAAGCAGTGTAAACTCGGCGGTCCGGCATATTTTTTTTATTTCTCGCGCATTATCCTTTCTTTCTGGCTCGAAAAACTTTTGTCAATGTTATAAACGAGCCTTTCTGTGGGTATTACGCACATTTGACCTCGGAAATCCCGCAAAACCTTCGCTCTTGTGAAATGCAGTTCCACGGTCACCGCATAGATGGCGCTGCAATGCCAGTGTGTTCCGTCATTCTGAAAACATTTAAGAAGTTTTAAGAGATCTCGTCTCTCTCAGTCGTGCTCGGTCGCAAGAGTGTGAACGGGCCTTAAGATACTGGGCCAGTATGAAAACAACAGGATTCATGTTTAGCCAAGCCATTTGTGCAGGCACCTAAGAAAACATGCAGTGATATATTTTTATAAAAAGCACGCTAGTGAAGGCGATTGCTTCAGTGGCTGATGCAATTTTTTTTCTGTCTGGTCGCATGGGCAGGCACGGGACACGATGTGCAGGAGAAGTGGCTGCCACCGCTCTCAACGAGTACTGCGGTGTCGGAGTGGCCTACAACGCCAGCATTGGAGGTGAGCCTTCACAATCCTCGATGCAGGAACAACTCGAGGGGAGTTGCTTTAAGGGGGGACACTACCTAGCAAAAACATTTTCTTAAAAAAAAGTTGATTTTGAAAAACCATCATATTTGCATCCACCAATATCTAGAGAGTACGTTTAGAGAGTTTTATTAGTTTACACTGCATAGTTAATTTTTTATAAATTATTTTCTGTCCACCAATGCTAAAGAAAAGGTAGTGGTTTGAACGCTTTGAACACATTTTTCTCCATTCCACTTTTTGGCATAAAGTTCACCTTAGGAAAACTATGTTTTATGTAACTCGGATTCATTTTTATGAGTTATTCAGGGGTGAAATCTTAAGGGGAAGATAGCTATGAGCTTGTATTTTGTCATTTTTTATGTTCAAGAACTAAAATTTTGGACAGAGGATTGAAATCTAGAAAACAGTATTTGTGTTTATGGGGCTTTTTTTTTTATCATGAAAGATGGTATAATATAGAAATATAGCTCCATGGCTATCTGCTCTGAACTGTCCTAACGCAATATAACCCATGAAAACGACAAATTTATGAGTAATTTCAGAACGATAGTTTTTCTACGCAGACACGCCCACTTTCATCTTTGAACATTTGTAATTTTTTTGTACTCCACCCGGGTCTAGAAAATTTAGCAGAAATGTTCTCAACATCAACAGAAAAAAGCCTTGTAATTGTCATTAAAATCAGAAAAGTAGTTCAAACATTCACTTTTTTGTTTAGTATCCCCCCTTAAGCAAGCTTCTGTCAATTTTCTTTGTTTGTGCCACTGTGCTCAAGTCCTGATCAAGCAGATCTGTCTACCTTATTTGTTCTTGGGGCTGGACTCTTAGGTGACCCGTATATTTGTGCTACGATTTACGGTCCTTCTTCAGGGGTACGGATGCTGGACGGCACGGTGACGGATGAAGTGGAGGCCCGTGCCCTCAGCCTGAACCCGCACCACATCGACATCTACAGCGCCTCTTGGGGCCCAGAAGATGACGGGAAGACTGTGGATGGCCCTGGAAAGCTGGCCAAACAGGCGTTTTTCCAGGGCATTGCCAAGGTAAGATATTGGCTCATGCTGCACATGCACAATCCCCTAGATCAGATTTGGACAACATGTCGAGCCTCCTAGGAAGCAGAATTTTCAGCTTCCTTTACTGGCCTCTGATGAAGTATTTGTACATGGCTAGGTTTTTGAAGGAGCAGTATAAAAGTGTTTGTACTTTGCCTAAATGCCACCTGAAATGAATTCCCGACAATTAAAACAATAAAACAGGCGGTAGTTTTTCTCCTCGTGCAATGGTAGTCTAAAAAGAACTTTCAGCCATTCCACTCTGGTGAAGAAGGAAGAGCAGCGGAGCTGTACAATGGAAAGTGCAATGGTCGGCTGCAAGTCGGCAAGTTATAGTGGAAAGGCTGCCGCCATCTATGAGCGACGGTGGCCACCAGATATGTGGCTTACCGCCGTCACTCATAGATGGCGGTAGGTGTCCAGAGTTCGGTGTCTTTATTTCTTTGCGGGGAACACGATCCTGGGAAAACTAGCCCTTAACAGCTCCGCTGTAAAAAAAAAAAAAATTAAAGTGAAGCAAGCAGTGTTTTCCCCTCGGCTCGCGGCCAGAACAAGCGACCACGTGATTTGGAGCCGATTGTATGCTACCAATGTTTATTGTAGCCATGCGCTACGGTTGGTAAAGTACAGAACACGAGCAGAGTTCCAGACGTCGTTAGGGTTGGCTGTCGTCATCACTGCAGCAACTGGATATATGTGTCACTACCCTAATGCTTGTCGACCTATTGATTATCGCGAGCCCAAATCGAGTGCTCACTTGATGCTTGGGTCCAATCTGTATTGTCACTGGGGAATTATGCCAACACGGTGACCTCCAAACTACGTCATCAAGTTTTGCGAAGGAGAGATGGAATGAATATGCTCGCTTTTATTCTTGAAATTGTGCCGGAACAAAGAGGTTTTTTGGTCACTGGCATTGCATGCGAGTATACTTGGGTGCCACCAGTGCCAGTAAGCGTGTAAAGGGAAAAACATTCCTACTGAATATTCTTGCACCGCCCTTTTAAAGAAATGCATCTGCAGGGGTCTAAGTGGCTATCAACGAAAAATAATTCTGACTCTGAAATCCTTTTTTTTTTTTTTGGCCTTGAAAATTGGCAGTTGACAGCCGGCTTCTTGATGCTGTCTCCTCTCTTTCTTTTAGAAAACAGCTCTTAGGCGCCCGTTTCCGGCTTGAGCGGCATCGCCGTCGCAGTCGGCGTAATTGCGTGATGACGATGACGTCACACGTGACGTCATCAGTGACGATGACGCTGACGATGACGCTGATGATGACGATAACGATGATGATAACGAGGATGCTAAATTTAGCGGAAAAACTTTCCCCACTAAATCCAGTGGAAAAAATTCCCCGCTAAAGTTAGGGGACAAAATTGCCCTGCTAAATTTCCGCCAAATTTACATGCAATGCTCTCACCAAAGATGTGCATTTTCTGCAACTTGCATTATGCACACGTCTATCCACACCCGTGGAGGACTTTCCACCCTCTCCCCTTAGTATCCTTCGCTCCTCCTCCTCAAGAGCTGTGCTCTAATTCGGTGTTACAGGGGATTGTAAACGTCTCTCATTTTTTTCTCAGTCACGCGTAACGACAATGCAGAACCTGCATTATTTGGGAAGTACCCCGTCGGAGATCCATCTTCAATAACCAAAAGTAATGGAATCTATTAGAATACTACAAATATATGAATTTCAAGAAACCTCAGTTGCCTATATAGTTGCAAGGAATGAAACAAACCCACGCGACATCCAGCGTCTTTGACGTCAGACTTTTTCATGCTGATCCACTCGTTTCGGGAGAGCCCCATTTTTCACTGTAAATACTCAACCTTTTTTGTGAGGAACCAATTAGGTCTGTCTCGACGCAATATTTTAGCGACTCCAAGGGGCAAAGCGCTGACCCACGGATCGCCGGGAGGCAAGCTGAAATCTCGGCTAGACGTAAAAACTCCTGAATTCGACTTTTGGTGCCATTTTTCTTGAACTTCACACACAAAAAACACCAAACAACACATTTTCCTCAGAGTATGTTGGAGGCCTCCCCAAAGTCAGTCACGCTCCTTGTACATCGTACGAAAGACACGGTGTTCGTTGCAGACAGAATGACGGAACGATCTGCAGACGTGTCTCAAGCATGTTCGAAGCATGTTTGCTTTGCACACGTGCATGCTTCAAATGCATATGTGCATAACGACCAATGTGGTAGGACCGTCAGGTACGAGGAGAAAACGTGCCTCCGACGACGTCTGCAGGCCGTCTTTCGTAAGCGCGACCACGGCTCGGAGGAGCGGACTAACTGACACAGAGCGCGGACGCAGGGTCGCCACGGTCTGGGCTCGATCTTTGTCTGGGCGTCGGGCAACGGGGGCCGCTTCAATGACAACTGCAACTGTGATGGCTACACCAACTCGATCTACACGCTGTCCATCAGCAGCGCCACCCAGCACGGCTCCAAGCCCTGGTACCTGGAGATGTGCTCCTCCACTCTCGCCACCACCTACAGCAGCGGCTCCCCGGGCAAGGACGCCAACGTGGTCAGTGCTCTCTCCCGTGTGCTTTTAACGCTGGATGTGTTTTTTTCGACCGAGTGTTATGGACTTCTGTAACGGCAGCTGCGATGAAAAACCGAGACCGAAGAGCGTCATGTCAATAGGAAACCATATAAAAAGATGTCACTCCCCTGCAGGATTTGAGCTCGCTGCCTTGAGATTATGAGCCAAGTGTTTTGCCGACCGAGCTATCTAGGCTTGGTGGTCTGAGCACGCAAGAGCAAACTCGTAAGCACGATCGCGCGCTTCGCGGCCTTTCTTGTTGTGCTGCGCCGTCTTTCGGTGCATGCCAGAAATGGGAGTGAATCTTCGGTAGGTGGTGACATTCGGAAGCCCTCCTCTTCTTCCATGGAAGGCCTATCACACATTCTCTGCTTACCATTCTTTGTCAGCATAATCAAGCTTGCATAATTTTTTTTACACTTTTCTCATAGTTTTTTTAGGCATGTGCAAATAGTGGATTTTGAGTGCGGAGTGAATTCGAAGCAAATAGTGGTTCGGCCAGGTATTTGAGTATTGAATATCAAATAGTTTCTCCAATCCTTTCACTACTGCACAAAGCTTCCACTCATCCTTATCTAAGCTAATTTATTTTTCCCGCTAAATTTAGCAGAAAGAATTCCCCGCTAAATTTAGCGGGAAATTTTTTCTGCTAAATTTAGCGGAAAATGTTTTCCTAAATGGGGGCGAGCAAGAGAGGAGGAGGGCCATAGCCCCCCCTTCTGCACCTTCCCCTCCTCCTCCTCAAGAGCTGTGCTCTAATTCGGCATTACAGGGAGTTGTAAACGGCTTTCATTTTTTCAACAATTTTTCGAAAAAATGGCTTGGTAATAACTTTTCTATAGACAAAATCTTTTTTTTCTTCTTTCTTTTGACTTTGGAGGTTTCATGTGTTCATAATCTCAATTAATGAATGCACCACCTTCGGGCACCTCAGTAGCAGATCCAAGCGCGGTACATTGGGAAACCAATTTTTGCAGACCGTCCTAGGGGGGATCAAAGCGTTAGTGTACACGCCCTAGATGCTAACAGGATAGGGCATCTGCTGTTAGAAGTTATTTCCTTCTATCCCTGTCTTTAGGCATTGTACTTTGAGATTTCTATTGACCCAGCAGAAATAGCTGCTGGACCGATAAAAAATTGTACTACTGGTTCCGCAAGAATGCCTCTTGGACCAATAGGAACTTCTATATTTGTCTAATCGAAGGAGCCAACACATTCTTTTTTAGAGCGCAGCTCTTAGGCGCCCGTTTCTGGCTTGAGCGGCGTCGGCGTCGCCGTCGGCGTAACCGCGCGGTGCATTATGGGTAAATTTCCCCGCTAAATCTAGCGGAAAAATTTCCCCGCTAAATTTAGCGGAAAAATTTCCCCAATCTAGCGGAAAAATTTCCCCGCTAAATCTAGCGGAAAAATTTCCCCGCTAAATTTAGCGGAAAAATTTCCCCACTAAATCTAGCGGAAAAATTTCCCCGCTAAATCTAGCGGAAAAATTTCTCCGCTTCGTCTAGCGGAAAAATTTCCCCGCTAAATCTAGCGGAAAAATTTCCCTGCTAAATCTAGCGGAAAAATTTCCCCGCTAAATCTAGCGGAAAAATTTCCCCGCTAAATTTAGCGGAATATTTTCCCCGCTAAATCTAGCGGAAAATTTTCCCCGCTAAATCTAGCGGAAAATTTCCCCGCTAAATCTAGCGGAAAAAAATCCCCGCTAAATCTAGCGGAAAAATTTCCCCGCTAAATCTAGCGGAATAATTTCCCCGCTAAATCTAGCGGAAAAAATTTCCCCGCTAAATCTAGCGGAAAAATTTCCCCGCTAAATCTAGCGGAAAAATTTCCCCGCTAAATCTAGCGGAAAAATTTCCCCGTTAAATCCAGCGGAATTTCCCCGCTAAATCTAGCAGAAAAATTTCCCCACTAAATCTAGCGGAATAACTTCCCCGCTAAATCTGGCGGAAAAATTTCCCCGCTAAATCTAGCGGAAAAATTTCCCCGCTAAATGTAGCGGAAAAATTTCCCCGCTATATCTAGCTAAAAACTTCCCCGCTAGATCTAGCGGAAAAATTTCCCGCTAAATCTAGCGGAAAAATTTCCCCGCTAAATCTAGCGGAAAAATTTCCCCGCTAAATCTAGCGGAGAAAATTTCCCCGCTAAATCTAGCGGGGAAATTTCCTTCCTGTCACGTGACCCCCGAGAAACCGTGGCCCTCAGTACCCTTCCCTCCTCCTCCTCAAGAGTTGCGCTCCGATTCGGCGTTACAGGGAGTGGTAAACGGCTTTCACTTTTTTGTTGTTTGTGGCTTTTTGTTAGCGGAGAGTACTGATGCAGAGGAAGTTATATCTTGGAGCGATGTGGTGAGTTGGGACAGTTTGGTATTGAGACATTATGATGAAAAACAACGCACAAAGGACAGGACAGCAGGAGAGACACATAGAACATGGTGTGAATGTATTGCACTTCCTCCTTTTCTTTCTTATGTATGAACATTGTTTTCCTCTTCCTCTCATAATTATCAGAAGCGAGTCAGCACTTCTGTAATCTATGCTCTTCTCTTCTGTTTTCCTGTCCTTTCTTTGTGCACTGTTTTTCATCAAGTTATATATATCCTACTATTTTTTAGTTGATGATTTTAATGAGGCATATGAAATCTCTAAATGGAGCCATGCAGAGTTCTCCCACTCAGCAGAAGTTCTGCCTATAACAAGATAAGAATAGTATAGCACTTGAGGACACAGAAAATTGCAACAAGATGTTCTCGTAGTCTAAGAGTATACTATATTTTATTTATGCAGCCATCTTAGTTCTAGATATTTTAAATAGAGGTCTTATTAAAATTATGTAAAAGTGTGTAGTGAGGTGCAGATAACTTCTGTGTTCTTCAAGCGAAACATCTACCAGAGGGGCACATTTTCATGTGTCATCTTTTCCGCTGTTTGGCTTTTTCTTTTGGGGAGGGGGGGGGGGGGGGGCTATTTCGGCAGTTGTTTTTTTCTATCAGTAGTTGGTAGATTGTGCCACTGTGTTTTAGTGTGTTTCTTAAACTGTGTTCACCATGCACCAAGCAGCTGGTTATCAGAACCAGAGTTTCAGTTTATGGGTTTTGAGAAAAAGCTACTCTGATAGAAATTCAAAGCTGAATTTTGCGCATTTCTTAACAAAGTTTTGTACCAGACAGTAAAACTAAATGTTTCGCGGACCTCTTCATACCCTAAAGCATTTCAGTTTGTGGAGATTCGCCATGTCATCAGCAGCTGCCAGGTTTTGTAAACACTTGCTTGTCAGGTGGTTTTTGTATTTACCTCGGATAAACACAGCTACATTTTGGATGTACTTTGTTATTCATAGCCCTTTACACACTGCACAGACAACCGAAGAACTCGGCGGAGTTTTACCATTTAGTATGTCCATCAGTGCTACAGATGTCGTCACTTGGGATGTGCACTAACTACACACATTCTATAAATTCATAAGGAAATAGAATTGTCACTGGCATGATACAGGGCTGGTTTTGGTAGGCTGCATGGGTGCAGAAGACATGTATCTGGTACAACTAAGGTACTCCCTTATTACTAGTACTTTCTTTATATATTTTTTGTACAGTCTACGCTCATTATAACAGACCTGGTTACAACAGACATTTGGATATAACATACCGATTTGTGAAGTTTGGTTGGTTTCCCTCTATGCACCATTGACTCAACTTCATATCTGCATACAACATACTCCTCTTACAACAGACCGAAATCTTAGTCAAAATCAAGGTCTGTTATAAGGAGCTTAGACTGTAGTACTAACGTGGCCATCTTGCAATACTTTGTTGCGAGCAAAACTTTTTTTAATGCTTTCTGTAGGCTTACGAGTTACACTCGCAATAATGATTCTAGATCTGTTGCTTAATCTTGGGATAATGCCGAGTATCGTAACGGCAAGCGGTTTAGAGAAGTGCTCCCACCGACTTTGCAAGATGGCACAAGGGTCTCAGAGTAAGTAAACTTGAAAAAAGCATTACAGGAGGCTTGGCTCACAACAAAGCATATAAGCGGGACACTCAAACCACTTGGCTCGATTAAGTGCCTGCTTAAATGCAATTGTTACTGGGAACTTTCTTATTGTGCCAGATACTCTTGGTGCAGGGCGTTTCGCTCATTTTCTTTATTTTGGCAGCAATCAAAGATGTACTGTGGTTTCCAGGTCACCGTGGACATGGACCTCTCCTTTCGTCACAAGCGCAACAGTGACTCTCTCTGCACCCAAGCTCACACTGGGACATCTGCCTCTGCCCCACTGGCTGCCGGCATCTGCGCCCTGGCACTGGAAGCTAAGTGAGTGACGTTATTTTAGCATTGACAGCTCCAAGTCGTCTTGATGACTCTTTTAGTCTGTTGCGGGTTAAGAATAGCGGGGCAAGCCACAAAGCTTGCTGCTCGCTGTGATTGGTGCTTGCCTCCTCTGCTGTGCTTAGGTGGAAAGTTTTGAGGGCTGTGCTGCTTTTCTTAACCTGCAACAGACAATAAACTGCTCATTTTAGTCTGGTAACCCTTCACTTAACATTCGCTAAATATCCATTCATCGAACATTGGTCCGGCGTAGTACAAGTGGCAACGATAAACTGATCTGGGTAGTGAAAGACCTTTCTTATCATTTGTCTGTGCAGGTGATTAAATGCGTGACAGTTTAGAGGTTCGGATAAATGCGGGTCAATATAGATTCAGAGGAATGCAAAATGTGTAACCGTCGGATGCAGAGTGATTGTAACCTTTTCGTTTTCGTGGTCTCACTGCGGTGCAGTCCTAAGCTGACCTGGAGAGACATGCAGCACCTGGTTGTGATGACGTCCCGTCCCGAGCCACTCTTGGGAGAGGAGGGCTGGGCCACCACCGGCGTGGGACGTAAAGGTAAAAAGAGAACATGTCTTCAATGCTTCGTTTCAAAATGGGTGGTCGACCGAGCGTCTCGGTAACGAATGTCATAAGGGTGCGGTATGGTGTAGAGATTTCAACATGGTCAACGATGTGATAAGGATTCGGTGGGTGCACTGCCTCCAGCACGCTTTCTGCCTTCGATAACAGTTTGTCTCAGTCACAGCCATAGCCTGGTGGAAGGCTGCGAGGACATTCTGAAGGAGGAGCTTCCGAGTTTCTAGCCTTTCATCGTTAAAAGCTTTCAACATGTTAAATTATGCAGGTTGAGAGTTGAGGTGAGAAATATAAGTAGGTATTTTCATTGTGGGAGGAATCACTCTCCTGCTTACATTTTGTCAGGGGCCTTGTGGTTGAGGTTAGATTCTAACTGGGAATTAATCCAGCATTATATGGTCGAATTTGATTATTGAATCGGACATTGCGAAAGCCAGTCACGTAAGCATGTGGAAGGAGGAAGTATCAGCTGCACTAGTTTGTGTGGATTTACAGCAACAGAGTCAGCTGAGCTTGTCATTTTTATAATTTTGCACCAAATTTGCTTAAATTGCTTTCCTACCTTAAAATATGAAAGCCTGTCACATTGGCTTGCCAGTGTGCCAGTGCACCTTTTCGTGCACTGGGCATTAAATAGATAGCTCATGAAGAATCGTTGGTACCCTCTATTTTTCTCACTCTGCTGCGGATGAATGTGCACCTGTATGGCATCAACATAGGTAGTAAAGAGTCAAACTAGAATAGAAGTCGGAATGTGGTTTTTGAGTTAACGGTGTTGCGTGGTTTTGTGATAATTCATAGAACTTCTCAAGTTTCCCTTGGACGTTTTGATGGATGTCTGTAGGAACATAGTGGGCAACCTATTGGTGCTTGCTTACGAAGTGAAACATTCTGGTTTAAATAATGCCTCGGTATCTTCGAGGCATTTCATAGACCGTGGCTAGCATCTCCGAGCACTGGCCTATGGACCCTGACTTAGTGGGTTTGAATACCGGTCGAGCTGCCTGCATTATGACTGGGGTGTGTTGCAGCGAAGGATTTCGGTTGCACGTCAGAAGATGCCCAGGTGGTCGAGATTCATCCTTGGCTCTTTGGACGTGCCAGATGCTCTGTAATGGTAGAAATGACTTGTGAAATGTTTTTCAGTGAGCCACAAGTTTGGATACGGACTCATGGATGCAGACGCCATGGTCGTCTTGGCGGAGCAGTGGACAACAGCCCCACCGCAGCACGTCTGTCGCACCAACAGTGACACCACCGAGTGGTGGGTGGATCTTTTTTTACTGATAACATTTTGCAGGGATATCGGTGTCGGCGTTTGTTGTCTGTCGTCACAGCGAAGATGGAAAAACCCTTTTTCTCTCCCCTCGTGGCACAAGGAAAGAAAAGTAGGGTGTTCCCATTGGTCGCGCTGAGGGAAGAGAGGAGAGCCTCGCGGACAGCAGCGGAACGACAAGGAAGCGTCGTCTGCTAACAGTAACTTCAAATGAGGTGTTTTCAAACATTAGTCGTGTTATACACAATCACTGTGGATACGCGTAATGTTGAAAAGTTTTAGTGACTTCCACCGCATTCGATTTCACTACAGTCTATGCTCATTACAACAGACCTGGTTACAACAGACATTTGGATATAACATACAGATTTGTGAAGTTCGGATGGTTTTTCTCTACATGCCATTGACTCAACTTCATATCTGCATACAACATACTCCTCTTACAACAGACCGAAACCTTGGTCAAAATCAAGGTATGTTATAACGAGCTTGGACTGTATAACATCTCTCCCTCTCGAGTACAACTCGAAACCTAAAAAATGTTTTCTGCCAAAACTTGTCGCCTTGCGTATGCAAAGCGACGAAGAGCTTTTCGTTTCTCTGCATGCCTCTTCCTCTCCGCTGATCGCTGAACATTGACGTTACCCCCTTCACCGCTCAACAACACTGGGAAACCTGCGCCTTCGCTTCCATCGGCACAAGTTTTCCCATCGATCTGTGAAGAAGTGAAAGCAACAGCTTTAGCAAGTTTGTGCGATGTGGGCAATGCAATGTGGGCAAAATTGTGTCGTCACATACCGTCCTCAGGTATGCGACGACGCCGTTTTGCTCGCATGCCGCGATTGTGCTACAGCTATGCTTTCACTTCTTTACACAGTGTGGGCAAAAAAGGCACCTTTTTATATATTTCTTTAAACTATGCACCATCCACTTTTTTGATCAGTTGCAACAGCCAGTTTCTGCAGTTCACAATCTTATGCTTGAATTGTATGCATTTTTGGCATGAGGCGTGATTTCTAAATTTACGTCGACTCGCGCGCAACTTTTATTGAAGCTATGGCACACATTCTTTTTTACTGGAGTTATCTTTTCACTGTCGTCGACCTGGGGTCCCGAAAAATGTTCATTTGGCACGAACATGTTAAAAACTTTCCGAAGCGATTTCGAAGCTACGAGGCATAAACTGTCGTGGCTCATTGCGCGAGCTTTGCACTAGAATTCAGTTCCGACTAAAGAGCTGTGTTTGGATACTTTCTCAAAGGAAGTGTATTCTATCTCCCGACGTCTGCCAATTTCACCTTTCTTTGCGTCGTGACATTGAGCGCGAGTTTCCCTCTGCTCAGGGTGATTCCTAATCGTCCCGGGGAGAGCCTGGAGGTGACAATGAACACGAGTGGCTGCTGGGGCCAGAGGGACTCCGTCCGCTACATCGAGCACGTGCAGGTGGTGGTCTCTCTTCAGTTCCTCCCCAGAGGCAGTCTGCGCATCACCCTGGTGTCTCCCAGTGGCACCGCCTCACATGTGCTGCTGCCGCGTTCCTACGATGTCAAGGTGCGTGACTAGAGACTTAAGTGCCCCCAAAAGCTCAGAATAAAGTCACTTAGCGTCTTTCTTTAGTGGGCTAGGTCCGGAATCAAGCCTTCAAAATTTCCAGGCACAATTTTTTTTCTTCGTGTTCTGCCACTTTTGTAGGCAGCTTTTGAGAATAAAGTAACAAGGTGACTCAATGAGACTGGCACCCGACCATCAATCACCTCTTTTTTTTTCAAAGGGTGCTATCTTCTGGGGACTTGCGCAAAATGGTTTGCCTGCAGTTGAATGTCTCGGAACATCTTTATGTTCTGTTGTGAATTGTTGACCACTGGCAAAAAGGAAGCAGTTTGATGCTACTGCATAGTATTGCGTGACTTTAGTAATTCCGCACACCTCGTGAAGCATCTGCTATCCTGTAAAGCATGTTCACAAAATGTTGAGGCAGTGCTTGCTGAGGAGGGCACAGCTCACCTTGATTAGATGGTGTTGAGAAAATAAATGTGCTCAACGATACTGGCCTCGCTTTTCTTTAAAATGCCTAAAATATGTTTTTTTTTTCCAGGCTGTTTAGAATTAACAAGAAATTTAGATCTCTATGTGTGATGCCCATCATTCATTTCTATGATATGCTATAATCAAACACCTGCAATAGGTATCTTACTTCAATTCCTGACTGAGGATGCGCCATATAATAAAGGGCCCATGAAACAAATTTTGGGCTGGGATAAATCAATTTAGATTGGGATTTGACTAGTAGCTTATCGTTCAGTGGGCCAAAAGAAAAAAAAGTCAAAAGTCAAAAGCCTGACTTTCGATACGAAAAATTGAAAACACAGCGGTCTATTTCCTACCTCGTTCCCTTCGTAATCTCTCTGCCTTTTCACTGTGATACATCCGCGGTCCCCAAAGTGACTCACCGGGTCCAAACGCACGTCACACGACACCGGACCTGATTAATTCCCTTCACCCCTAAGCTGACATTGCGGTAGAAGCTACGCGCTTGCCGGACCAATCAGCCGCCTCCATTTCATCACTTGACCTCATTCTCTGCGCGTGGGTATGCGCGAGAGAGCATCATCATCTGGCAAAAGTGTGGCTGGCCCAACAAGCACGTAGCTTCCACAGCACTGTCAGCCTCGGGGTGAACGAGGTGTGGAAAGCAACTTTTGTTTGAATTTGGAGCGACGGGTTAATCTTCTAGGGGGAGAATGGCTGTGTCCGGGTACACAAACGAGAGTTCGAGCAAGAGGGGACCTCCCCTTTCCGTCTTCCTGAACTGTCTGGTACAATGCGCGATTTATTAGTTGAGGAGGAAAGCTAAACAGGAAAAAGTTGGAAAATTGTTTCATGACCCCTCTTAAGTGTAGAAAAGTTTCACGTTGCGAGACATACAAACATATTAAATGCTGCTGAAAAAATTAAGACTTTCTTTTTGGTACTTTTCTGCATTCCTCTGCTGGGCTTTTTTTCTTTCTTGAAGTATTGTTTCAGTTTCAATCACTGGGATTAAAAATGTACAGATATATAGTAACGAGATAGCTTGACTGCAGAGGGCTGTTGCCATTTAAAGGGACCATGAAACATTTTTCTCGATTTGTTGGGCACAATCTCTGTTGTTTGTAATATGTTTAAGACATGTGTTCGCTTTTGGCTCCATGCACTATGCGTCGTGCAGAAAACGTGCGAAAGAATTGAGTGGCTTAAACCTCTACCTATGGTTAGAACAAACTGTTGGGTGCTCTTTTAGCGGTTCGTGCCTCCAATATTAAAGCTGCGCACCTGGGTCGGCAATGCTCAGAGTATTTGTTGTGCTCTGGACATCGTTGGAGTTGGGAAATTTCTGTTGACGTACTAATTGGCCACGAATGTGAACCCAAATGTCCGCCGAAGGATCCTCGGTTGCCGAGCACCAGCCATTAGATGTTGTTACGCTTGCGTCTTTTTTTCTTTATTTGTTTCACGAATTCACCATGTGGGGAGCAGAGATAAAGGTGTGGTACCACCAGAGGTGTCCTACCCATAAACCCAGCCATGATGACCATGACAGACTATGGACACTCTTTGGACATGGCCAGATCGCAATAAAATCAAAGACTGCTCAAGAAAAAACGAAACAAAAACTGTCTGCTCCTAACTCCGCTAAATTGGAGCAAAAATTGCGTAATTGAAATCAGATTCGGTAACCGGGCTTCGGAATCCACGTATCGGGAATTGTGTATTGGACAGCGCTACCTAAATTGCAGTTAATATCGTAAAATTAGAACCTACACATCGTTCACGGCGCCATTAAATAGACCGTGAATGCCCTTGCATTGCAGGAGGACGCCTTCAACAACTGGCCGTTCATGTCGGTCCACTTCTGGGGCGAGCCGGCAGCCGGCACCTGGCGCCTGATCTTGGGAAGCGAGGGAATCCGCCGGTCCCCGTTCCCGGGAAAGCTGAAGGAGTGGTACCTCATCTTCTACGGCACGGACTCGGACCCGGTGAAGCTACGCCCGCGGCCGCACAACTCGTACATCGTGCGCGACACCAGTGCCAGCTCGGCACACGCCGCGGTCAAGAACCGGCCCTCGCGGAACCCCTGCGCCGCCGACGCCAAATACCAGTCCGCGGAGAGCGGCGAGTGCGTCGACTCGTGTCCGGCGGGGCAGTTCGGGAGCCGGGGCAGCCTGGCGTGCGAGGCGTGCCATCCGGACTGCGAGAGCTGCTACGGTCCGTCGGAGGACAACTGCCTGGCGTGTAGGGCGGGCCGGTATCTCGTGGACAATGCCTGCTGGAGAGAGTGTCCTGAAGGAAGCTATGCCGGTGCGTGCTCGCAAATGTTGGGTTGTGTGCTCATTGCATACGTGCTGCTTGCATGCCTGTTGTCCGAAGTGAGATGTGTCTAACTGGGACAGGTTGGAGTCCCAACTGGGAATCACGGGTCCCAACTGGGAGTCACTGGTCCCAACTTTGAATCACTGGTCCTTATTGGGGATCAACTGTCCCCAACTGGGATTCAATGGGGACTAATTGGGGTTCAACTAGGACCAGCTGAGGGACCAGCTGGGAAATTTTGTGGGGTCAACTGGTTGTAGCCGTTCCCGATGTGGAGTCGTGCCAACTGGGATCAGTTGTGGGACCAACTGGTTGGGTAGATTTCCAGCCGGGGTATGAGTGGTCTGGGCATCTTCCAGCTGGGCCTGGTCCTCGAATATATCGAGTTGATTTGGGGTACTGTGTTTGTTTTTGTGCCAATTGCTTTTGGCGTGGCCTGAGAAGTGATAGGTTGAGAATATTTTCGTGCTTCGACTGTTGTAACGGTTATATTTATACTGAATTTTTTTGCTCGCTGCACCTGCATATAATTAATTGAAGATTAAACACCAGAAAAAAAGTAATTTCTTGATGCTCCGCAATGTAAATACTTGTTCAGTTAATCTGATACAGTTTCATACTTGTTCAATTAATGTAACACAGTACAATACCTACTAGAAAAATGTGCCACTTACACAATACTTATTCGATCGATGTAACTTTAATCCTATGCCTATTTATTAAATGTAGTCTAAGATTTTACATTTTTATGGTTGGTAACAGGCTTAGAGCCCTCTAAGTGCTCCACCTGCACCATGCTGCTAAATTCCACCGGGCTTTAGCTGTGTGCATGTGTGACGAAGTGATATCAAAGGCAGAAAGTTTGCACTCGAGGCAGAGTATCTGCTGGCTCCTTAACCTGTCGCCGACTATACTAGAATGCACAATTTAGAATCGCAAACGTTTCTGCGGCGAAATATTGCGATATAAATTTGAGAAATCATGGAACTCTTTGTCTTTGACAGAGTCACGAAGGACTGCATACCGCAGCTGTACTCCCGCCTTCAATAGCGGAGTACATAATAGAGAGACAAATGGGCTACTCTTGTGGCGTAAGAAGGAGACGCGGGCTTAGCAGACAGTATCCTTGCGCAGACCCCGTGCTGCGGCAGTGCGTGGAGTGCGACCGGAGCTGCTCGCGGTGCAGCGACAATTCCTCATTCTGCTCGGCCTGCAAGGAGAACTACTTCCTGCATGGACACTCGTGCCTTGGGTCCTGCCCCAACGGAACCCGATCAATGCCAGACAGCAGAGTGTACGTTCCACTTAATCCGTCCGATTTTTGCGAATCCTGAAATGTTGAGAGTGTGTCAGTTTGGAGAAACGAGAATGTATAGTTGGGGGAACAGAACAGTTTGTGCGACTTATAGTTGTGTAGCGAGTCGTGGGCATCGGGACAATTCACACAACTTTGAAATGCGCCGAGGTGTATTTTGGTCCTCCTCTTTTTGTGGCTCGAACATGACATACCCACCTTGCAAAAGTCTAAAGATCCGTTAGCAGGGGGGAAGGGTTGTTATTACGAACAAATATTTATATTAGGCTGAAATAGCTGTTTTTCTTTTAGGATGAAATATCACGTGGGTTACTTTAATCAAAGTGTGAATATATCTAGATGTCCAAAAGTAATGAAGTAATAAGTTTAGGGACTTTTGGAAGTGGAACTGTAGCCCACTTGTTCCAGGGAAGTGCTTCAGCTGCTTTGTGCTTACATATATATACTTAAAATGTGTTTGGAGTACTCGGTATAATTTACTCGAGGTGTTAGTTAGGCTCCTTTTACGTTGTTTTGAGGGTGTAAGGCAGACGCGATAATTGCCGGGGGCTGGGCAGACACTTAACCTGATGCTTTGTTCTTTTGACAGGTGTCGTTCGTGTCATGCGTCATGTCACACATGCACGGGAGAGTCGTCGCACGACTGCGTGACCTGTAGCGAGGGTCACTGGCTTTACGAGAGCCAGTGCTTCACTCACTGCCCACCCAAGTACTACCAGGGACAAGATGGCTTCTGCCGCAGGTCAGCCAATCACTAACCGAATGAGTCGATCACGATGATGCTTGTGGATAGACCGATTGCAACTTTTGAATTGCCACGCACGAGTATTGCACAGAAGATGGCTTCTGCTGCAGGTCAGCCAATCGCTAACCGAATGAGTCGATCGCGATGATGCTTGTGGGTAGACCGATTGCAACTTTTGAATCGCCACGCACGAGTATTGCACAAAAGATGGCTTCTGCCGCAGGTCAGCCAATCACTAACCGAATGAGTCGATCACGGTGATGCTTGTGGGTAGACCGATTGCAACTTTTGAATTGCCACGCACGAGTATTGCACAGAAGATGGCTTCTGCCGCAGGTCAGCCAATCGCTAACCGAATGAGTTGATCACAATGATGCTTGTGGGTAGACCGATTGCAACTTTTGAATTGCCACGCACGGGTATTGCACGGAAGACGGCTTCTGCCACAGGTCAGCCAATCGCTAATTGAATGAGTTGATCACGATGATGCTTGTGGGTAGACCGATTGCAACTTTTGAATTGCCACGCACGAGTATTGCACAGAAGATGGCTTTTGCCGCAGGTCAGCCAATCACTAACTGAATGAGTTGATCACGATGATGCTTGTGGGTAGACCGATTGCAACTTTTGAATTGCCACGCACGAGTATTGCACAGAAGATGGCTTCTGCCGCAGGTCAGCCAATCGCTAACCGAATGAGTTGATCACGATGATGCTTGTGGGTAAAGCGATTGCAACTTTTGAATTGCCACGCACGAGTATTGCACAAAAGATGGCTTCTGCCGCAGGTCAGCCAATCACTAACCGAATGAGTCGATCACGATGATGCTTGTGGGTAGACCGATTGCAACTTTTGAATTGCCACGCACGAGTATTGCACAGAAGATGGCTTTTGCCGCAGGTCAGCCAATCGCTAACCGAATGAGTTGATCGCGATGATGCTTGTGGGCAGACCGATTGCAACTTTTAAATTGCCACGCACGAGTATTGCACTGGGCCTATACACCTTTTTGGTGCTTATCACCCAGGCAAAAATTGCTGAGTCACTGCTCTATGGACGCTGCGTAACGCGTGCGTGACTTCTCCTTTCAAGACAGCACATGCTTAGAAAGCATTCTACAGCCGAGTAAACAAGGATGGCAGTGCACACAAGGCAGTAGTTGGGATGATCTAGAGATCGCTGGTGAATGGCTTGAGTGCAAGGTGGTTCTTGTTTGGAATTTAGATGTTTTGGGTGGTCCAGTCCAACTCAGAATGCTGTGCTATAGGTGCTTTTTTTTTGCAGTCTTTATTTTCAGTTTAGAATGTAAAATGTCATTAAAATTTGTTTTTTCGTCAGTACAATCTCTATGTTAGGTTGAGTTTGTCTTAAAATACAAAACATCTTGAAGGGTTTTTTTTTCTTCTTTTTTTGCAATTGATGCATAGTTAATACAATCTTTATGTTATTTGCTCTTCTCTCCAGCTTTGGGATGATACACTCCTCCTACATGTTGCACTGAGTTTGGGGGGTTTTAGCGAGCAATTTTATTGCTTTAGTCATGAAGATGCAGAGTTGATCACTGTTTTGCTGTTTCGCACTACTAGAGTAGTCACAAAATTTCTTATTGGTAGACTGAATGAAGTTAATCTTTGTGTGAGCTAGCCTTTGAACATGAGTGCTAACTTTGACAATCCAATGCATTAACATTGCTTTGCTGAGCTAGAGATTGTTGTTACTCTGTTGGAATTTGTGTTAATGCTCATTTCAATGCGGTGTTTGTGCAGTTGCAAAGCACCCTGCAAGGAGTGTTCATCGCTGAAGAGCTGCAAGTCCTGCGTCCAGTACTACAGACTGGATGGCTCATCTTGTGAAGTGGCGTACACTCCTTGTGGGGACGGTATGAGCAATAGACCTCGATTTTAATTTATTTTGTGCAAACTTTGGTTGAAAATATTATGTTTGGAGTAAGAGCAAAGAATGGAACTGCTCTCAGCTTGGCTAGATTTTTAACTTTTGAAAGCAGAAGAGGTTTGTCAGAAGACAAATGTCACCCATTCTTTTATTGGAATGTTTTGCCAACACTTGCTTCCTCGATTAGGGCCAGAACTGAGGTTTATGAGTGAATGTTTGCAATGTTTCCTTTTTTTCCTTTGGAGGAGCCATAGGGTGGCATACTAGATATTAGAAAGTGAAAAGCAAGCATGTATATCTAACATGCAATTCATGAGTGTAAAACGAGTGGTGTTATCAGCGTAACACCGCTCATATTAAATTTGGCAAACATGTGTTACAATGAAGCCCAGCACCGAATATTCCTGACAGCACACTTAGCCAGGCTAGAAAACACGTGGTGCTTTGAGTTCTGAACATATGTTTGGTATTGCACATACAGTGGACTCCTCTTAAACGGAACTCGAAGGGACAGAAAAATTTGTTCCGTTTATCAGAAGTTTCAATAAAGCAAAGCACATAAAATGAGTGAAATATGACTTTATTTCACAAGCATGATGTCCAGCTAATGTAGGTGACTAGAAAAAAGAGGTAATGGTAGTTTGTTTTGCATTTTGTAATCGCTTTTTGACGAAGTAGGTGTGCATGCCTTGGAGGTACAAAGGTTTCTGTTGACTGCTGCACCTTCCCCAGAAATAGTCTTAAAGACTAGGCCGTGGCGCTTTTTAAAACGGCTGAGCCAACCGTCGCTCATTTTGAAGTTATCTATTCCCAACTGAGACGCAATCTCTCCAGCCTTTTCTTCGAGGATGGGGCCGCTGATCGGGAAATTAACACTTCGCGCGCGCTTAAACCAGAGAAAAAGGACGTTCTCTATTTCCTCAAAAGGCGTCTTTCGCATCCTCCTTCGGTCGGTGGCAAAGCTTCCGCGCTTTACAACGTCTTGAATCTTTTCTTTGTCCTTTGATATCCTTGAGAGTGTAGACTTCGGGATATCGAACTTCCTTGCGATCTCCGTCTTCGAGAGGTCACCACGATCCAGCTCTTGAAGGATCTTCATTTTCGTAGCAAGCGAGATCGCTTGGTGCGGCCGCTTTTTTACCGCTTCCATCACAACACGGCAAGCGGACGCTGGTTTGCGTACTCGATGGTAAACGTGACGCGCAACAGACGAGGCGCTAACCCTAATGGCGGTAGAAAGACTGGATTGGATTGCCTTAATATAATGGCTTGGATGGATGGATGAATGGCTGTACCGTACCCTTTGTAACGAGCGGCACCTCGCGTCATTTAGCCTAACATTTCGTCAACTTTTTTTTTTTTTTATAATAATATTTGTATAAATTTTGTTCTAACACAACCCCTTTCCCTTTAAAGTGTCCTCAGTCTTGGCTATTGCGTACTCCGTGGTTGTGAGACTGCTGTAGCTATTTCCGATGTCCGCGGTCGCCATGGGTAGTTTCGGTTTCAATCCCGTTTAACCGAAGTAAGCAAAAAGGGGGGTTCCGATTACCCGAAGAATTTATCATTAAATACATAGGAAACCAACCGAAACAACCTTTAGAGTTCCGTTTATCCGAATTTTCCGTTTAAGCGAGTTTCGTTTAATGGGAGTCCACTGTACATGCTGTGTGACTAAGCAGCTGGGTTCTCTAAAATGTTATTAAGGAACCTCAGGTAACTTTGAACAATTGCCGAAGAACACTTTGACTTCCTCAACCATTTCGTAACAATCATTTGCAAGTAAAAAAAAAAGATCCATTGCCATTTTATTTTTATTTAATGTACATGTACCACCGTGTGATAGTGAGAACTAGTCTTGTGCGAATAGTGGATTTTGAGTTCGAAGCGAATACGAAGCGAATAGTGGTTTTGCCCGAATTTTTTCGATTCGAATATCGAAGTTTTCCCACGCCTTTCACTACCATTGCATAATACTTAGACGAAAACCCAGCTAAACTTGTGAAGGTTGTTCCACTTGTTTATTTATAAACTAAGTTTGATCTATCTATATTTATGAACTGTGACCTCAGAAGGTCTGGTGTCTTGGGATGGCAAGTAAACGACAGATTTGACAAAATGAATCCTGTAGAGATGGCCAACTATTCCCGAAGAAGTGAATTTACAAATCTTGTTATATAAAATATACTTTCTTTAGTCTTGAGTTAAAGAAGAATGAATCGTGCATGATGAACGCAGGTTGTAAGGGCATCTCTGCCTAACATAGTATACTCTTGCGTAACAGTTTAATTTTGAAACTTTTACTACAATGTAGATATCACACAGTCGGCACAGGTGCTCCATCCCGCTTTGAATGTATGCTTTACTTCCAAGCACGCAATTACGATATTCATACTTTTCCAAGTGTTTATTGCGGCAGGTTACCCTTTGAGTGCACTTCTTACCAAGCACCGGTGCGCTGCGGAGAAGCAGCATTCGCGGAGCTCGCTTCCGCGGGTATTGCTTCTCCGCAGCGCACCGGTGCTTGGTGAGAAGCGCACTCAACGGGGCTAACCCGCCGCAATCAGCACTTCGAAAAACGCGAATAGTGCAGTTCTTCTCGAAGCGAATATCGAATAGTGTATTATTCGGAACTACTATTCGAAATTTCGAATATTCGCACAACCCTAGTGAGAACACAATGGAATTGTTTGCCTTGGTGCAGGGAATCGGTACGTGGCTGACCACAAAGCTAAATTAAATCCGGGGAGAAATTTGACTTATGAACAATGAGATTGAGAATCTTGGCGAATTTCAGAAACTCCAAATGGGTAGTGTGAGGAACCCCAGGGTTGTTGTAGAAACCCAGTTTGAGAACTATATTTTATACTCACCCATTTTTGGGGGGTGAAAGGTCCAGCCTTGACGACCACGTGCTCTTCCCACCTGTGTGGTCTGGAGGGTTTAACCAATAAATGCACCTTGCTTAAGAGGGTTTTTGCTTCAGAGGGACACCACTTCAGTCACCTCAGTGCTTAAAATCACTGTTTCCAGTTATCAAGCTTCATTCAATATCGCGGGGAACGCTTTTCCGTGCTCCAGAAACGTCGAAACGGTTTGGGACGAAGCAAACCGACGTCACCCGGGCTTCCCCACACCGTATCCGAAGCCGAGGAAGTTGCATTTTCTAATTGTAACGGTCGGCAGTTGCGCCTGCTCTGCGTCAGGTGCCAAGATGGCGGCGCCCTCGAGAAAAGGGTGGAATGGAGTGACGATACTCTAAGCATAGCTCATCTATAGTGACTCTAGTCTCGCTCGTCTTGTTTGGACGCTGTGCTTGTCCGGTGCTGAAGGTTGTGTCTGTTTCTTGTCGCCTTGTGCCAGGCCTCTACAGTCCTGGAGGGAACTGCAACAGGTGCCACGAGACATGCGCCACTTGCTTCGGCTCCAACGAGGACCAGTGCATCTCCTGTCCCCCCAACAAGTGAGTCTTCGGCCAGAGTTGTCTGTTCTCTGCAAGTGGTCCCCTTCGCCCGAGAAGCATGGACGAATAAAGGGACGCATATGGCCGGAACCTTTAAAATGGTCGGCAGCTTGCGCCACCTACCAAGTGTTTTTAATGTTGGTGGTTAATTTTTATTTAATAGGCAAACCATGAGGGTTGAGTCTCTTAATAGTAATGTTACTGCTAAAAGTTATAATTAGTGCAACGTAGTAAGCACCTCTTTGCAACCGGGTGCATGAACCTTCTGCCCACTGGATCTGTAGGAAAAAAAAGGTAGAATATTTCTTCTTCCATCGACTTATGCCACCAGTTAGATGACCTCGAATTGGTCATCTCCACCTTCCCAAAATCTATTTTGCACTCACTAGCCCTAAACCCCGATGCGGGGCAAGTTTGTATGATGCCTCCTATAAGAGAGGATGTTCCTCCGCAGGATTCGTTTGCTGCCAGAATGTTGCTGGACCTCGGTGAAAATTGTGAGGAGTATTTTGAATGAAGAATCTTGATTGCAACCCTATTAACCTAGAATGTGTTTTAGGGCTAGGTTCTAAGTCCAGAGCATCGTGAATTGTTCTAATGAAAATAGGATGACGCGGCCAGTCATTTTTACAAAAGACTGCGTTAGTTGTAAAAATCCCCTGCACTTGTACAGTACCTTGGCCCAGCGTCATAGCTGCTATACATGCCCTCCTGTTGTTGCTAAAAGAATCAACGATAACATGGTTTCTTTTAACATAAATTTATAATATTGCCGTGTCGCAGTGCCCCGCAGCACGTTCTCGTGCCACGAGCAAGAATTCAGTCACCGGTCGTTCCTCGCAGGGTGTGGAGCAACGGTCGGTGCGTCAGCGAATGCCTGCTGGGTTTCTACAGCGACGCAGAGAGGACGTGCGTGCAGTGCCGCGGAAACTGCCGCAAGTGCACGGGCGAGGAACTCGGGGCCTGCACCGCCTGCATGCACGACCTCATTCTGCATAACGGGCAGTGCATCCACGAGTGCCCCGTTGGGTGAGTCTCGCCGCCGCGGGTTTCGACGGAAGGGCGCAGAAATAGCGGTGTCCGGATTGAGTTGCGGTCTCCAACTGCGGCGACCGACAGGACGAGGACGGCGGGGTGGAGGTCGGGTTGTCCCACCTTTGGCGCCAGCTCCGCACGTTTGAGGACGCTTAGGCGTCCCCCAAAGCTTGAGCTTGCACGTGCGGTCAAAAGCACAACTGAAGGAAATGGGCGCGGGCCGGAGGATCGGCGTCGCAAGGAGAGTCCTCGCTGTTCTCCTTGTGTTGCTGACTACAGGCGTGCTCTTGGCTGGTGATGCCACGATCGAATTGTTGACCAACGGCTAGAGAAGACGTCCTTGCGAGCGTCGTCTCGGCGTGCGAAAGACAACAGTGCTTTTGAAATTGCCCTTAATCTCGCTTTGCCGCACGGAGCAACTGCACCACGAGAGAGGCGACTGGCTGAAAGAACTGCAGCCGGCTAAACGACAGAATTATTGTGGAACCGCTCGCTTTGACTATACAAAGGGTACCTTTGCTTCGCTGAATTAATTGGAGAGGAAAGTTTGGTGGTAGTTCGTTGTACGGACGTTTAGAGGTCGGGAAGCTAGCCTGTCTCGAGGGGCAGGCTAGCTGGTTCTTTTTGTTGTAGGTGAGAAATTTAGTCGGTGCGGGGCTACTTCTAGACCGAGGTTCTCTAATGTGCATCGCGCGGTAGTGGTACGCAACTGCACACTGGCACAACGCTCGTCCAGATCGAAACAGGCTGGTGCAGTATAAGACGAGAAAATACAGAAAAGGTGGAAAATTTTGAGACCCAACTTTGGATAGACTCTTTAACTACGGTGTGGTATTACTCATAACCGGTAAGTAAGGGACAGTTGTCTACCTTCGTGACGCGAGTCTTCGAGCTCGAGGGCTCCAATTTGGACACTTGCGGACAAAGCCGGCGACAATGCCGACCACCGCCGATTGGCCAATGCTACGCTTCTGGACGATCGTGGTGCGATGTTGGCCAATCAATGCTGGCCAATCGCGACGGTTGGCGACTTTCTCGCCGAGCGTCCAACTCAAGGCTGCAGGTTTTTCCGCGGCTCATTGGTGGCAATTTCCGTCTCAGCTTCCACCCGGGCGGAAGCGGCGACAACCGCCGCTGCCTGCCCTGCCACGGCACGTGCGCCACATGCATCAACGTGTCGGCGACGGGGTGCTTGTCGTGCCCATCTGGGCGGGCGCTCCACGGGTCCACGTGCGTGCAGTTCTGTCCCGGCGGAACTTTCCTCCGCTTCTCCGGGGCCCTGGGAGCACAGTGCATCCAGTGTCATCCAGCCTGCTCCAGCTGCACAGGTGCGCGTCGTGTGGCTTGTCACGGATGTGCCGCCGAAGTGGGAGGAGTGCAGAGACTCCTTTGTTACTTAATCCCACCTCACTCTTTCTTTCTGTGTCCTGTCCTTCAAGTTAGAATTGTCTCCTCGCTTATATCTAACCAGATGTCGTGTGGTTAGATGTGCGTCTGATTTGATGCAGCTGATCACACATGCTTGCCTTGGGGATCTTCATCGGAAAAGTGAATGCAAAAGTGAACGCATCTTAATCCCTTGGATTTAGTCTGGAGACATAGGATGTGCTGCGTGTTTTCAACTACACCGGGTGTTTTTGAGCTTTTCTGAGCTTGGGAGATACAATTCACGTAACAAATCGTACAGCTAACCACATTAAAATATACAAAAAAAGACATCTAATTACATATTTAACTGAATGGGTTTCTTTTCACCTTCTTCCTTCCACCTTTGATTACTTACATGATCTGAACGCATCTAGGCACTTCCATGCATTTTACCAGCTGTTGCACTGCTTGCATATTAGGTATACAGTTGAACCTCAATCTAACGTAACCAGAATACAATTTTTTTTGTCCCTCTCTCTTGCTTCCATTGAAGACCATGTATTTCTTTACTCGATTTAGTGAAGTACTTTTGCGCCGCAGTTTCGATTTAACTCAGTTTTTGAAAATCGTATGTAGTATACATATCGGCAGCCTCGGTGAAAAATAAAAACGAAATATTTGACAGAAATAAACTTTATTGCCTTAAACTTAACATATCTTTTGCAAGATAAAAAGAGACACACTGATGATGATGATAATAACAAAAATAGCTTTTAGAAAAGAAAAGTGGGGGGGGAGTCCGCCATAACTATTGGCCAATGAACTTCTGCATATGCCGAGTGAAAAAAGCTCCTACACGTGCATTGCGTCTGCAACGTCAAAAATATTTTTGTGTCTCAAGTGTTGTGCTTGAAGTGGTTGTGCTTTATACTTGGGACAATGAGTGGTGCACCGCGCATAAGGAAAGTTTGGTCGAGCACTAGGCGTGGCCCATGTCCAAGGTGGTGCAGCAGTTTTGTTTTGCTTTCTCAGCTGCATACTTTCCTGCAGTGCTAGGCACTGGTCCCATAACCATACAAAATGAGAGTCGTTGAACTTCATTCTTGTATTACTGCTGCAGTTTGTGGTGGAATCTTCTTTGTAAATGTTCACTTGCAAAATGTGAGGCAATTGGAGGGTTTTGGGAACCTGGGAGATAAATTGGAGTGCTAACCAACAGAAACCTTGGTTCAATGAAACCCACAATTTAACAAAGTTTTCGGCTCAAGACACGACTTGATTAAATTGAGATTCAGCTGCAACGTCAACACCTAACATAAAAATTCCTGACATCCTAAGGTGTTTACTGCTAGCAAGTGCATTTAACCTACTACAGTAGGCTCTCATTAATTAAAAATCCAGGAATCTACGAATTTTGTTTGAATTATTGAAAGTTTGAATTATCAGAAATTAACCTAAGTATGACTCGAGATAAAATGGTGATTTGCTGTATGGATGGCTACACATACAAAGGTGTAGCCTACTAATGATAAGCAGGTATGCCACACATAATACATTTGTGAAATGTGTGACATTCATCCCTCAAAAATTTGGTTTGTCGTGGACTGTTTAGGCATGACACCTCAAGACAAATTTAAGTTTGTTCACGCCGTAAAAGAAGTTGTCTATTGTGGACAATTTTGTGGGGGACGCATGAGCGATGCAAACGGGCGCCGCACGGCAGCTTCCCTAGCAGCTTGCACGGACGCTGCGACATGCAACTATGCCATGCAGCCACGTCGCAGCGTCTGCGCAACTTGCCATAAAAACTGCTGCGCGGCGTCCCCATTCTCGTCACCTGTGTGTCCCCTGCTTTAGCCCCGTTGAGCGCGCTTCTTACCGAGCACCGGTGCACTGCGGAGAAGCAACTGTCGCGGAAGCGAGCTCTGCTGGTGTTGCTTCTCCACAATGCACCCATGCTCATACGGAAGCGCGCTCAATGGTGCGCCGAGAACGAAGAGGATGAATTACACGAACATGCCGTTCGAATTGAGTGTGGCTTATAAATGCATTAAAGACATAGCGGGGCAACCGAAATTTTTAAATTTGTTTGCAGTAACCAGAAGTTTGAAATGTCCGAGTTTGAATTATTGTAGGCTTCTGATCTCTTGTCTCCAGCTACTTTTCTTTTAGTCACTCGCACCTAACCTAGTATATGCAAATATAAACGCATCCTATCCACAGTCATGTCGTTAGATGCATGCGGTTAGCCAAAGCGACCCGTTAATGTTGGCTCGGGCCAGTGAGCCCTCACTGAAAACATATTGGCGAAATTGTAGTGTCCCACCTTGAGGTTACGTTTTGTGCAAAGAAGCAACTGTGGTACCTTCGCGTTGCTGGCTCAGGCCCCGGTATTGGATCGTGCACGGCGTGCTCCAAGAAGGCCCTGCTGTTTCAAAACACCTGCGTGCCCTGCCTGGCTGACGAGTTCCTCTCTCCTAGCAAAAAGGTAGGCACTTGGCTTTATCAGCTTGCGGCGCTGGGCACACCGGATATTGCAAATGGTCCCACGTGGTTCACCAGATCCTCTTATGATAGCGGCTGTTACGCCTTGATGCATCGTGACACTGTCAGTCCGCAGCCTGCCCAATTGAGCTGGAGAAATGCTGACTGCCAATGTAAATAGAAGGCGAGGCACCTTCTGTAAAAACCATTTGGTTTGGCCTATAGTGTCGGTGCTTGCGGTCACTTCACTCGTGCAGGTTTTTGCCGAGCACCAAACTTCACTTCTACGCGTGTGCTGCAGAGGTGGATTCGACTGCCTCGGTAGTTCTAACAACAGCCTTTGATCTGTTTTATAGAAATGCAAGAAACCAATGCCAAGGCATTGCGAGAACTTTAATATTTACTGGAATGCAGGTCGATTTCGAACATAGGATAGCTCCACCCGTGTAGTATGCCGAGGCAATAAACAAAATATTCAGATATAGGTTCACTCTATTTCTTCAAGAAGTGGAAGGGAGGGAGATTTGTGCAAACCTTTATTTCACAGCATTCCTAGTCACTTTAGCCGAAGTCCCCTCCTCGGCCGCGCCGACCACATCATCGTCCGAACTTGCCAAACGGTCTGTTCCTTAATGCTGCGGCACTCGCCCTGTACCGCTCCAAACGGTCTGTTCCTTAATGCTGCGGCACTCGCCCTGTACCGCTCGCATCAGGCTTCACTGCTTCGGACCGGTGCTTTCATGTCGAGCTTCACCGCATCGCACTGGTGTGCTTGGAGAAGTGACTGATTCAACGGAGCACTTTGCTTACCTCGACGGATTGGCAAGTTTGCTCGCGATTATAGGGCGGCCTTCTTTGGTCACGATTATAGGGTGACCCCTAAGTATGATGTTGTCATGTAAGAAGAGAAAGAGAAGCCCTCCCACAAAGCTCTCTGCTCGCCATGACTGGTGGCTTCGTCCTCTCCGACCCGCTAAAGTGAAAAGAATGGAGGGTCTTATGGAAAGTGGCCTCTCTTAAGTTTCTCACGTTGCAGGGAATTATAGTCACAAAAAATTGGCTGCATGTTCGGTCATTCTGTCAAATGCGTTCAAATGCGGTTGCTTTACAAGGTGGGTGGTGCTCTTGGTTTGGGTTGTGCCTAGGACAGGATGATGCTTAGTGTTTCAGTGCCTGGGGTGGGTGGCACTGTTGGTTTAGGTGGTGCCTAGGGCAGGGTTTTGTATGGAAACAGATTACGCCACACCATTGTCTCTTTGTAACGCTGCAATGTCTTCCCTGCAGCACCACCCGGATACAAAGCCTTTGTGCTGAATTTTCTGGGTCACCAGGAAGCTTGCTTTCTTGCCCTTTCCACTCCTCCTCGTTTAGCACTCTTTCTACACAACCTGTTTCTGCTCCTCTTTTTCTCGCCTTCCACCCCCTTCCCTCTGCACGCTTTCTCACTCCACCTGCTTCGCTCCTCCCGTTCCTGCGTGTTCTGTCCGTAGCTCAGTCAGCGGCGCACTCGACTTCTGTGCTGGTGACCGCGGTTTAATCCCTGGCACCAATTGCTGTTTTTTTTTTGTTTTTTTTCAAGATAGTTTTGCGCTTATGAACTGATTGACCCACACATCTCGCACTTACGCGGCTCCGGAGGTTGGTTTGCCTCATAAAGCTTCTGCCTTAAAACAATGAAAACAGAAGCGACGTGTTACCTATATTCGAATTAATACGGCAGGTTGGACACTAATCCCACCCTAGGAGGTGGCCGAAGTATTGCAGCATTGAAATAGCAGCCAATGCGGCTGAAGCAAAACGCTCTTCTCGCCGAAGGTTGTTTCTGACACTGGCGTCGCACGGTGTACTTGTGCCAACAGCGCTGCCAGAAGTGCAGCCACCCGTGCAGGTCGTGCACCGGTCCCGGCGAGGACCGCTGCCTCTCGTGCGTCGACGGACTCAGTCTGGATCCGCTAACGTGGCGGTGCCTGCCGTGTTGCCCGAGCGATGCGACCCGAGCCACTCCGGGCACTTGCTGCGTCTGCAATAGGGAGACCAGTGAGTGGCCCTTCATCTGTTTGTGTTTCTCACTTAGTGGGACTCTTTTTGGTGCTATGCATCTATATTTTTTTAGGTCTAACACTTCTGGCTTATTTTTGGGTGAAGTTCGAAGGATACAGAAACCCAATGCACCAGTCCTTTTTTTCTGCGTGTTTAACGAGGAGTGATGTTAGTTAAAATACTGCTGTGTTGTGTTTGCAGAGGCAGACTACAAGATCCTAACGTATAAGTGCCTGGAACGCGTCTTTGACTGGTGCGCTTAGCGTCCTGTCTTGCCCCTACACCAAAAGTGGTTCCGAAGTGGCAACAAATGACGTCCTAGAAGCCGGTCTGTCTTGTTGTCAGGGGTGGTCCAGTTGTGCCATTTGCGCCATTTTGCTAAATTCCCGCTTGCCTGCACCTTGCTGCGCCCAAAGGGAAAAATTGCGCCAAACTGGGACAAAATGAACAATTCTGTAGACGAATTGGTTTTAAGATGAGTTTTCGCTTTCACCTGCCAACTGTGGGGATCCAGTGGGATTTGGCCATCACAGTCCAATCCAGATTTTTGCCTCCGAGGCATTGTTTCACGGGTTTCGCATCAATTTTACCGACATCCCCAATGCAGTGCAGTTTTAACAGTTTCAGTTGCATTTCAAAGTGCACTACCGAAGGTTAGGAAGCGCAGGTTCTTTTCTTTTTTTTTTTCTACTTGTCCGTGCTCAGTAGCTTGACACTGTTTTATAGCAATGTGCTCGCACATGATTCCCATTTTGTTAGCATGCTCGGACGGGACTGCTTTGCTACGAATTGTGGCCTTTTTTCACGTTGAAAAATGTGAATCCTGGATCGTACATACTACTCATTAAAATGTCTACACGTTAAAAAAAACCAAGAATATTTTTATTGATTATTTGTCTGTTCCATGTGAGAAGACTTTGTATAGTTCCGATTTACCTCTCTATCTAGAGCAGGAATCTCGAAACCCTAGCCTGCGAAGTCACTCCATCCGGCCTGCAGATGGCTGCGGTCTTTCCAGCAATGCCTGGCCCCACTGTCCACTGCTACAAACAAAAAGAAATAAACGCGCATTAAACAAAAAAAGAAATTACCGCCGCGACGCGTTTTAAAAGTGCAGGCGAAGGTATAAAAAAGAATGAGAGAAAATCTGCATCAAAACGTGGGTTCTCTCGCTATAGTATTTGTTGTAAATTGTCATCACTGGCATTGCTATTCATAGTTCCCTGTTTCATGTCTGTGTAACTATGCTCTGCGTCGTAACTCTCGCATATTCTCACCATCAGATCTAGCATACTCATTAGTCATCTTCTGCCCTGTATTAATATGCCAAAGTTAGCTTTGATTTATATTTGGTCAGTTCTCTGGGTCACAATTATTTTGTAATGTTATCATTAGCAACATGTTGCATTTAAAAATAAAGTATATGTATTCAACCCTCTTACATTTTCTTATAGTTTTGCTCTAGTTGAAATTTTTGTATTTAAATCATTATTTAGGCTTATTTATTTAGTATTTCCTCATTTATGCAATGTTGTCTATTTTCCGGCCGTGGAGACCGGGACAGATCCCCAATCCGGCTCCTTAGCCAAAACATTTAGGGACGCCTAGTCTGGAAGGTTAAATTGGTAGGCTACATCGACTTCTGAAAGGTTATATTAGCACACTTACATCAATCCGGCTAACCTTTGTCTACTAGCACAGACAAACAAAACACGAATTTGACTATGTTTATGGCACAGCTTCACAGCATTCAAAGGGCAAAGGGCAAGATTAAAGGGGAAGCTCCTCTGACCTCTTTCCACTTCAGCAGAACAAATGCTGGAGAGGAGGGTGCCTCCAGCGTTCGCTCTGCTAAAATTGAAAGAGCTGGGAGGAGCTTCCACTTGACTCCTAACCCGTCGCCAATTTTAGTACGGTATAACTGCCAATTTTGGGCTTTTAATGGCCACCAAGCAACTGATCGCACAAACGCATGCCGGCATCACTAATTGGGAACTGCATCGAATTGCACCAAACTTGCATATGTGCTGCTCCAAAGCTGCTCCAAAGAGTGATTCTTTTTCTCGTACAGAGGTGTTTCATGACGAGTATGTTTCTGCCCCAAAAACTGCTCCATACTTAAAACTGGCTGGACCACCCTTGTGTTGTCAAATCTCGCGGCTGTGGCTGTCGGTGCTAGAAGCCCTGGCACAGAGTGTAAGCGGCCGTGAGCATCGCCTTCTTCGTGGAGTCCATACTCCTGGTTGCTGAAGCTTTCCACGCACTAGTCGGAGACACGTTCCATACCTGGGCATGACGTATGCAGTCGAATCTCGTTAGTTCAAACTCACTTAATTCAAACTTGCGGATAATTCAAGCTAACATGCAGGCTCCATCTTACGCGTCTGTATGGGAGGAAACTCCCGGTAATTCAAACAAATTTTCGATTTCCCTCGAGTTTGAATTAACGAGATTCGACCGTAGTATAAATTCTCTGCGTTTACCAAGCACCGATTACAAGAACCTGTTTGCGTCCCTTCGCAGACGAGTGCGTGACCGGCACGGAGCACCAGCGGAGTACGTCGTGGCTGGTGCATGACAGTGCCACGGGGACCTACGACCTCTCGGTGCAGCGGGTGGCAATGACGGTGGTGGGCATCTGCGCGGGCGCGGTGGCCATGTTCTTCCTCCTCTTCGGCCTGCTCGAGTGGTCGTCGTCCACCGGGGTACGTGCACGGCGATTGGGATTTCTGGGCCTGCGGTCGGGAAACTCGGGAGCTCGAGTCCCGGCACCGCAAAAGCCTTTGTCTTTTGACGGCTTCGTAACAACTGTTTAATTCGATCGATGCGGTGAATTCGCCCGCTTTTCTGTTATGTTCGGTGTTTCAGCAAAGACCAAAAATATTTTTGCTGCTAATGGATGGTTGAGGAAAAAAGACTCTTTTCGGGAACAAACTAGCAGCCACGGTGGTCGTCCGGGATTGCACGAAACCTAGTCGTTAGCTGAATGATTAACTAAAATTTGCTGGTACACATTTGAATTATCGTCCTCATTTTGGAATCTTCTATGTTGTGCCTGCTGCACAGGGGGTAACTTTAACACACCATCACGCTTCACATGTGCTTTAACCTTCCTAACATTTACTGATTTAGCGGTTTTCGATAACGCTTGGCAAGTTTTTAATTGGAACTCTACCTTAATATCCCGAGTCGTCACCTGTCCCCAAGTCATTGCCCACCCCACTTTTTAGGCGCATATCAGTTTCTAAAAAAAGTGAAAGCCGTTTACAACTCCCTGTAACACCGAATTAGAGCGCAGCTCTTGAGGAGGAGGAGGGAAGGGTACTGGGGGGTGAAGTGACCTGGGGGGTCACGTGACCTTGGGGAGTCACGTGACCATGCCGATGATGTCATCAGTGACGTCACTGATGACGTCATCAGTGACGATGACGATGCGGACTCCGATGACGTCATCAGCGATGATGACGATGACGATGCGGATGCCGGTGACGTCATCTGTGATGATGACGATGACGATGCGGATGCCCCCCCGAAGTCACGTGACACCCCCAGGTCACGTGACCTCCCCGATGACGTCATCGTCACTGATGACGTCACCGGCATCCGCATCGTCATCGTCATCATCACTGATGACGTCATCAGTGACGTCACTGATGACCTCACCGGCATCCGCATCGTCATCGTCATCATCACTGATGACGTCATCAGTGACGTCACTGATGACGTCACCGGCATCCGCATCGTCATCGTCATCACTGATGACGTCATCAGTGACGTCACCGGCATCCGCATCGTCATCGTCATCATCACTGATGACGTCATCAGTGACGTCACTGATGACGTCATCAGTGATGATGACGATGACGATGCGGATGCCGGTGACGTCATCGGGGAGGTCACGTGACCTCGGCGGGGGTCACGTGACCCTCCGGGTGGTCACGTGACCTGGGGGTGTCACGTGACCTCGGGGGGGGGGGGTCACGTGACCTCTGGGGGTCACGTGACTTCAGGGGGTCACGTGACCTTGGGGTGACCTTGGGATGACCTTGGGGGCCACGTGACCTTGGGATGACCTTGGTTACGCCGACGCCAACGCCGACGCCGACGGCGACGGCGACGGCGACGCCGACGGCGACGGCGATGGCGACGCCGACGGCGACGCCGACGCCGCTCAAGCCGGGAACGGGCCCCTAAGAGCTGCGCTCTAAAACACACGGAGTGATCGCAGACCCCTACAAATACCAGAGAGCAGACTCTGCGACCCATGAACATTCATCCTACCCGAATGACGCGACCGCGGACCTTACAATTGGAGGACGTCCGTGACAAGGTAAACCAAGGAGGGAAAGACACTTCACTTTGTTTCCGCATTTCCTCCCCAATTTCCTCAACTCTGAAGTCATGGTACATGCATGTAAAAAGAAAACAATAGCGATAATAGAATGAAACTTTGTTTTGCTTACAAAAAAGTTTGTTTGGACAAAAAAACAAAGTAAAAGGTAACACAAGCAGTAACCCATTCAGAAATCGTGAGGTCAGCGAACATTTATGTCATGGAATGTAACCCAAGAGAGTAAGGTCGAAGTTTGTCTCCACCGAAGTAAGCCACCGTGAACCCGCTCCATTTCTTGGAATGTTCCAACCGCGGTTGGTAAGGTTGTGCAAAGTTTAAGACAAGGCCAACGGGTGAATAAAGATTTGCTGGAATGCCACACACAGACGTTTGTGGAGCGTCCTATTTCTAGCTCCGTGTTTGTGGTGCCGTCCACACCACGCAGCAACGCTGCCTCAACCAGCATTTACAGCACGTCGCGCACAGATACATGCATGTATGCACCAAACAAGGAAGTAACGCAAGAGTCGCAATCTTGACCTTGCGATTGACAAGATGTGCGACTTGGCCCGACGACAAAAATATTTGCCAACGCGATCGCCCGCTCACTTGCTCATTGCATCTGGTTAAATTTCCTATTTTTTTGTGGACTTTTTTTCTCTTTCTCACTAGCGAAGAGAACACAGCAGTGTTAGAAATGTGCTTTCACAAAACACACTCGCGCTGTGTGCCGGTCAGCGGTGTTCATTGCACGTATGCAAGCAATGAACTTCGCGATAGTAAAACATTCTTTCATGAGCATTTCTTGCATAAAACGATGAAACTAATTCGAGCTTTGAGTTTAATGTATCTCCTGCGCAGCCACGCTAGATACGTACAAAGAAATAGGCTTTTTTTTTTTTTTTTTTTTTTTTTTTTTGTGCTTACCCACTGAGAAATAGCCCACCCATTCTTTCTTTTTTTTTTTATGAATTTCAGGTGGCAGGAGAAGGGGGGGGGGGGGGAGGGCAGTGACTCAGGATATTGCAGTATGTTTGCTTTTACTAAACAAAACATTAACTTGTAAATTTTCGTATTATTTTTTTTTAAATTCTCAACGTCTGCTGTGGCTGGCAGTTTGTTCCCAAAAAGTTTCTCTTTTTTTTCTCTCAACCACCTAATTGGCAGAAATTTCTGAAAGTCTTTGCAGAAACGCTTGGTATATGTGTACATCTTTGTTTTCGTTATTTGATGATTGCATTCTCTTTCTTCCTGTATCTTTTATACACTTTAAATGCCATTACAATCTGCATGGGGGCTGAGACCTTCATCCAATCGCTGTTGAACAACTTTTTGTCCCAATCCCCGTCGCCATTCTTTTTTTGTGGCTATGTGACAGCGAATAAAATTGCTTTGATTTGAAGGGTGGGAGCATCCTCGGCAAGAAGGTGCGCCTGGCAGACTGGCTGCGCGGAAACGGGAACAACGGTTACTCTCGGCTTCCCGGGGCCAAGCGGACGGCTTCAGACAGAGCCCGGTTCGAGGTGGAGGCAGAGAAGGTGGCGCTGACGCGGGAGGACGAGGAAGAGGACGAGGAGGACGAGGAGATCTTCCACAAGGTGACCTAACGACGGGGAAGCAGCGGGCAGCTGCGAAACAATTGGGCTCTTCCCTCTGGACGATGGCGAGGTGAGGCTCCTCTTTGTCGTGGTAATGATGGTATATTACTATACTGCCCTAAATGAATCTCCAACTGGTGTGTGTATGTATGTTCTTAAAATTTTTTTTATTGACTTTATTTTTATTTACAATATGTCACAATATTATACAATCGGTGTTTGGACCCATAGCCAAGGGCTAGTTCATGGGTCCAACAAAAAATTAGAATTTTGAATGCGGCAGACGACGTGCACAACCTGAAATAAAATCTAATTATGAAGTATTTACACAATAGTTAATTCTATATTTTACTAATCTGAAACACAATATGACATATTTCTAATCTTAACTTTCATCTGAGTACAGAGTAGGCGCAGACATGGACAATGAGCTAAAGCTGCTTCGATGGCGGATCAGGTTCTTGGGGGTTGGCATCCCTGAACGATCTTGGTGTGTTTTCTCCTCATCTTCAGGTCCTAACCAGTGAGAACTGCGCTTCGAGGGTGTGCCATGCTAAGTGGTGGTGTCAGGGCCTGTCTAGGAACGCGCTGGCTGGTCGGCAGGGTGCAAAAAAAAAGGCGTCTGACTCACCGTCGTTCGACGTCTTGCCGCCGACGAAAAATTGACTGCTCGTGCGGCGAGACACGGAAAACCGGCGGGATGTCAGCCATTCGCTCGTCCGACAGCCGACGTATTAATCATTTTCTCTACGAGTAGCGATTCTTGTTGTGACGACAGCTAGGGCTTTTTTTGTCAGTTTGTTTTGTCTTTTTTTTTTATTCATGCTCTGTTGGCATTACTCGGGAATATTTCCATTTAGTAGTAGTAGTTGTAATATCGGTTAGCTTTAATGGCATTGCTGGAGTGCGGAATACTAGACCGATTTCACCGGCCTTTGTGTGTGCGGTTGGCTTTGTAAGCAAGCTGCTGCACCATCATATTTCAGGTGGCATAAAAGAGTTGAAAGATTATTTTAATATGCTAAGGTAAGTAGGTAGTCATCTTGGACCATTATGAAATTCCACACTTTTGTACTTGTGTTTCAGCATTCAAAATGCCACGAGCTCCTTGAGCAGTGTATGGTGAAGCCGGTGAAATCGGTCTATAGAACAACCTTTTCCGTTGCCATCAAGTTCTTAGTTTTTTTCTTTACATTGCTATATCTTGGTCTTCATTATTTTTTCTAGCTAGATTGTGCAACAGAAGTGACTTACAAAGTGCCAAAACGAAAAAAAAAAGAGAGAAAAAGTTGCTTAAGTTTTTTTTTTCTTTTAATACGTTGGCCCTTTAATGCATGGACTGTTTATCCTGACAACGATGTGCACTTGTGATTCCTTCCGATCTATGTTTTTATTGTAACACTGCGGTCCCAGTATTGTTCGATGTGAATACTCCTTTTTTCGGTTCCTCACACTGCCTATACGTTCAAGCATGAAGTGAGCTACCTACTTCTTCGAAAGCAGCAATCGTTGTATCCAACTCATTGTTAAGTTTGGCGGCATCTTGCATAAATATATTAGAGTAGTGTATGTAGCTCCAACCGGATATTTGTTTTACCAGACTCGAATCAAACCGACGATGCTTTACACACTTGCATTTTTATTGCGCCCTTGTATCGGCAATGCTTTTAACCACGCACATTGCTTGCAGCTCGTGATTGAGACGGTGGTATTCGCTTTCAAAGCTCCCCGATAGAGTCGTGCTTCTAGAGTTACGATGAGCGGGGATGACTTGTCTTCTTTTGTTTTCCTCCACCAAGTAATTTTTCCGCGGCATTGCGAAGAACTTGGGAGTGGCGAGTGAATTGTCCTCGTGCGCTCGGAGGTTGACCTTCCACAAAGTAGAGGACGCTATTTTTGTAGGTATTGCAAATCTTGGGGCAGTTGTATAATCGACAGAGTTGTGCAAAGATTGCATTCCAGTGTACTATAGTGTGATTGTATCATGAGTGGGTGTCATTGCTGGAATTTGGCACGTGCAGTGTGACGGGCTTGTGCGATGCCTTCAAGGATTTGAAATTGTTAGATTCTTCGAAACACCTTTATGCTTTCATTCTCAAGGCCACAAGAGCAATCAATGGGGTGGGTCACCTCATTTTTGAACAGATGGGATGGTGTGCTCATACTATTAGTTTTATAACGGCACAGGTTGTAAGTTTGCATGGAGGCATATTCAGGCACCAGGCAACATTCCAGAAATTTTGATGTGAACAAGCTTTCGCGGGTGACTAGCAGAAGGAAAAGAACATTGGTTTCTTATCCTTCCATGTCAACACCAGTTGTCATCTGCTATCACACTTCTTTTAGCGGACAAAAGCATCCGATCCTTAAGCTGATAGAGCCACCTGTTGACTGCAACAGAATGTGACTTTTGTCATTGGCAACTAAACTGAAATCAAACCTTGAAACATACATTTTTACTTCTATCCATGGCGACTTTAAATGCTGTGATTTTTGTGAAGTTTGCCACCACCCTATTACGCATCTGTGAAAGGTCACAATGTGGCCGAACCAAGGTTAGAACCAGTCTTTTTACATTGCTCATACTTACGTGTCCTCACTCATTAAAGGCGACTATTTCTAGGTTTGGTGATTAGTAGTGTATTTTGGAAGTTATTGTCCTTCCTGCTAGAGCACAGTTTTTATTGCGCACTATGGTGTGCGAATGCTTGCTTGCTGTGGAAGTGTGCCTGAAGCAGGGCTGCAGTGTTCCAAGCCACCGTGGACTCTACATACAGCACTGTGAACTATGCAAGGACACTTGGTCTGCGCGAAATAGTTCCGAATTATCCCCTTCGCCGTTGGTGTTTGGAACAATTCAGGTTTCTAGTCAAACACATTTTTGTTTATTTGTTTTTTTTTTTCTTCAAATTAACTCTTCAAAAATTTCAGTTGTGTGTGCTTTTTGACACCATGTGAATAATGAATGTCAGAGGAACAAAGCAATGTATACATGAAGAGATTTAAATATACAGCTTATCGTATGAATTCCAGCATATGTTGTGTCTGCTGCTTTCTTGTGAAAAACTAGTTGGTTCAGCCCTATTAGTCAAGATGTGACTGCTAAAAGCATGCAGCATAGAAGGCATAGGCTGAACTCCTATGTTCTTAAAGTACTGCACCCAATCTCCTGCAGAGTGGGGCTCATTCATTTGCCCAGCATAGTACTGCTCTATTAGTAGTACCGTATGCATGGCTTGCAGTGACGCCTCATCACCAGTCATTCTGGTGGCCTGGTTGCCGAGCGCGAACCTCCTCATACGCCATCGAATTTGCTTACTTGGCAAGAACAAGTACAAATGATCACCGGCATGGCTCAATGACGTCACTGGTTAGTTGCTTGTTGCCAAGTGGTCAGAACACTTGCACGTAACAGGGAAGAAATACAGTTGCACGATTTGTAGCCCTTATCGCAGAGCTAAAAAAAAAAAAAGAGAGAATAAGATATCCAATTTAGTTAAATCTTCGAACATTTCCACAGTTCTTGTGGTCCCCTTTGGCGATGCGCCTCTGACATTTGTAACTGCAGGGTAAATCGAACCGCACAAGTCAGTTGGACATACGAGCGGTCTTCGCAAGAGCGATTACAGGTAAACCAAAAGGTAGGTCCTCTGAGTAAGGCAACACATTTTTCCTATTCTTCTGGCATGCACACCATTTTCTTTTTTATCTTGTGTTGGCGCAAACATGGATTGTCAGGCAACGGTCTTCGAAAGGATGTCGATACTCGGGCTCTGCGGGCGTGGGATAGAAAATTTCCTAGAGCGAACACTCAGTTCAACGCGGTCGCCTCACTTGGCTGGCGAGGCACTGAGAGCGGCGCTGGCTCTTCCTAAATTCACGCAAGAAGCATCAGAACGCACCTTCTACAGAGATTGAACGCCAGCCAACATGGCCACCTCATGTGGTGCAGTCAACGCTTCACAAGAGTGTGAACGCGCCTTTAAGGCGCGTTCACACTCTTGCAATTGAGTACGACCGAGAAAGACTTCTTGGGACCGGATGCACTGAGCGGAGCTGGTCCTAAGAGATCGCAAGAGGCTTAAAAACCGGTTTGGTCTCTCTCGGTCGCACTCGGTTGCAAGAGTGTGTCTAGACTAGGCCATGCCATAGCTCAACCACATTTTTTTCTCCCCTCAATAAATGTATTTTTAATCATTCACTCGCCTTGTCCACCGAGTTTTGGCACCTCTGCACTGACCAGGGTGGAAACAAAATCACGATTAGAAAAATTAAATTTATCAAATTTATTTGATTTAATTCATACTTTATTTCAATCACTGAAGCTATAATATAGCAATTTTTTTATCGCCTCATGCATTTTTGAACCCTGCAGATTGATCGACCAATCCGTCCGATCATTGATAACAATGCGAAAGAAAAAGGGACACTGACAGGGTATTTATGCTCGCGAAGGTTTTTATTTGTACATGACACATGAGAGCCCAACTATCCTGAACATAATTTGTGACTCAAAATTTTTTTTTTTTTTTTTTTCTTTTCTGCCCAAAGATTGCCGATCAAGAACTTGCCGGTTTGAGTCACGCTCACACTCTACTCCGTGAGCCATGTGCCGTCACATACATCAAATATAATCGAAGACGTGGGTCATCGAAGGCACACACTCAATATTAAAAATAGAAACAAAACATAGAATGCCAATTTTTTGTAGTTTCTAAAAAGCTCCAAATACACTGTCTAAAAAAAAATATATATATATATAAAAAACACAGCCACACGACCCTTTCCAGTCCAGTTTCCTTTTCGAGCAGTTGCGTGTTTTTTTTGTTTTCTTTTTAGCTTTCTGTAGCAAAGTATTGATTGGGTAGCAGTGTTGTACACGTTCCTCAAAAAAAAAAAAAAAGGAATGAAAGTTGTTCGTTTTGTTTTTGGAACGCATTCCCGTTAGTTACATCGTTACATTTACATTACATTTGTATTTTGCTGATTACCATAGTTAGATCAAGCAAAGTTTTTTTTTTTTTTTTTTTAATGTGTCCCATTAAATGGCAACGTACGAATTTGAATGCAGTGATGGAAGGGCACCAGGAGAAGACAAGCAGAAACGGTTTCATTTGTTGATATATTTACCTTTAAAAATCTCAGCTTTCAAGCACATTTTGTGGTGGGCGATTCAGATGAGCCAAATGTACTGTTACTCCACATTGCACGGGCGTTTTACAACAACCTCGCACGTTTCCATCTAATAGAGACCCTTGTTCGAACTTAACAACTGTTGCTTCTCGATGTTGCTGTCTGCAAGACGAGCAAGTGAAGAAGAGGGGGCTTTTGGAAGGTCAGTCTCGAAAACTACAAGTCCTTCCTCAAGGTTGGATTCGTTCAGGTTGAAGGTGGGGGACAAAAGGAGAAGAAACAAATTTTTTTTTTGGGGGGTTTATTTTAAGTGATTAATATTTGGGATACAAGGATACGTTCGATGTCGGGTAACCTGTACTTTTGCTGTAACTAGGTTGTCTTTTTTTGTGGAAGTTCAGGGATGGCTGTAGTCGGCCTCGTATTTCTGGATGTATGAGGATTCGTGGAAGCAAAGAAAATAGCTGAGTTTGAGACGTCCCTTCGTTTGTGTTTTTTCCTTCGACTAAAAGTTTGGCTTGTTATACTGCAGGCTTGCAAAGAAAAAATAAACAAATATATATATATATACAAATGTCCACCAGCTCTCCTTCACCCAACTGTTACCAAGAAAGGACAACACAAAATAAACCATGTGATAGTAACCAAAAAGTTAACGAGATCCGGCACTTTCTTATAGATATTGTTTTTATACTTTTAGAATTTCCCTCTTAGAAATAAAATACAAAGTACCCCACTGGACGAAAAAAAAAAAAAGAACGCCATTCCTTTTTCCGTTTCAGTAAAAATAGAACGAGTTCCCGTTCCAGTTCCACCAATGCGAAATGGAACGGCGGCGTTCCTTCTAAAAGGAATGCGTTCCAGGAACGCCGTTCCGTACAACACTGTCCGGTAGTCTTCTGACACGATTTTAAATCCCCTAGGAAAAAGAAAATGAATAAAGCCGTCTACAAATCTCTAATCCGAGGCTACAGCGCAGCTCTTGAGGAGGGGAGGATATGCCCCTCCTCCTCCTGCCGCTGAATTTGTTCATGGGGGACGTGACGCGAAGTCGTGGCGTCATTTACCCGGTAAATTTAGCGCAGAAACTGAATTGGTGTGGAGGTCACGTGACGTCAAATTTCCCCGCTAATTTTAGCGGGGAAACGTCCCATATTGCAACGCGCGCGGTTACGCCGATGGCGACGCCGATACCGCTCAACTCGAAAACGGGCGCCTAAAAGCTGCACTCTAAAATATAAAAAAACGAAAACAAAAAACTTTGAGCTTTTTCACGGCCCGTTCACACACTTGCAACCGAGTACGACCATGCGTGGTGACCCTGGAACTGCATTGCACAAGAGCGAAGGGTTTGCTGTATTCCCGGGGTCGAATGTGCGTAATACCTATAAGAAAGGCTCGTTTATAACGTTGATAAAAGTTTTTCGAGCCAAGAAAGAAAGGATAATGCGCGAGAGAAATATAAATAATGCCGGACCGCCAAGCTTACACCGCTACCCAATAGATGGTGCCAGTGTGTCCTCTCGTAAGAGGTTTCAAGGATTTGTGTATCGTTCAAATTGGTTATTTGAACGATACACGAATCAGACATGCATATATAACGATCCGGGGTTGCTATTTATTTCGGAATCACAGTGACCATGGCCTTGTGATCGCTGTGGTACGCCGTGCCGTCATAGGTAGGGTTCCGCGTTTTCGGTTTCTACTTTTTCAAAATTCGGCGTCATTTTTTTGGTGTTTATTTTAAAATTCAATTTTCGTTTTTTTTTTTCGACGTATGGTTATGCCCACAGAAGTTTATCGGCTTTTTTCGATGAATATAAAATAAACACCAACGGACACCGAATCAGATGATCCTTGTAGCTCTGATATTCGTGATCACTCAAAGAATAACGGCACAGATACATTGAAAAAGAAATGGACACTTTATTTGGCAAATGTGTGCAACTGTAAAAAACAACAAAAAAAAAACGCAGAAGTACAAACAGGTCTGATATGAAGCCTATGCCCAAAAAACATGGAACTTCACCTTCTGTGCATCAGGATTACGTGATCTTATTAGTAGACACACATGTACTTTCCCAGGTTCTCCTCGTTGATCCGCACTCTTTCTTTCCCGTTAATATGACCCTGAGCTTCGAGAATGCCCTCTCAAACACTGGACACTGGCAGGCTGAGGATATGAAGCGCTGCCAGAGCCAAAATCGTCCTATCAACCAATAGTGACCGCCAAAAGAGACACGGTGCGACGTTTTAAAGCACAACACAAGATGCAGACCTAGCATCAAGTTAGTCTTCCGAGTTTGGAATATGCTCGTACATGGCGAAGTCATGGGGCATTTCGGACTTCACGTTCCGATCGACGATGCGCACATTAAACCAAAACATCGTCATGTCACCCTTGTAACCCATAGGTTCAGACACGTTTCGATAAACACTGTCGTTCCACTTTTTCGCCACGGCTCTGCGGTACAACTGGAAGGTCAGAGTGACCTTTTCCGGTTAAAACTGAATTTAGAAAATGGATTCGACGTAGTTTTGTCGGTTTTTATCGGTTTAAATCGAAAATGCCGAACCTAAAAACTGACCTTTTTCGGTTAAAACTGAATTTCCGAAAGTGGATTCGGCGTACTTTTATCGGTTTTAACCGAAAACTCAGAACCCTAGCCGTATAATATAGCTGTTTTTTTCCCCAGTGAGGTACTACATTTTAAGCCTACAGATAATTCCGATCGATCGTTACATTTCCGTTCTTACTCTCTGCACATGGAAAGACCAATTTAGAGTTTCATGAAACAGAACTGAACTTACGTGATATAACATGTTCGATGATTTCGCTTTGAAACTGAATTTGAATTTCCTAATAAATACATTTATTCCGGGATCGAAATAAAATATACTTTTTTGTGTGTTTAATTGAATTTTGTTTACTCCAAGCCACGATGATAAATTTTCAAGACATGCGTTGGCTTCGCGCTCAGGACTTCTAGGCTTTTTCTGAAACAAAAAACAACAACAACAACAACAACGAATGTTTGTGTCATCAGCATATGAAATTATATCTGGTGTTTGAGGTACTCTGATGTCATTTATGTAAATTAAAAATAAGAGCGGGCCGAGAATGAACCCTCGCGGGACACCGTATTTTATTTGACCTCGCGTTATTAATGTCTGTATATTGTAAACGATTTGATAAATAGCTTTTTATTAAACTACGTGAAATTCCCCTAATTCCATATATGGGGAATTTCCCGAAACGAATAATGGGCTTGATTGAATCAAAAACTTTTTGAAGTTGAGAAACACTCCTACTGTATGTAGCTTATGCCCAAAATTGTCAATTATTTTCTTTTTAATATTTAGCAGCGCCCATTCAGACGATTTTTGCTTCTGAAAGTCGTACTGTTGCTCCGCTATAACATTATTTTGTTTAAAGAAATTTATTAGTCACGCACCAATAGCTTGCTCTATGGGTTCGGAAAAAATGGGGAGAACGAAGATTGGCCTGGGTAGTTGTTTACGTCATTTTTATCACCTCCTTTGTGAATCACCGACACTCTTGCTATCTTTAATTTATCGGGAAATATGCCGGTACTCAGAACTAGATTACATATATGTGAGATTGGCGTACTAATTAAGTGAGCAACTGATTTTACAGGCTGGGCTTTTATACCATCTTCACCACAAGCACTGCTAATCTTAATTAAAGGGCAACTCCACTTCATTTTTGATTTTGGGGGTATGATCTGTTTAGTTTAAGTCGGCGAGCCTAATTAGAGAGATATAATTTGTTTTTCGGTAGCGTGTATAGTTTTTTAGATATCGCTTATCCAAGTTTCGTTTCAGCGGCACGGCGAAACCGAAACTATCGACTCAAGTAGCTTGGCAACACTGATAATCAGTGGCGCGTCGACGGCATGACGTAGATCTCGTTCCGCGCTCCTGAGTTGACGCAACGACACGGCCGGCTCAGTCGCACGCGGAGTTTCAAAACAAGGCCAGTTGCACATTTTCTTTTTTACCGCTGCACTTTGTAAGCATGCACCAAATATAGTAAGTTTTAGTGTTTATTAAGAAATTTGTCGGCCGAAAAGCGAATCCGATTGCTATAAATAATATGACGCGGTCAGTACCGGTGCAGCGTGTCTGAATTTGTTTCTTGCTCGCGGACCAAGAAAAAAAGGAATAACGGGAGACACATGGACAGATGGTATCCGCAAGCGGTCTAAGTTGTTAAAGCTAAGGTGCCTTCATGTGTACGCTAGTTAGAGATGCTGCGACCGGCCGCTTGTTCTGAAGGAGCCGACGGACAGTACGCGAACAGCAACGGCACCAGATTGTTTTTTAAATACGCGCGTTTCGTGGAGAAACTTACAGCAGTCAGCAGCCGTAGATCCCGTGTGTAGGTGTCTGGCGTAAAGTGCTGGGAGCAGAGCTTCGCGTTGGAGCTCGGAGTCGACGGTCTTCCGAAGTCTATCCGGCGAACGGCACTGACCCACACCCTATGCCTTTTCCGGTCCCTTGGGAACTGGTGGAACCGCAGCTCCGGGTTTCGCACCGCATTGTTGGGGCAACCCACAGCACTACAAATCGTGCTGGGCATTGCCCAGCGCGAGTCCGGCGAGACTCTCGGGCTCCACGACACGCGCGTGAGCGAGCAGCACCGCTTCGCTCTCTTTCGCTCGGTCGCGGAAGCTATGCTGAAGTTAAATGAACTCCCAGGACGCAAGCAAGAATAGGAAAACACAGGAGAACGCGGTAAGCACCTCTTGCCGTAAGCAGAATCGCATAATGCCACGGAAAACGAAGCGTCCGTGGTGTCCGTACGAGAGCATAGGACGAAACCTACGTCATTGCCCAGTGTTGCTTGACTAGCTCACCTGGTGCAGCGTTGCTCACCCGCTTTCGGGCAGCTAACCCAGCCGCTAGAAAATTTTTAATATTGGTATTAATCGGGAATGCGGCGTCGGTTTGCCGGGATATTTTGGGTATGACCGCATTGTGACCCCCTAAACCGATATCAGCCATTTCTATAGCGTCGACTTTTTGTGCGGAGTCTCTGTACTACTCATGTACTACTGTCTTCTGCACTACTCATGAGTAGTGTGACCCCGGTTTTAATGACCGCCTCTTGGAACACAAAAGAAGTGTCCAAAATGTCTACATGAGAGCCGTGTGTACAGAGATTTTGGCCAATGGGAGGCGCGGGCAGAGCCAGGGAGTGCACCAGACGCAGAAAGGGGGCTTGGCATCTTCTCTTGGCCAAGCAGAAGCCGATAAAAAAAATCCCCTAGCGGTGGTAGTAAGAAACCGTTTTAATCGCTTTAATAAGCGCGTAAGAGTTAAGTGTAATAACCCTTCATGGTTGAAAATAGACTGCAAGTGATGTTTCGATCATGATCATGCAGAAAGATGTAACGAATGTACCACTCGAGCTCTGTTTTGCTCGGACAAAGTTTGACCGCTCGACCAGCAGATTTCCGGCCCTCCGCGCCTGGCGTACGGATTATGTCGATCGTTCCGCTAGTTGCACTCTTCCACCATGATTCTAAATGACTCTTATTGAAACATAACGTGCACCACATTTTCAGTCACAGAGAGTTAGGCCGATGCACTTACTAAGTTTGTTTCTCGCGACCACCGCAAGGGTATTATTTACGGCTCCTGGTTGGCCACATTCGAATTTGTGAAGACACCTGGAACACGGCCAGCCTGCTTTCGGCCAATGACGCGTCCTCATTTGTCTCCTATACTTCTTAATAAGTGGCCAAACTCTCTACATATACGGCTGTGATTTACATTATCTGATCTAGCCAAGCATATTTCTGAATGTAATGCGCGCTCGCCATTATAGGAAGAAACTTCAATCTTGTGCAAAGAAAGAGATTAATGTAAAATAAGCTTAAAGGAAACCTTGAGTATAAGATACCACGAAAACTGATAAACGAACGCGTGAAAAAAGTTCCTACTGTTGTGAGGTTTTGTTTTTGTCGAGGGGTGAGGTAGTCGGAGGGTAGGTATGCAGTTTTTCGCTCGGTTTACACAGCCTTGACGGACATTATCATGTCGGGTAGTTTGATGGCGGGTGTCTGCTGGTGGTGCGGTGCCTGGAGGTCAGTCTATGGCTCAGGTGTGTCAAACCTCTGCGGCAGCATGTTTCTTTGTCTTTTCTGTCTGTGTGGAGGGCCATAAATGGCTGTTCTTTTGCGAATAAACCCAGCTGCGCTCGAGATATTGAGTCCTCTTGCCCGTTATTTTATTTATCCGTGTCTCAGGGTTTAGATTATGATGCTTCATAACCCCCTCGCCCGCTTACTTTTCGCTTCGTGTATACACCGCCGTTCCTCGGGGCTAAAGGTGGTGCCTGGAGGACACGGGCGCTGATAAGCATCGTACCTAAGGACACATTGTATATACATCTTGTCCGATTTTGGGTGGGCGAAGATACCGCTTTTTGTACACTCGAAGGGTTGGGTCATCCTTGGAGTCGGTCGGGTCACCATTTGAGTGGGTAGAGTCACTTTTCGACTGGGTCGGGTCACCACCGGAGCCTTGGTGGTGAGTGGCGGGACACCTGGGACACATCGGCCACCTGAGACACATGGGTCATGCGGGACAGGCGTAGGACGCTGTGTCTTCTTGATGGCGCTTTGCAGGGGATTCTTGGTACGGCCACACTCTCCTCCGAAGTCGTCTGGCACACATCGGCCACTTGGGACACATGGGTTAGGCGGGACAGGCGTAGGGCGCTGTGTCTCCTTGATGGCGCTTTGCAGTGGATTCTCAGTGCGCCCACAGTCTCCTCCGAAGTCGTCTGGGTCACACGGGACACATCGGCGACCTGAGACACACGGGTCAGGCGGAACCGGCGTAAGACACAGTGCTTCCTTGATGGCACTCTGGAGTGGATTCTTGGTATCCCCACAGTGTCCTCTGAAGTCGTCTGTTTCGATGGACCAGACCATAGCTCCCGCAAGACCCTTGGACAAGGCGAATGCGACCTGCGTTGCGAGAGTGACCGTAAATACTGTGCCGACAACCCGCTTAGTACGAGCGTCTGGTGTCCTATCACCGTTTCTGCCTAGCGTCACTGACAACTTAAAAAACGAAGGGCGTGTCGAGTCTCGGGAATCTTATTATCGCAGCCAATGAGGTTGCAGCACCAGCTGATAACATCGCCAAAGGACCAATCACGAGCGAGAAGCATGAACGCAATAATTCAAGCCCCGAATATTGCCGTGCAGATGAACGCACTTTCAGTTTGTACTGCTTGAACCGAAGCTCAGCCGCTGTGAAAAGGCAGTTGATCTTGCTCGGGAGTTTTCGGAAGAATAATTGGGGTTGTGTGGATATTTAGACAGCGTGTAGTTGGTCAGCCATTTCAAAGTTGCGACGAGTCACTCGCTGTACATGAGCAATTTAGCCAGTGCTGCATTGAACTAGAATAGGAGTGGAAAAATAGCCGGCCCCCAGGTGAGGCGCTTCGTGTTGAACCTACCAGGTAGCGCTGGTGTTCGATTCCGGAGTACTCCTGCCAGCGAAGTTCGCGCCAAACGTAGCTGTTTTTGATCTTAACGGTTCATTAGTGTGGCCTGTGTATGCTTTATGAGTGTTTCAACGTCTATGAATTAATGTTTAAAGCTTACTTGAGCAATGTTGTGAAAACCGGGGTAACCAGTCTTGCATGCTGGCGCGTAGCGGTGCGCATCTGCCTTTTTTCTCTTCGTTTTCATTGCTTAGCGACAAGACTCGAACCTATGTAATCACAATGCCAAGCACTCGACATTCACGAAAACAAATTGCGAAAACGACTATAGGCACAACAGAAACCATCTGAAAACGTACGCAAGCCCATATCCCATGCTACAGTAGCCACGTCCTCCGAATTTCGACAACAGCGCCATTCGCGGCAGTCTACACTTCTGGCTTCACACGGCCGATGGGGCGCCGTCAACGCTTTTTCGACTTCCCCTGTACCAGTGCAGTACAACCGCTAGTCTGGGGTCTTTAACGTGCAACACGCAGTAGTGATACACGACCGATCGAAACGGGCAGGGGTGGGGATTGAGCCCAGGATCCCTGGGTTCTGCAGCGCGAGCTCCACGTGCTCCGAGCTGGTGTGCGCTAGCCCACTCGGCCACCAATCCCCCGAGTTTTTGGGAGTTGGCAGCACGTAAGTTGTGGTCCGTTTCACACTATGATGTACCGCAACCACCGTGACCGCAACTAGGCCGACGAATCGTCTTAGCCGATCCAGTGCTTCACGGGTGCTGTACGTCCAACCGGAGGGTCACGTGACATACTCCGAGCTATGGACTGGCTCTGGTGGCTCGCAACCTCCCCCTCGGTACATCGTAAGGTGAAATGGAGGATAGCTGCACACTAACCCGGCCATTAGAATTACAAACTAACAAAAAAGCAAAAGACAAGAATATTAGTACACTAAATTAGTGAAAGTCGTAGATACACTAATTAAAAAAAAACAAAAAAAAAACAAACAAAAAAAAACAAAAAAACACGAGGGTTTAACGATTGCGCTGGCAAAAGCTACACACAAATAGACCACCTTCGATTTACACATCTGATGCTCCCTCCGATATGTTCCTTGTACTTTGCCCTTGTCTGGGTTCGGGAGTAAACTTGTTTTTAAAGGCTGTTGAAACAAGACACGCTTTCTGGTGTGCAGAGCGTTTGCAGGACGAAAGCGGCCTCTGCTTTTGTTGTCAATCCTTAACCTTCCGAAAATAAGAAAGGGAAGGAGGCGACACCGAAAAAGAGGCGATAAGGAAAACCGTGCAGTTTGTGTGGTTTATATTCTCGCTGAAAACGTACCCGTGCGCCTAAACGTTCACTTTTTTTTTTTACAGCGGAGCTGTTAAGGGCTATAGTGCCCTCAGGATCGTGTCCGGTACCAAACAAATGTCGACACAACACTCTGGTTGCCGCCGTCGCTCATAGGTGGCGGTAGCTGTCCAGAGTGTTGTGTTTGCCGGTTGTCTGCTTGCCGCCGTCGCTCATAGATGGCGGCAACATTTCTTCGGAGGACGAAGAGCGGGAACGGAACGAGCGGCAATGTGCGCAGCAGCACGAATGGTTCCGGAACTGGCGCGAGGCTGCTATCGCCTCAAGTTCCACTGCGCCGAGCGCTTCAGAGTCCCTTGCGAAAGAAGAGCAGATCGCTCGCCTGGAAAGCCACCGCCGAGAAAAGAAGCTGCAGCTCCGCTGCTCTTCCTTCTTCCCCAAAATAAAAAAAAAAAGCTAAACTTTTTTTTTGTTTTTTTTTTGAGTGGCGGGCACGATTGTTTTGCTGCGCTCAGCAGGAAACGTGTCCTGCTAAAACAGCCCTTTAGGTGCTGCATCTGTAGAAACCGCCTGTGTTCAAACTGCCTGCATAATTTTATGCGATTGTGCTTTACGACAGTTGAAAACAAGTGTCGCATTCTCAAGCCAAGCGCACGAATACTAATTTTGTATCTACCATTTGGAGTGGGGAGCTGCATGACGACAGACAGCAGCAGTCATCTGCGGCTTTGGGACTGAAGCTTCTCAGATAAGCGGATGTTAGTGGAGCGATCTCTCTATTTCTGGGGCGCTTTCACGATCGGTCTTGTGAAATCTCACCTTCTTTTTCAAACTCTCGACGTCGTCATAGCCAATCCACTGGTCTCCCTTGACGATCACCGGTGCGCCGACGTCGGGGTCGCGAGTCTCCTTCCAGCCACCAGGGCGGCGCAACACGCAGATCTGTGTCGCAAGAAATAATCTCAGCAGAGCTAGTCAAGAGGGCCACCCTGTGGAATCTACGCGGAAAGCAAGTCGTCTGCTTGTTGCGCAGGAGTTGCAGTGACGTCAGAAAGACGCTGAGCTCTGATTGGCTCTTGTTGGGGTATAGCGGGGAGACCTCAAAGCAAGCTGTCTCGAGGTCTACCCACTATCCTTCATTCAAAACCAATCAGAGATCGGCGTTCTAACGCCACCACAACCCCTACAAGAGAAACAGACGAAATTGCGCTCCGATAGCAAACGCACAAAGACGATCAGCGCTGTGACGATGCACTTTCGCAGTTTTTTTTATTGGCTCCATCGGGTTTTAGTGTCGGCTGAGATCGGAAATCTGACGTGAACTGCGGAGCATGACTGTGCGGGGGACTCAGAATTGATCTTGGCTGTGTTCCAAATCTTACCCAAATGGATCCGAGTTACTCCAGCGGATCGTGTCACGTGACAGCACAGATTGAAAAACGCTGGACACGGGTAGGTCTTAGAACGCCAAAAGGGTACAAAACCCTTACCATGGAGTAAGATCGAGTAAATTTTGGAACACGGCCCTTGTTTCTAGCAGCTGAACCTCATTCTCACGAATGTGCCGACTGCAGGGACGAGCGGAATTCCTCGTAGTCTATATAGCCTTGAACTACTTGCTTTTAATAAGGTCTGTTTACACGTTTGCGTTGGACTGTGACCAAGTGCTTTGGAGTTTTTGGAGACCGCCTAAAGAACTGGCGCGCGCTGCCGCCATTTGTCGGGTCCACCTGAAAGGCTTCCAACCTTCTATGGACTGAAGGAAGGTTTTTTGTAATTAAATACAAAAATGTATTTAATTACAAAGTGTATTACACTTCTAAGAAAAGTATTTCAATAGAAGAAACACATACAACGAGCGTATTTGATCAACTTTAAACACTGTTTCAAATACATTTTGTTTTCAAAGGTTAACATCTTAGATTTCAATTTAACAGAGGTAAAAAAAGACCATGCCCAAATAAAAAGCGGAGTTTGCATACAGTAAGGATCAAGTGCTTAGAAAGAATGTTGCAGCTCTAAAGATAAACAAGAAATATTTGTCACAACTTTATAGGTGAATAAAACATAAAAAAGAATGTGTTAACTGTAACCCTAACTTAAAGGGCTTAGGTAATGCATAAAATCCACTAAGAAAAGAAAAACCGTTAATTTTACAAATTAAAAACATTAAATGACAGAACCAAAAAGGCAATAATTGTAATCATCCCACCATTTTCCTGTTTTACTTTTTTCCTTTTTTTCGTCGACGTTTATTTTAAGCAAAGCGCAGCAAGAGTCATGCTCATTGCATACTGCTTCTTTCGCGAAGAGTGTCGACTACCAGACTTGGTTGCTAATAGCAGTGTCCAAAAATTGTTATTGGGGGCTGTATTTGTAATATTCAATTTTAAGTACTTAAACAGTAAATATTGTCACGAATGACAAAGGATAAGGCGATGGGTTAACTGGAGAAACTAAACATCAAATAGGGCGAACTTGTGCCCGAAATAAAATAGAAGAACGCTTGCGTCGCAGGCGTCAATGTCGGCTAAACAGCAGGATCGAGCGCTGGGGTGAAACTGACTCCGGCTCGCCACGTACACCCCTTTTTCTACACGCGTGGGCTTCTGGAACAGTCGGCGTAGAACATTTTGACCTCGAAAAGGCGGCAAGGTTTCTCGAACTTACGAAAGCGCTAAATTGAAAGAACAAATAAAAGACACCTCCGCTCCCAGAAATCGAACCCGGGGCCTCCGCACGAAAGCCAAGCACTGTAACCACTCGGCTTTTTTTTTTTTTTTTTTTTTTTTTTTTTTATAGAAGTATACATTTGGTACATACCGGCCACATGGCCAGGTCAGTGATTGCATACACTACTAGGCATGCACACTACTAAAATAATACACGAAAAATTTCGAGCCGACAAAGAGAAAAAGACAAACAAACAAACAACAGAACACTTGGTCCCACCCTCTTTCTATAATCTTTCTTTCCAGGGCGGTTGTGCGTTGCGGGCACTGTAACCACTCGGCCACGCACGCACTCGCTCGGCGACGCGCATAACAATAGAACACACACAAAAAAACTAAAATAAACAAGACGAGGTAGACGGGTGTACACAAGGCAAGCTCCGTCTTCGTTATTTTGTGCCCTAATTATTATGTTATTAAGTAGGCTGAATCGCCAACCTAATTCAATTGACAAAGACATTCCCCAATATGTAATTGAATACGAAATACAAAATACTGAAAGTATTTTAAATGCGTATTTCAAATACTTGAGCTCGGAGTACTGGCCATACTTCTAGGTCTATCCGATACATGGCGCCAGCGTGCAGTGTGTTGAGCGGAGAGACCGCAATGCACTCGGTCACAGTCAAACGCAAAGGTGTGAACCAGCCGTAAACCCTTAAACATATGCCCCTCCTGCAATATGTGATGCTGCGATTGTCTGTGAATATTTCCCCTGCATTCGGAAACAGTAAGTGCGTCGTTAACGCTGGCCATCGGTGGTGCAGCAGGCGCCGCCATCTTGTCCACGCGTTTGGACAGATGCGCCCTGTCTCAGAAGGACCAATAGCTGCTTCTGCTTGCGCACGCCTCTCGGTTAGCCCCGGTCGAGCGCAGTAAGTCCTCAGCGTTTGTGCACGGTACCTAGCTCGAAACAGATGGTCTCTTCAAGGAACAAACGAGAGTTCAGAGGACCAAATGCTGCCGTTAGTCCTTTGAGACCATTTTTTTTCTTATAATAATAATAATAATAATAATCTTTATTTCATCTTTTTCCACATACAATTTTACAGAGATTCATACCCCACATAAGCCTAAGCGGCTTGTGCGTAGGGCAGCGACAGAGCTCTAGTCACTTATAACAACCCTTTTTTACACTTGTTCAGTTCTTTGCAAACAAACAAACGAAAAAAAAAATGAAAACAAGACATATATACACCTTTACTCCATAACTCTCTACAAAATAACACACACAATACTACACAATTTAGATTCCAACCCCTGGTAGACTTCTCTTCTGCTTATTGCAGCTCTTTTCTGTTGATAAACCATTGTTTTAACTCACGTTTTAACTCGCTTATTTTTGTAATTTCTATTATTCTTGGTGGTAGCTTATTGAACACTCTAGCTACATATGATGCTCTGACTGCTTTTCCATATTTCGTCTTAACCTTTGGTTCTTGGAATAAATTTTTAGGCCTTAGGTTTCTTATCGGGATATACTTTGTTTTATATTTATCGCTGAACTGATGTTGAATTATAATATTTAATTCCAGTAAGTCACTAAGTTTTTGAATATCCAAATGTTGATACATGTAATGTAACAAAACTTGAAAGTATAAAACAAAGAGGACGAGGACGAGAACAGGACATCTTTCATTTAGCAACAACATAGAATGGCACAACGATAAAAAACCGCCCCCAAGGGTCTCAGCGTTCTCAAAGAGGGAAAGGAGATACTAGTTATGAAGGAAAGGGAATACACTAAAAGAAAAGTTTGAAAAGCGCATCAGTAATCAAGTTATTTTCGATTAGTTAGAATTAACCTTGGTCATTGTCAGTGATAATGCAGAATTATTCTTGTTTGCAGTCCAAAAAGGGAATTGTACCACTTTTTGGACTGCAAACAAGAATAATTCTGCATTATCACTGACAATGACCAAGGTTAATTCTAACTAATCGAAAATAACTTGATTACTGATGCGCTTTTCAAACTTTTCTTTTAGTGTATTCCCTTTCCTTCATAGCTAGTATCTCCTTTCCCTCTTTGAGAACGTTGAGACCCTTGGGGGCGGTTTTTTATCGTTGTGCCATTCTATGTTGTTGCTAAATGAAAGATGTCCTGTTCTCGTCCTCGTCCTCTCTGTTTTATACTTTCAAGTTTTGTATCTATTAACCAACACGCTCGTTTTCAATTGTAAATGTAATGTAAAGGTCTATTTTCATCTACATACAAGTTTTTTACTACTTTATTTAAGATAGAATTTATTTTATCTTGTAAATACTTTGCACAGTGCCCGTATATAGTAATTCCATATACTAAGATAGTGTACCTCATTGTAGCCAAGGTACCCGGCGAATTTGGTGTGGTTTCCCGCTTGGCCTGGCTGAGTGGCAAGGGCCAAGTAACCCGAGTTCTTGGGGTCGTCCAGGGTGAAGGTTCGTCCATAGAGCGGCAGTCCTAACACCATCTTGCTGACGTTGGCTCCCTTGTCGATCCAGAACTGGAGGCCGGTTTCCTGCGGTGGATGGATGGATTGTAGTGGCGATAGCCTTTCTATCTGGTGGTACTTACGCCCACGACTAACTCCATATAAAAGTAAAATAAAGTTGGTGGTGCTTGCGCCACCCTTAGAAACATTTGCCCTTTTAAATTGTGTTGTAAAATGCTTCTGACCCTACCAAAGCGTAACCCTCAGAGAATTTCAAAAAACGGTCGTTTCACTCCATTCCACATTAAAACGTACTAACGCTGACAGAAATCAAAAGAGTGTCGGCGATTAAGCGAAATCCTGAAGTCGGATTGTGCTTTTATTCTACAGCATACGCTCTACAAACTGTCTAATAAATGTATTTACTAATTGATAAGTTGCTGGATTGAAACGCTTTAAGGTCCTTTTTATTCTTCGGAACATTAAAGAGGCCGCACAACGATATTCGCTTGGAATGTTTTTTCACTTTACACGAGCTTAGCACTAGTGGAACCCAAGTGTACTCGCACGCAACGCCACTAACCAAGGAGCTCCTTTGTTGCGGGGTAATTCGAAGGACAAAAACGAGCGTTTTCATTAATCTCTCCTCCGCTAAACTTGATGACGTAGCGTGGGGAGTCGCAGTATCCCCAGTGACGGTATTTAAATGCGACTCAGACTGGACCTGAGCATTGCGTGAGCACTCGATTTGGGCTCGTGATTAGCGGCGAGATGTTATGGTGGCGCCCGCCTATGGTTCCCCCTTGTGACGTCATTACCTTGCCAACAACAAGTTCGATGGTGTTTGTAAATAGCATGGTGGAAGCCTGAAATCATTGCGCTCTCAAAGGAACACTGCCAACACCGTCAAAATTAAAGTTCTTTCATTCCTCTTATTTCCGTCGATGATAAATCCTTTTCTGACGTCATAGTCAGCGTTCGGCCAATCGTGGAAGGCCGACCACAGCGACGCTTTCAGTCGCGCACGTCGCCAATAGCCAATAGCTCGCCAAGCGTTCGGGCAGTGGCCCGTGTCCAATCGCTGCAATGGTGACAATATCCGCACCATAACAATGTTTGGGAATCAGCCAGCGCGTGTCCTGTGCTTCGCCAACCCCAGCGCGTGGCTACGATCAACATTGGCGACATATAATTAGCTCTAGATCACGTGGTCGTTTGTTCTGGCAGCCAACTGAGGCGGTGAACTTTGCTCCTTTTCCTTTTATTTTTTCTGCTACTTCCATTCCATGTGGTGAAAAACGAATGTGGTCATTAACGTCAGGGACTCGTTCTAACCTGTATTTGCGCAAAGTACAAAGATCGTTGCATCGCCCCTTTAAAGAACAGCATATGCGAAGTCCCATTAACGTAGAGCTTAAATTCTGCTTCGTTTGATTTAATTGATCTGATTTCACTAAAAAGGCCCATTCGGGGAGTTACATATAGTGACGGAAAAAACAGATGTATAGTGCAGTAGCAGTAGTATACAAAGTTAACCTTACCGCAAGGTTACACCTGCAGCTATCGTGAAAAAAAAAAGTGAAAGCCGTTTACAAATCCCTGTAACGCCGAATTGGAGCGCAGCTCTTGAGGAGGAGGAGTGAAGGGTACTGAGGGGAGGGTAGACCCCTCCTCCTCCCCTCATTCTTTAATATGCTCCGGGGGGGCGGTCACGTGACCTCGGGGGGGGGGGGGGGGTGTCACGTGACTTCGGGGAGGGGGGTCACGTGACCTCAGAGGGGTCACGTGACCTGGGGGTCACCTTGGGGTCACGTGACCTTGAGATGACCTTGGGAGGGGTCACGTGATCTTGGGGGTCACGTGACCTTGGGGAGGAGACCACGTGACCTCGGGGGTCACGTGACTTGGGGGTCACGTGACCTTCAAAGGGTCACGTGGGGTCTTGGGGTCACGTGACCTTGAGATGACCTTGGGAGGGGTCACGTGACCTCGAGGGGTCACGTGACCTTGGGAGTCACGCGGGGTCACGTGACCTTGAGATGACCTTGGGAGGGGTCACATGACCTTGGGGGTCACGTGACCTTGGGATGACCTTGGTTACGCCGACGGCGACGCCGACGGCGACGCCGCTCAAGCCGGGAACGGGCCCCTAAGAGCTGCGCTCTAAAAAAGAACATAAACAACTTAGGGTTAAATAAAGTGCGATATCACAATATTATGTAGTGGTGGAGGAAACTAATGTTCTGTAATAGCCTGAGGAGTAAGAATTATCTAAATGAATTGGCAGAACAAGCAGTCCCTTTAATTTAGCGAAAGTTGTCATGGCAAGAGCTTTTCGGTTTGCATCAATGTTACAATTTATGATTTTGATTGCTCACGGTGCTTTACGATCGAGTTTTACCATACCAGAATTGAGCTCACTCTTTTCTCACACGCGCCTTAACGAAATGCTTTGTAGACGAACCACAGCGTACTCTCCATGCGACTTGTCTGCCAATACGGTAGACTGTCGCCGCTTTATGCCATTAAGCTGTCACAATCCGAGTCCCACTAGCGCGGCAGACAGAAACAGCCGACACCGACAAGCCTCAAACATGTGCAGCAGGCACGCGAAGGTATCATGGCAGGCTGGCAAACACTCGAGTGCCTGCTTCACAAACACCGAGACTGAAAGCTTGACCTTCGCTGGGTGCTGCACGTGCTAGTGGTGGGTCGGTGTGTGTTGTTTCTGTTTGTCACTCTAGTTGCTAGACTTGGGCAGTATGCCGCGCTCGATGGCAAATTTAGAGGAGGGGGGGGGGGGGGGGGGTCAGGATGGTCATGTCGCCTCCCTCGGATTTCGTATGTGTAAATGTTTAGGGCGGGGGGGGGGGGGGGGGGGCGTGTTTTCTCAATCAGGAATCTGACACGCTGTCCATACGCCATGCAAAAGATGTGGCGTTTCTCTTGGCAATCCCCTTTTTCTCTGGGCCACACCAGACGAACAAACAAGCGGGGCAGACGTGATGGCATGCATTACCTGCGAACACGCCTCACGCTCGTTCGAGGTATATGTTGGCTTCGTACGTATGTATGTTTCGAACATGTTTGCAGGCGGTGTCACTTTCGCCCGATACACCCGGAACAAGGCCTCTCCCGTTTCTCTATTAACGCGAGCCGCGGTTAGGCGGCGCAAGTCGGCTTCGATGGGTTCAAGCGGGTTCGAGGGTGTTCGCTTTATGCGCAGTTTCGGATCGTCTTTGTGCGGTCGGGTGTCACTTAAAAATTCGTTCGTCCCCGGTTCAAACACGTACCACGTTGAATGTCTGCTCCAGTTCGTTGCCGCCCTTCCTCGCACGGAGGGGAGAGTTGTGTCCGGTGTAGTTCTCCCAGGCGCCGAAGAAGTCGTAGCCCATCACGTTGAGCAGGTGAACGGACCTGTTGAATAAACAGGCGGCAAGTCAGGGAGTTCTAGAACGGGACAGATGCCACCAAGCTAAATCTATTTTAAATCGGGGTCAGGTTAACAGTTCAGGGGAAGCTCCTCCCACCTCTTTCCACTTTATTCTGTTTAGTTTATTATTCCCCCATGGCTCTTCGAATGAAGAGCAGGGCCAACTGAAGTGTGAACCCCTGTCCAGGTCTGGGGGTCACCAATGAGATGGAATTTAACTGCGCGGATAATGGGAGCTATATACTCTGTTGGCAGGTTAAGAATACCAGGAAAGGCTCCTGCCGTAAAGTCCTCCACTCTTTCCACGTTAGTAGCGCAAATGCTGGAGATGAGAGAGAAGACGCGAGTCAAAGCGCGATTCCCCTCGCGTCCTCTCCAGCGTTCGCTCTGGTAAAGTGGAAATAGTGGTGGGCCTTGGCGAGAAGAGCTTGTCCTGCTTCTCTTAAAGACCGACGACCAGTTGGCGCTTCCCACTTTTCCCTCGCTTCCTTCTCTACTCCCTTCTACCCTGTCCACAGTTGCCTGTTTCCTTCGCCCCGATGGCGAGGAGGATCGTCTGCCTCGCAGAAATTCGAGTCTGGTCGTCAGCCTTTTAACCTGCGACAGAGTTTAGCGCAAGTGTATACAAAATGGTCACCGTTTTGGGAATAGGATTTGTTCTCTCAGACGATTGCTGTTAGATAGCGTGATTTCACTTGGCTTCTAAATTTTATCTATCGAACTGTTTTCTTACATTGCAATATTTTTCTCAGGAAAGAGTAGATTGAGTAAAATCGTGCCGTTCTGTGTTTTGTTTACATTGATTGAGCCAATGCAACACTGAATATTAAGACTACAATTAAGAACAGCCGTGGTTTAGTGCAGTCTTGCGGAATAGACAGCCACATTCCATTCCAACTCCATTCTGGAGAATCAGAGTTTCCGACAATTCCATTCCTTTCAACATCTAGGAATGGAGTCACTGGACCCCTTCTCATTCGTGGAATGGCCGAACGCTGCCATTCCGTTCTGATAATTCCTAAACACACACACCCACAAAAAGAAAAAAAAAAAAGTGGAACTTTTTAGCTACATTGTGTTACCGAAAGAAAGAAAAAGCGGCATAAAGCTGACGTTTTTAAACGCAGACAACTGAAAAAGTATGAGAAATGCTTCCCCAAGGCACTAATTCTACTAAGCCCGAGCGATGGCCGCATTAATCGCTTCGTGGCATCTTGTGTCGCTGCAGACATTGATCGCGCGATCAAGCGTAAAAGTATCGCTACAGACACCAGAAATTAAAACTACCCATTTTCTTCGCAAACGAATCGCGTACCCTCCACACATACATGGTCAGCGTGCTGTATGTTTCACGAGGCATTAAAAATGTTTAGTTCATGCGTGGCGCACGAAGAAGCTATCTTGCTCTCTGCTTCAAATTCCTGCACAACAGTACCGCTAGTGATCTGTCAGAAGCGATGCCGCGTATACCTGCCACAAATCTCCATGCACTGCTGCAAGCACACGAAACAGCTGACAAAGTGCAGTCACTATGGTGCTGCCAGTGCCGGCAAAAATGACTGTAGGATCACGTGATAGAACCCGCCTGAAAGCGGATAGTTTTACGTTACAGCTACCTGCTAATTGCGCATGGTTACAACAGCCACTCTGTCACGTCTCGCGGCGCCTGAAACAACATCTTGTTCCTCTACAGCTTTTCAGTTCCCGTTGTTTCACTCTGGACGCGCCACTTTTATCCTCGTAAAAGCATGAGCCGATCAGACAATCAAGCCGTCACTCACCTAAGGTGCAACGATGCTGTTTCAAGGGTCACTCTGAGTGCGGGATAGCTTTGCACGAGCAGACCAGATTATAGCTAAAGATCGACACAGCTCGCATAAGAACCGAGCCCATTCTATTCCCAATCCACTCCGGGCAAGAGGCACCTGATCTCAATCCATTTCATCCCTCCCAACACTGCCGCCATTCTATTCCCATTTCGTTCTGGGGTCGCAAAAGTGCGGAATGATTCTGTAAGCATTCGAAATCTGGAGTGGCAACTGCGCAACACTGGTTTAGTGTGACCTCCAAAGGGGATGACGTAGTCTCGTAGCAAACATTGAAGAATCTCCGATTTCGTCCTGGCTGTGAACATTTCGACAACAAAAATAACAACAAAATGTATTGCACAGTAAAATAAATTTAATATATATGTATATATTTTATTTATTTTACTGTGTATATTGTATGTGTGCTTTTAATTATGTATATATGTATATGTATATACAGAATTACGTACAGGTCCGCAAAAGCCTGCAGATGCTTGTGCTGGGGACATAACCAGAAAAGATGCTACTGAATTTTACAATACAAAAAAAAAATGAACACATACAAACATTAAAAAGCGTACGCACGAAAAAAAAAAAAAAACAACAACAACAAGCAAACAAACACACTGATTGCGACTCAAACAGCCCTTCAATCAAAATCAGAAATCATAGCTTATACACATAGATCTAAGCTCTTTTGTGACAGCTCTAATCGACTGCAGTTGTACGAAATCAGCAGGCAGAGAGCAACTTAATTTATCGATGCTTTTTCATTCGTTTGTCCCACTGTGCACTTATTTCTGTGACTGCATCGCAGAAATACACGTTATCCAGCGGGCACGAAGTCTGGCATCACTGTCGTCGCGTATATGTCTGTCTCGAGTCCGCAAACACTGTCTAAAGCATTTTTTTTTCTTCTCTCGCATGACCGTTCTGTCAGATTGGTCATGCAAGAACTGTTTGTAGACATGTTCCAATCTTGACATGTATGGGGCAAACATGCTTGGAACATTCTTGAGGCCTGTCCGCACATGTTGTCATGACTACAGCGACCACGGTGTCTTTTGTATGCGATGTGCGAATCGTGTGACTGGTGAGGCTCGACCTATGGAACAGCGGCGTGTACTTACTTCATAACTTCGGGCACGTTGTAGGACACGTTTACGGTTTCGATTCCCATAGATACGGAGGCGATCAGCATGCGGTTTTTCTGGTCCAGGGCTGCTCTGAGCTCCTGAAAATGGTGCAAGAGTAAACGATTCTGCTTCGTGGATGGCCTAGCATAGAGAGTAACGCTAAACTGAACATTTTCGAGCGCGAAGGAGTAGGTCTCGCAGCTAAAGCGGCAGCCAATTTCTTCTTTTTAGTACTTTTTTGTTTCCTCAGTTAAGAAAGAAAAAAAAAAGAAAAGAAATGTTGAACCGGCGAGTTTGGTTTTTTCTCAACATTCTAAACATCCGCGATATTAGAGATTTGAACGAAATTGCTGTATGTACGTAAACGATGTGCAAACACGGGTTGCTCTACAAAAATACGAACAAATCCGCACTGGATTTGCTACGTCATCTATCGGAGGCCAGCGCGTGGCCCAGATTGGATACGAGGCCCTGCGTCAGCATTCGACCGGGACTCCTGTTCATTTCGTGCTTTGGCCGGTCGAACTCCGTTACTTCTCTTCACGGATCCTTCATTAGTCGAAGAACAAATCGCAAAAAAAAAAGAAATAATAATAATCTTCACAAAATAGTGTAAAGCCGCAGCCATGCTGCTCGTACATCATGCAAAAAAAAAAAAAAACAAAAAAAAAAAACAGTGCGATCGCTGCAGATATGATGGCAGAATGATTTGCGAACAAGCTTCAAGCACGATGAATTAGCTGTATAACCACGACTCTAAGGCGACGTTTAGGTAGGGCCATTTACGTATTGGTGACTCGCAAAACTTCGTGTAATAGTTTTCTTTTTTTTACAGCGAAGAGGGATGGGGGGCGGGGAGGGGGGGGGGGGGGCTGGTTATGGTTAGGGTCCCGTGGGATGTTCGTGTGCGTCAACGAAAACTCAGGTCCCGAATTTGATGCACAACCGCTTCATTCTGTGCAAAACCTTATACGGTCATCACTTGGATATGGATTTTCAGTAGATTAGTTATCAATAGGCACCATTTTCAAGATCAGTAGACTCTCAGGTAGATACTAGAGCTTTCTCTAAGATTTTGCCGCTGTGCGACCCGCGTCGGCCATGTCTACTCTCGCATCGCTCTCTCTGTCGTCGTTCCAAGCCACTTGCGCGCCTAGTTACCTTTCCTTCCGCTCTCTCGGGGTGGCGGTCCCGTCGCGCGTGTCTACTTTCCGCTGGGTGGCGGTCCCGTCGCGCGTGTCTAGTTTCCTTGGGGTGGGTCTGCGTCGTGTGCTAAACAACTTCGCTGGTCATCCAACTTCACGAAATAAAATAAGTCATGATGTTTTTTCTTTTAAAATAGACTATTGCGTTTAAATTCTTGTTCGCAGTCGTAATATCAGTTTATCGAGAGTTCGGAACGATAATCAAGAGTACCGCGGTTCAGTGAGACCTCCAGCCTTTTGTGGGCATATGGCTATTCGCCGCTTATATTCAGCTATCTCTTCTTCACCCGAAGGAACCCGAGGTCCTCCCGAGGTTCTCCCGAATGAACCTGAGGTCCTCCGAGGTCCTTCCGAAGGAACCTGAGGTCCTCCCGAAGGAACCCGAGGTTATCCCGAGGTCGGGAAAATTTTCCCATAATGCACCGCGCGGTTACGCCGACGGCGACGGCGACGCCGATGCCGACGCCGCTCAATCCCGAGACGGGCGCCTAAGAGCTGCGCTCTAAAACCGGCTATGGAAATCACTACGACGTAAGAGGGGGGGTCACTGCGAATAGGTTCTTCCGAATACTGACGTCGTCCAGAGATCGTGTATCAGTGCCTACGTCTGAATCGGTCCCTGGAAAACGGTGTTGTAAAAATGCCCGCGGAGTGTTTACCTTGAGCAGTAGGGCGTGGTTCTCGCGGTCCTCAGGGTACCCTCCCCTCCGTGACGGGTACTCCCAGTTCAGGTCGAGCCCGTCGAAGCCGTGGCGGTCGAGGAATTCCAGGACGCTGTCCACAAAGCGCTTCCTCCCCTCCGCCGTCTTCGACATGTTGGAGTACTTTTCGGATCCTTCGTTCCAGCCACCGATGGCAATGATTGTCTTCAGGTCGCGGTTTCGCCGCTTAAGATCGTTAAACTTCTTGTACATGCCTTTTTTTTTTTTTTGGGGGGGGGGGGGGGGCGAGAGGAAGAGGAGCTCGAATTGGATGGGATTGTACATTTGTGAAAAGAAAGCTTGTACAATAATGCTAGCAAGGTTGAATCAGAGGCAATTTAGTATGCAGGACTTGAGTTGAAATATTTATTGAAAACAAGGAGCGCTTCTACAGTTTATAGCACTAAAGTTTCTGTTATTCTATTAATATTTTATTTCTCTAGTTACTGCCCCCCGAAGCCGACAAAACGTGTTATTTTGAAATTCGAGCTTGCGGCACTATGTTTGTATTCTGGGACACGGATTCATCGGTTCGTATAAATTAAACTGCTGGAACGGATTTTAGAATAAAAAAAAATATATATGAATGGAGTTCACCCTGCATCTTCTACAACGTGACTGAAACATTGTGTAACTGCGGCGCGCGAAGTTAGTTCTAAAATGATTCGCAAGAATATTTCGAATTTTATTACTAAACTTTTTTGTCGGCGCATGTTCTTTTGTTTGATATTTCCACGACTTGTTCGTCTTGAAGATTGTATACGTCTGGTTGATTTGCACACCGCCTGCTAAACAAAAGGAGGATTTCTTTTTTTTTTTTTGCGTGCACACGCAGTGTTTTTTAACAATGTCGGAGGCTTCGTTTTACGGCAACAAAATGTTTACACCAAAAACTTTTTTTTTTGTTTTGTCGCAAATAGGGAGAGGGAGAGAGGGTGCGTGGCTTCTGAGCTTCGTAGGCGTGACTAAAATAAATTATGAAGCATATGTTGGCGGCCCATACAGACTATGTACATTTTTTAAACCTAGAAATTTCAAAGATCTATGTTCTTTCTTCCTTTTGGTGCTCGTGAAAAACCTCGCGTTGCTGAAGGTAAACTCACCTCTATACCCTGCCCGTTACCAGTCTTGGGTGAGTTACTTTTAAAAAAAGTAATTAGTTAAAGGTACAGGTAGTTTGTAAAATATGTAGTTAAGTTACAGTTACGGCTACTTCGTCATAGTAACTTGGTTACTTTCAAGATACTTTTGTTTAAAAAAAAAGAACTATGACGACACTTATGACAACAGACAAAGACTACGATTTATATTTCTTTGAAACCTTCAGAAGACTTTCATTTCACTTGTTGAGATTTACGTTATCACCCCTCACAAGACGTTCTGCGTTAAAGGGATGCTGAACCGAAATCTGGATTCCCCAAAACATGCGGCGAAAGCGTGCAACGGCATGCTACAAACACCAAAACATCACTCATACAGCGATATCTCGAACGGATGACCGTATTTTTCAAAAAAGAGGCGCATTTGGCAGGAACTTTGACGTCATGTTTCTCCGAGAAGGAGAGGGAACGGCCTCGCGTCTTCTCTGCCTCGCGGCCTTGAGGGAGCGAAGCGAAGAGAGGAGGAAATTCGGTACCTTGACGGTCACGCGCCTCGTCGGCCTGGTTCAATCTCGACTTCTTTTTCCACAAATACGGCCGTCCATTTGAGATATCGCCTTACTAGTAGTGTTGTAGGGATTGTAGCGTCCCGCCCTGAACCGAAATTTGGATTTCAAAAAAACTATGCTGGAGATGTAGGCGGGACGCTACAATCCCTACAACACTACTATAGTCTGTTTCACCTTATGATGTACCGCAGAAAAGGCTACAAGCGCGAGCTCCTTGCTCTAGGGCACATCTCGGCGGCACTAGCTCTCGTGCGTTAAGAGCAGCTCCCAACGCTATGAGCTCGCGCTTCGAGCCTTCTCTGCGGTACAACATAAGGTGAAACGGAGTATAGTAAGGCGATATCTCAAATGGACGGCCGTATTTTTGGGAAAAGCAGTCGAGATTGAACCAGGCCGACGAGGCGCGTGACCGTCAAGATACCTAGTTTCCTCCACTCTTCGCTTCGCTCCCTCAAGGCCGCGAGGCGGAGAAAACGCGAGGCCATTCCCTTTCCTTCTTGGAGAAACACGACGTCAACATTCTTGCCAAATGCGCCTAATTTTTTTTAAAAATACGGTCATCCGTTCGAGATATCGCTGTATGAGTAATGTTTTGGTGTTTGTAGCATCCCGTTGCAAGCTTTTGCAGAGTGGTTTTGAGGAATCCAGATTTCGGTTCAGCATCCCTTTAAAGGGGCACTGACACCCCGAAGGTCGTATTTATTTTTATTGTCTAAAACGATGCAAGTTGCAGTCATCGACACGCAAAAAAAAACCGCACCGCGAAAAAAAATTTTCCCGCGCGCGCGCGCGCCTTTTTATTTTTGGCGTTTGATTTTCCCGCCTCTCGCCTCCTCGCTTCTTTTGATCGGTGACGTCAAAAATCAGGAAATTTAGAAGCTTTGTAGGCGACATCTCTATAACATTTAATTACGGCAATCCTAAAACATGTTTTTTAACGCAATTGCGAACGCACTACGGCCCTTCTTTTTGAAATACCAAAAATCGGGAGTTCGTTGTGGTGCCGTCTCCTGGATTTGTATCCTCCAACGGAAAACAGGCGACACCGCTCAAAACCGGTCCGCCGCAACGCCGCCACTCACTCCTTTCCTCCTCGCTTTGGGTCGCCATGGCAACAGCAGGGAGTGGTGAAAGAAAGGGGACTCTCAGGTCTCCGCAATTTTTGACGTCAAGGCACCGGCGCCGATCGCGCGGGAACTTCGAATTCGGCATTTGGAAATTGTTTTCTTACTTCACAAATACTGAATTCCCAAATTTCAAATTTTGAGGGTAATGTCCCGGCATCGTTTTCAATCGTTTCGGATAATAAAAAAAAAATATGATTTTGATGTGTCAGTGCCCCTTTAAACAGTCCACCGTTAGGGTGTCTACGCGTCGCGTGTTTCCGCGAGGTAGCTCTGTCGCTTGGCCGAAGGCTTGACTAATGGCAAGGGAGTTTTATAGCCTCACTTTCTTTTCAGTGCGAAGTGAATATAGTTTTCACATTTAAATATTCTAAGCTTAAATGGTAAAACAAAATGGCTAGGTGGCGTAAGCTACCGCCCGATCTGCTCAGCCGGATTCATCGATCCATCCATCCAGGGGCGGGGCTGTTCGATGATGCCGGAAAGGGTGAAGACGGGGTGAGAGAGCCACGCAGAAAAAGGTTCAAATAAAGCAAATGATAAATGCGCTTTTCCGCGCGATAAAAGAAGGGAAAACAGAAGTAGAAAAACGTCTGCCCTCTGTGCCTGCACTTTGCTCCGACGAAAAAGTTTCGAGTTCTTATTTGACTCTGTGAGGACTAATGTGGAGCCCAACCTCCGCAATAAGGACATTTTTCTTTGTTGCGAAAAGTATACATATTTTTGCACACACTTTTTAGTTACTTTTTCAAAAAAGTATTTAAGTTATCGTTACAGGTGTTTAGAAAAAAAAATGTATCGAGTTACAGTATAAGAGCTTTAAAAAAAAGTAACGAATTACAGTATCGCGATACTACCCAAGACAGCCCGTAATACAAAGAAATGGAGAATGTTCACTACGCAAACAAGTTACGACTCCCATATGTTAAATTTCACACCACCACTTTTATTAAATTTTTTTTTCTTATAAATTGTGTCAATTTAGAGGGTCTACCATTTAAACACTTAAAGGTTTCTTTTTGTACATGAGGTTAGCAAAGTATTTGATTTTGTTTTAGGGTTTTCCGTTTTTCTAGGCGTATCATTCTTGATTTTCCAAATTTTAGTTTGGTCTAATTCTAGGTATTTTTCTGTCTTTTTCCCGCTTTCTGTTGACCAGTGTGGGCACCTGAGGGCTCGTCGAGCTGTACTTTACAGTTTTTTTTTCACCTTGGGTCTCTCAGTGTAGTCAATGAAAATGAAGAATCTTGTTACTGTTGTTCTTATTATCATTATTATTAGACCACGTGACGCCGGTCGAATGATGGGATACACTCTGAAATCGAGGCCCGCTACCGACAGGTGGTGGCTCAACAGCGAAGAGACATCTGGCGCCCTCTGGGGCTGGCTAATTTCCTGTTCACTCTAGACAAACGTGCAGTAGTAGCACCTCCTTCAAGCGCTCACCCAAGCCCCAGTTATCCGTGAGATCGAGGTAGGGGTCGTACGCGGTGATCAGGTCGTTCTCCAGAATGGCGAACGTGTAGACGAGGTGCGTGCAGAGAAAGGGGTCGATGTGTTCCACTGAGAACTTGCCGTCTCCTTCCCGGTAGTAGGACCACGCTCCCCAGTAGCAGAGAAAAAGCTTTTCCCGCGGTGCTGTGAAGAAAGAGAGAAAGAAATATTGACAGCGACCTTCACTTGTAAAATCCCAGAAAGCATAAAATGCCCTATCTAAGTAGCGATCCTTTAAATTTCTTTAGAAGTCATTCACCAGTCGTTTTGGGCAGTGAAGAAAACCTTTTTTTTTTATCATTTTCCTCGCTAAATCTAGGGGAGAAACGAACTTGGTGCATAAGTCACCTGGCGTCAATTTTCCGCCAAATTTTGTCGGGAAACTAAATCGATGTATAGGTCATGTAACGTCAGTTCACGTGACGTCAATGTGTACGGACGAACAAACAGACGGACGGAAATGCTTTTTTTTTTTTGTGATTAGGGGTTTTGTCAATAAGTATCATCGACTTACAACAAAGAAAGCACCCCACGGAAACGAGGTTGTTGCCGAAATAATGAAGTCGTAAGTTCATAAAAAAAATACAGTTTTTAAATGATTGATACGATACAGCCGAATATTATGATTCCTGACCGGCGAAAAGTCTACACAAGTAGTGCTCGATGCATTAATTTATTTGACATTCAGTATTTTTATCTCATTAAAGTGAAAGCCTTATAGGTCTCATAGTTCGATCGATCTTCAAAGTCCTTGAGCGAAAGCACGTCGAGACACGATAACTACGAAAACCGACAACACGAAAGGTTCCATGTTAATTATTGTTATTTTGTACTGATATTCTTAAGAGATAACACTAGCTTAGAAAACGTTTATAATACGATATTCGTATGCGAAAAAAAAAGAAAGTTCGTCATTTTTTTTGTTGTTTTGAATTACTGTTGTCTTTCACTTAGACTTTTTTTTTTATTTTTGCACGTGTTTCGTGCCCGATTTTGACTTTCACAAACCAGATTGTGGTAGACACCCTTTGATCGTAGAAATCAATGATAATCACTGAGAACACAAGAAATGCAGTGCGCGGATTATCATGTTCACGCGTCTTGCTCCGTAGTGTGTTCTCCGGATCTCCTTTCTGGCTATACCTTTTTCAAGATCCCCATCGCGCTAGGTGGCGCAAGCTACCGCCCGTTATAAAGGGCAGATCCGTTAGCATCCATCCATCCGTCCAACCATTGGGCACGGAGCCTCTGATTGGATCCGAGTCCTCGCCGAGCGCTGACGTAGTCCCCGTGCCCAATACGTGATCAGAGTACGTGCTTCCGAATAATGGCTGACTCGGGTAGTAGACGCTGCAACAACTAAATGGGGGGCACTTGAAAAAAAAAATAATAATTTGTAAATTGACTGGTAGCTGAGAGGCTCGCCCTGCGTTCCTTAAGTTGTCGTTGACTCAAGTTTATTTTATTCGTTCCTTCCGAATGCTTACGATTTGTTGTCTGCACTCTGCTGCATTTCGATGATTGCGACTCCACGAGGACCGCGGACAGAAACGCAATGAGTGCACAGGCAGACTTCATGGTTTCCGAGGCCTGGGGAAAACGAGATTGGAGCTTTACGAACAGGAGCGGGAACTCGTTTTATTCCTCGCTAAACGGCAAAAGCGATATGACTGTAGAGAAAAACAAAACAGAAGAAAACGGAATTTCGTGTTGGTTAAACATTCGTAAGCCGCAGGCACGCTGTTTATATATCACACAAAAGACGCGGCGTGAGTTGCGGTGGTGACGATGACAGGTTTATTTGCGGACCTACCGCAAGGATGTCCGAAGCAACGAGTTGTAAAGCGCCGTTCACACTCTTGCTACCGAGTAAGACCGATAGAGACCAGAACGGTTTTTAAGCTTTTGCGACTTCTTAGGACCGGATGCGCTGCAGCGGAGCTAGTTCTAAGAGATCACAAGAGGCCTAAAAACCGGTCTGGTCTCTCTCGGTCTTACTCGGTCGCAAGAGTGTGAACGGCGCTTAAGGCAGAGGTTCTTGACGGTGGCGCTAACCATGTGACGTCATTTGTTAGCCAAAAAGGCCAAACTGCAACCTTTCAAACAACACAGGGTGTCGTGCTACCCACCCCCCCCCTCAAAAAAAAAAAAAAAGAAGAAGAAGAAGAAGAAGAAAATATATATATACTTTAATTTTTTTGTTTTTTTTTGTAAAAATGAGTTACGCATTGCCTAACGCTCAGTTTTCGACCAGAATGTAGCGCTAGCGGCTCGGACTATAGATGCCAAAGTTCCAGAACTAAGCGTTATCTTGTACAGAAGTTATGAGTGATTTTCCCAAACTTTTAATCGGAAAATGGCGGCTGACGAAGCCTACGAACACGTGGGGATGAATGGTGTCTGCTACGAAGAACGGGCCCCCAAGTTTCCATGGAAAACTTAAGCAAATCACTTTTAACTTTTGATTAGCAAAGCTCTTGGTTCTGATACTTCGGCATCTGGTTCGAAGCTCTATAGTGCCACATTTGGATGAAGAGTAGAGGCGTTTGGAAATGCGTACTTTATTTATTTTTTTATTTTTTGCAGCGAAAATAACGCTAAAGTTATCCTCGGGGAGACCTTGTATTTGAAACATACTTGGTACACGCGTCAATGTATGCGCATGCGGTGTTCATGACAGAGATTGCAAAATTGTGTACTTACGATTTGCTGGGAAAGGTCCGCATGCGCCCTCTGAAGACCTTCGTAAATGTTCAAACTTTTATATGGGAGAAGCGAACAATCCTATCGTCTGGTTTCTTCTTATCTGCTTTTGTCATTCGTGTGGTCATATAGCTATGTCAATATTGCTCGGTAGTTACTTCCACACACCGCAAAACAACAGACTAGCCCCTCGCAGAGAGAAAAAAAAAAGAAAAAAAAAGAAGAAAAAAAAAACGATACAATGTGAAATATTTCTTGTGGTGACGTGGGGACTGGAGGGCGGACTTTGTATTGGGTTGATACACAGTTGCGACGAACATTCGAATATAGAGCAAGTTCTGGGAAACGATTTAATATTCCGAGAACTTAAATTATAACACGTACAGCGTTAGTGGAGAGACTGGAATAAAACTTAACCTTGTGAGAAAACACAAACAAAAACAAAACAAAAAGACAAATAAGCAATAAGAGTTATACCGACCGCAGGCAACACTAGGATCTGATGGAGCAAATCAATAAGCAGCATCAAAATTGCATCGCCACGCCGCTCATCACTTTTGTGAATTTTAATACCCTAGATGGTGTTGACTTAAAGCGCCGGATTTCTTCCTCAAAGGGCTCCCCAGGTCGTATTAGAAACTTCGTAGTCTCTTTCACAGTAAGTCAAAACGCACTCTAAAAAACAAAAACAAAAAAAAAAAAAACAAAAAAAAAACAGAAAACGGAATTAGGCAAAACAGCGGAAAATGCATGTTAAGACCATTCGAAGGATTAAGCACACAGCGCTGCCTATCGCAACAGTCATTGTCTCTTACTCTAAAATTTCGCAACTTTCGTGGACTATACACGAGCGCACTTCCGGTCTGGGGCTGTGGGCGGAAGTCCCCACGTGAGACGTGTATTCCTGCGTTGCTTTGAATGGAACCAAACAAAAACCTGCCGTCTCATCAAAATGCCGCGACTGGGGCTGCACCGAAAGAGTCGAGAAAGGTTTGAAGGTCAGTTTTTATCTGCTCGGTTCGCCCGAGAACATGGATATAATTATAATGCAATTAAATGCAAAAGTGCAAGCGAGCTGGACAAGAATGACGACAATAATCCCTGGAGAAGGGGAACAAGAGGGACAAAGGACAAACATAAATCTCCAAACACAGCTAGGTGACTGGTGACGTCTGAAAAAATCCGCCTGGTCCGGGTATTGAACCCGGGACCTCTCCATTACAGGTGGAGCGCTCTACCAACTGAGCTAACCAGGAGTTAGACGTCAGTAGAGCAAACGGGTTTTATCTGCTGCCACCAGTCTAACACCAACAAGGGTGAAGCTTGAAATTTAAGGTTATAATTAGAATGCAATTTAATGCAAAGGTGCACGCGAGCTGGATAAGAATGATATGTGCCGTGAAAAGGAAAAATCAACACCGTCGGACCACGATTGCTTGGGCGCTAAGCACTTTGGGTTGATATCACGGATACTTACGGACACATGAACGCCGGAAAACCGTCAAGTTCTACGGACAACCTGCGGACTACATTCAGTGCGTCTTCAAGTTCAAACGGCCGCCTGATCGTTCGAACTGTCGTCTGCTTTTGTAACGTTTCTGCTTGTCGTCTGCTCTTTTTGACGACACCGGCCCGTGGAACCAATGTTGGCCCGGTACTTGCGATAAGAAGTAAGTGCAGGCCTCAAAAGACTTAAGTTTGAAGGTTGGTAAGCAGGCTTGATGTAAACAGTAGATAGAGCGAGATCTTGATCATTGTTACCAGTGGCCATCACCGACTTTGCTATGTCTGATTCACTTGGTCCGATTTTGCTTACGATTTTCAATATGGACGTCGACCATCTCAGCTACGGTTCACGCTTTTGCAGCCCGAGCGACGTCGCGACTGAAAATAGCGAGCAAAATCTCTCATGCGAATCAGTCTTTAGCGTACATTCTGCGGCGTCCACGGCGAATGAATCGCCGCATGTCACATTATTCACGCGAAGTTTTGCGGTGTAACGAGCCTCGGTGATTTCGCTGAGGCGGCTCAAGTAGTCAGACATTGCCCCCAGGAAGACGTATAATCAACAATTCGAACGTGAAAAATGGCAGGGGGACTCACACTGACGCCGACATTATCGCATGTCAATGCTTTGTTTATGGGCGACGGCGAACTTCTTGCCCACACCCCATCGCACATGCGCGGCGCCGGTGGCATCCGCTAGGGGCGCTCCGGTTTGTTTGTAAACATGAGATTAGGAATAGGAGGCGCGCTAGTTTCTATCAAGATGACTGTCATCTGGATGATCGTCGTAGAACTGGAGTATACGAGGTTGGGTCTTCGACTCGTGAGTAATACTGTTTTGCGAAATACGAGCGATATAAGAGACATACAACGCTAGGAAGAGGTAAGAAAGCACCTTCGTTCGGAAGCCGATCACTCAGGAGCTAGGGTGAGCGATTCTCACACCGCGTGCGGTGCCATCATCGCTGAAAGTCGTGAATACAAATAAATAAAGAGAAACGAACAAAATATCAAAACGAGTGAGAACATGCTTTTACCGTCGAAAACTTGTCAAATTGACTAATAAATGTAAATTTCTTATCTGAATTGTTAAGTGACTCAGCAGTAACGCTTGTCATGGCGGATGCATCAACACCTTCTTAAGGATCGAGGCCCGCGCTCTTCGTTAAATGACATCAGAAAAGCCACTGCTCCTAGGTAACGCGTGGACAGCCTGCAGAGAGCCTTCACATAGCCTCCTATATACTGACAAAGCCTGGCAGATCGCCACGAGAAGCGGCCGCCGAAATGGAGAAGACGGAGCGGCAGACAACGGACGAGAGGAGAGCCACGTGACTGGCGCCACGTCGCGGCGACGACGCCAAAACACACTTTTCCCGAGCGAACAAGTGCGTTTCGGGTCCTCGCCGCTGCAAATTAAGCTGTGCGCCGACGTCCAGGTTCCCCGAGAAATGACTCTTTGATGCTCTGTGCTACGAGATCCTCGCACTCCAAATCTGCGACCGGGCACCTTATATTCCCGTCGTCAAACTGCCAGGCTTTGTGCGTATAGTGGAGGCTCTGGCCTTCGCCGACCACCTGCAACGACGCTGACCATGCTTACTGTATCGCGGGAGTAATATTATTTATTTTATGCATCGTCATCTTCGTTTTGCTTTTTCGAAGCGGGCGAAAACAGGAGTGCGTTGTAGGTTGTAACAACTAAATAAAAAAAAAAGTGAAAAATAAGATTCCGCGACATGACGACGCATCTTTATCAGACGCCAAAAAGCTCGTGAGCAATGAGAAGAGCGACGCTGTGTCTGCGACTTAGAACGGTAGAAAGGTCGCTGGAGGTGCGGAGACGAGACACGTGTGGCCGGTTTTCACTGCGTTTCTCGGCGGCAAGAATCTACACAGGTTGTCTTTGAGTGTGCAAATTTGAGGGTCCATGTCTTATGAGTACTGTGTGCCGGGAGGGCGGGGAGGGGGGGGGGGGGGCGTTCTTTGGAGAGATTATGCCGGGGAACGGAAGCTTCATATTCTTTCATACAAACGGGCGAGCAACGATGCGACGAATGGATTTAGGCACAACCGCAGAAAGGCATTCAAGTTGCGAGCTCTTCGAAGGTATGTCAAGCGGCTTCGCAGCTTTCTTCTGAATCCCCGCACTTGCATATTGACACTTTGTTTCGCTAAGGTATGTAATGCTCAACCATTTTGCCATCTCCTGGGAAGCATAATAAGTATTTGTAGGACGAGCTACAACTTCTGAAATGTTTTAAAACATTTTGTTGATGCGACATTTCTTCCTTGTATTTTAGAAGCAACGCATGCTAAAGCACTATAGGTTTTCTTTAAAATCGGTATTGATTTAGTGTAGTTAGTTGTATATGTCCATAATATTTATGTTCGAATTTTAGAAAAAAAAAAAAACACCTATCACATCACTGTGAACTGTATATCGTACAAATGTGCATAAACTGAATATCCGAGCACTTGTGGGCATCTGTAGACAGAATTGGTTGAAGTTCTATTGCATCGTCAATGAATTTTTTTGTCTTACTGTATTCAATTTTTGTGGCTCATTTCGTTGCGAATGAAGCAAACACGTTTAATGTCTGTCGAAGAAAACTCTTCAGTGTATGCTTTCTTGTTATGTAATATCATAATATGTTTTATGCAGAGGCCATTAATCATTCCTTCTTACCCTCACAATAGCCTTTACTTAACTTAGTTGAAAAAGTGGCACGATTGCGCCAATTTTTAAGCTTTTTTTATTTTTATATTTTAATACGTGCGTAGCATTTTCAGGAGTCTTTCATGATCCAGAAAACCAATTATCGAGATGACAGGACCGAAGATAGCACAGAAGGTGTTTCGAATCAATGTAATTGAGATTGCACACCAGTAATTTCTGCGGTTTTAGAAAGGCAATTTGTACATCGCGGCAAGTGCTTCCCCGAGGACATTTACCCCGATTCTTCTACAGTACAAGCTCTTCTTTTCACTCGCTCGTATTCGACACACAACGCCTAAGAATCAAAGCTTTTTTTTTTAAACTTCTAAATGTTATAATTGCGAACCTCACTAATTAGGTCCTATGCCATTCACGCGTAAATACAAATTTCGCAAGCACGTCCATTCGAAGCTACAATCCGCCTAGCCAGCGCGCCGGCTCCGGGAAGCCCAGCCGGCTCTGTCGCTTTTCCGCACGCTGGACTAGTTCCCGTGACGTCTCGGAGCGGCCGTGCGGGCCTTGAGTTTCTGATTTGGTTTAGCCGGGGATAACACCCTCACGAGAAAACACCGATCTCCGTGACGTAGTACCTATCGCGATGCTTGATTGGCCTTATCGGCTCGTGTATCGTCTACTGCGCTCTGACTGAAGGTGATAGGACCATTCCAACGACTCCTGTGCGCTGGCATCTTTGTCTACTGGGCTGTGAGACACGTTTTGAGCGTGCACAGCGTGATTGTATAAGTGAAATCAGGAGCCCGCAGAACAAAGCAGCGAGGTTTTGATGATCTC